GACATTAATTAACAGTGCAACAGTTGAACACAAAAACAATTTACCAATGACATTTTAGATTAATGATCCAGATAACCAGGCTAAAGATCATGATACACACAGAAGTGGGTTCCAGACGAATAACCGCCGCCATGATTAAACAAGATTCCAGAGTATTAGTAGGGGAGGGGCTGAGAGAACCAAAAAGTTATTACAGGGAAAGCCTATACCAATACCCATGCCCATACATACATATGAATCAATCCATGAATTAATAGGTCAAGGAATAAATGCAGAGGTATATATCTATGTCTGTATATCTTTCTCTCTCAATGAATAATTAATATATATACATCAAACAAGATTATGTACAGGAGGATGATCCGCAGTAGAAGGAGGGTCTAAGAAATCGAACTAAAAGGATCTAGACAACGTTCTATCGAGGCTCACACAAGAGTCTGGAGGTTTCTCCATGGGGTTTGATGAATGACGAGAAATCCAAAAAGGTCTGGACGGGTACACTCCACCTCTGGAGGTATGGTTTGAAAGAGGGGGCACAAATCACCGTCTATGCGGCGGGGCCCACCCTTCCATGCTCGAGCCAATAATTTCTTCCCATTTCACCGTCTAGGCGCATGGTAATAAAATACCACCGCTGGAAACTTACGAGGAGTAAGTTTAACTCGTCCCTGGTGGCAACCTTGCCTTGTTCTCTCACTCACTCACTCACTCTCTCTTCTCTTTTCCTGATTCCTTTTCCTTTCCTTTTCCTTTTCTTTTATTTTTTATTTTTTTTTTTGTCTCACTCTGCGTACGTAAATTACCTTATAGGTACGCCCCTTCCCCTTGGTCCATCTCACCTTTTGATACCTTGACGTATACTACTATGTCTACATGTATGTACATTCAAGCACATCATTTCACCAAATCTTGTCATCGAACCTCAAAAGTAGATTCTTCTACTACTATTCCCCAGCCTACCCACCACCACTACCACCGCTACTATTACTAGGTGGTATGACTTCACAGGATTGAAAGCTTGTCAGATCACCATTTCATGATATTATAAGATCACTACATCATCATTCTTCTTCTTCTCTTTATCTGGGGCAATTCAGACGGCCATCTCCGTTGTCCAGTATTTTGTGAGTACTTCCTTTCTATTCTCTCTTCATGTTCATTTTGAATGTATTATTTTTTTCTGACGAGACCGATTGGGACACAGAAGTAAATTACAATTCCATACATACATTCCTTACTTGAACGGATCTTCCCCAAAAGGTCTTGCCCAAAAGGCCCGCTGATACCTTGGAAATCTTAAAAAAAGGCACCCTCTCATTCATCGAGCTTGCTGTCCCCGAGCCATATCTACCTTTGAGCTATTCTTGATCTCATCTTCCGGATACGTACTTCTCCGACCCATTAGGTCTACGCCATCTCTCCTCTCTAAAATGCTCTTCGGGTCCTGAAACTTCTATCTTCTTGTCGATCTCTCGTTCTTCGACTCTTTACAGTCTACTCACTTTGACATCCTCCGGCAATTCTTCTCTTCATCCTCCCGTCCTTGACAATCAGTAGTCTAGTTGGCGAAAGAAGCAACGAGGCAGGGAAAAACTAGGCTGAGCTACTCCAGAATACATTAACTCCAATGATAACCGTTGCCTCGTGAAGATGGCTGCCGTGCTTCCCGCCTCACAGGAGAGGCATACGCGACTTTCTCCCGATCCGCTACGGTACCCCATCGCTCAAAGATACTTCTTGGAAGATTCGGACGTGATCACCGTAAAGTCGCCTACCAATGATTACTCCCCAAGAGATTGTCGGAGTCCAATGGTATCCTCGGCGCTTTCTCCATTTCCCCATTCTCCCGATTTCGCCGGGACCGCTCCTGCAACCATTGGTAGTCTATCATTCTGTGTACGTGATGGGCAGAATGATGATGTTGATGAGATAATACTGCCCTCATATGACGCAGGCCCATGCGTCCCCAAGTTACCTGAAGCTCCTAGCGAAGCCTCGACCGAGTCATCGACGGACATGCACCGTATGAACTTGCCGAGACCGGCCGACGACAGTTTGATTGAAGAAGAGCCATCGAGACACGTTGATTACCTCGCCCATGAGTGGAAGGAGGAGGATATATGGGCCTCTTGGCGATATGTGGTTGCCCGGCGGGAAATATACGATCACGGCGTGAGGTTAGAGAATGCGTCGTGGAGGACTTGGGCAAAGCTGAAGCTTAACCGGGGAACAGTATCGCCGGAAACTCTCAACTGGTTAGTGCTTCGACCGGCTTTCCCTTCTCTTCCCCCCTTTTCATTTCTGTGTTTAACCATATGTGTCCAGGCTGAAGGACTACGACGTGACCTGGCTGTATGGCCCGTTAAAGTCGTGTAGGAGGCGCAAGACTGTCTCCAACGTCTCGCCACCCCCAAGCCGCCTTGAAACGCCCACTGATAGAAAGCCGATCCTGAAGAAAAGGACGGCTTCTGAAACGATACTGCAGCGTTCCCTGTCGCAGCATACTCTCCTACAGCATGCGGGCGCCATTTTGAAGGCACAGGAAGCGGAGGTCAGCCGTAATCGGCCGTCCTTCTACCGTTACCCATCAAACCTGGGACACACATTCAGTCAGTCTTCCGAGGGTTATTCGCGAACGTCCTGCACGGCCACGCCCATCAATGGGTCATCGGGAACAGGTTCACCCTGCGAAAAGCGTCATATACATTTCAACAACGAAGTCGTGCAGTGTATCGCAGTGGAGGTGAAAGATGATGACGACGACGATTGGCCTGCAATGAACGATGACTCCTCTTCGGATGATGGCGTTGTCCTGATGAGACATGGCTCATGGCAAACGTCGACAAGCGAGAGGAGTACTACCCCACGAAGCAGCTTTAGCAGTGACAACAGGACCATTGCACCACTTCCATCTACTACACTTAAGTATCGGGGCGACACCCCGGAGCCACCGGTGGATTCAATACTCAATCGGTGGTCTGGTTACTTTTCGTCGTACTCTTCTCACTCTGTTGAGACAACTCAAGCCTCAGAGCCGGCGGCAAACTTCTTTCTGGACGAAGCGGACAATGATCTAGATTTCAATTGGGAGCCAACTCAAAGATTCCACGATTCGACCGATCGAAGTCGACCGTGGTTTGTTAACCCCGAAGACGATGCGGAACTTGACCGACATTATCTTTCAGCTTCGGGAGCCTCCTCATACGATGATGCGGAATCCACCAATGCTAGTATTTTTGATCGAGTGGTTGATACCGTCAACACCGCTAAAGACATTGCGCATGTAATATGGAATGTGGGCTGGCGGCGATAATCGACCATATACCCGCCGCCGACTCCAGGAGAATGTCGATCACCTGACGTCCTCATTCTCCGAGGCATCTCTCTCTCTTTCTCTGTCTCTTTTTGTTTTACATGGAGGGCTAGGCTGGTGCCCTATGTCTCTCGAAATGCGATACACTGAATATTGGCGTTTGCAGCGATTTTCTTCGCCTCCTCATCCTTTATCATCTTTTCTTTCTTTCTACGTTGCTTTAATTTTCTAAAAACAACGAGGTGGGCGTTCTTGGGAGCATATAACGGTCCATGAGCGGCAATTGTTACATTTCCTTTTTACTGGGAGGGCTATATTCTGTGATAAAGAAAGTTGATATTGGGTTTCTTTCGCTCTTTCTTCTTTTCTCTTTCTCTTTAATTACCGCTAGGCCCTGGGGCTGCTTTGATTGTTCCTCCTTACTCATACGAGGTCCGATGCATGATTAATGACCAATATATACAGAAGAATCCCATGCGTGAATGTGATGCTACAGGAAATAAAGTTCGAAACAAGAGATCTTCAAGGAGGTCCCAGCGCGGTTACTGTCATTGTGCCCGTTATCCTTGTATCTGGGTCGTAGTTACCTTTTCTACCTTGGTTGGGCACCCTCATTCTGGGTTTGCCAGCTCTCCTTTGAAGGGATCTGGAATGGCCTCAAGCGGTCCAGAGCAAATTCGGTCGTCTGAACAATCTGGTTAAGCTTCTCAAGGTGTGGCATACTCATGGTGTCCACTGCTCTCAGACGTTTTCCTCCGAAGCAGCCTGGACACGTTCACCCAATGTTTCAACGCTGGGTATGGGCAGAAGCTGATCGGATCGGTGTCACCCCCACCGGGTCGTCGTGCCACCCCATTCGTGGAATGGATAAATTCAAGTCGTTCTCAAGACAGTTGCCACGGAAGCTTTGGTGAAAGTTGTTGAAATTATGAAGAAGGTTGCCTATTACTCTGAACTGGTTAGGGGTTATCTTTGCTTAAATACCTTATCTAGGCCTTACTATTCACCTACTTCTTTATTTTTTTTAATTTTCTTTGTCTGCTAGGTCATACCACGATTCCCAAAGTAGCCATATTCAACTCAACGCTTCTGGAACGGAGTGCTTGGGGTGACATCTCATCCCGAAAGAAGTAACTAAAGAAAGAAGATGCACAAAAGGGAAGAGAAAGAAAACCGGGTCTATAAAATATATCAGACTAACGGTACCTCTTCTACTTCATGCTTCTAGATATTAACCATCTTCATGATGCAACCTGAACAGGAAGGACTGCTTGGCGTGCATACAGCCCATGCCAATACGGAGCTATACGAGCCTTGCCTTTATGTAAGAGCAAATTCCTCAGTGGTCGCAAATCCTTATATAGGCATGTCTATGACAGCCACATGCTATTGTGTTACATGCAATACGGTGTATCAGGGTTTCTGGGTCTACAATGTAATAAGCTTGGCATTGGATGAGTACGTTGCTTTGCTGTAATTAGGATAATGAGAAAAATGAGACACTCACCAATGGGTATCTTGAGACTATACTAGTATCCCAGGAAACGATGTCGTGGGCTACGACCATCGTAGTACGAAAGTTGATGAGCAACACTGACATGGCTCGACCAAGGCGGAGATCAAGATCGGAGGGAATATTACTCCCAGTAGACTAAATTACCCACCGAGACGGAGGGAGCTCGAGGTCTTAACTTTCCATCGCATCTTCAGAGGCGTCTTGAAACGTTTCTGGGAAGAAACCCGGCGGCGGCCAAATATCTGCGATCGAAGGTGGATGAAGTAAAGGTTGAGGACCCGCAAGACGATCTGGATCATGACAGAAGGCCTGGAAGGTAGAGTCATCGAGGAAGCCAAAATCTTTCAAACCTGCTTCGCGACTGGTGGCCCATTCAGTAGTATCAAGATATGCGAGATCTTTGAAGATAGAATCTAGATCGCTATTTGAGATTTGGCGCTCAGGGGTACCCGAAGTTCCAGCGCCAAGGTCCATCGCGTTTGCGGAAGACAGAGAATGATCATTGATAGGGTTCATACCGGACATTATTGTGTTCGATACTGAGGAGTCGGGCGTAGGTGGATTTTGATGTGCAGGTTGAAGTAGCGCATCGAGGCTACTTGAAGAGTTGGACTTGTCCAGCAGCGCCGTTACTTGGTTCATCTGTTGGTACTGCGGTTGAAGCGGTGCATCCCTCGAGGGGTCCGTATTCTCCATCTCCGTGTCTTTCGGCGTCATATATTGCCCATCCACCGGAATACTGATCCCCAGGATTGAAGATGTATAGTCGTTATCCATCACGTGCGAGTTGTTCATCCTGACGCGTTGCATAGATGCCTCGCCATTTGTACCTCGGTAACCTTCCGTGATATCGGACGGATATGGTTGGGTAGGTCCATCGGGGACAACTATTGGTAAATTGTCTCTTGATCTTGGGAAAGTGGCTGGCGAATGGGCTGACAACTCCTTTAAGCGACACCATTGTTCAAGACTTGTGGTCAACGAACGATAAACAGGCCAAGAGGGGGAGAGCTCCTTCGTCCGTTGCAGAAGCGCTTCAGCCCATCGTTCAAAAGGGAAAGCGTCGGATTCGATATTATTGCGCAAAGTAAATGCCTGTTTGGAAATTGTATGCAAGGAAACCTCGAATATTGGCGGCAGGCCGCAGATACGGAAGTTATCAAGATGCTGTGATATCATTGGTAAAGCTCTATATAGTAGTTTCTTAGCGCCCTCGGTAGCAGGCCGTTGTGAACGGTGCAGCCCGAGTTCATGGGGAGCAATGCGCAAATAAAGCCATAGCAGTGTGGCTATGTAGGTTAAACCCAAGTATGTCTGATGCGGGAGCAAAGCTGAGTGCCGTTCTGGATAGATACTCTCGGGGCCAATAAGCCGGCATCCTAGCGGCAGACAATCGTCCCATTGTTTGAGCTCTAGCACCAGCTGCTGCGCAAAAGCATGTGTGTTATGTCGGACTGCAGTATCTTGAGCAATCTTGTTCAGAACACTAGCCAGCTCAACGAGGCGGTTGAAGCAACTTAGGGCTAGAAGAGGACCACGCCGGGGAGGATTCTTCGCCTGCCCCGCTGCGGTGGCTGGTAGAACATCCGCCCATGAGTTCCATTCTTCCAAGCCGTCTTCTTCTAACAAGCCCACAGCGGCAAGATCCCGTGACTGCATGTACGGTCTTCGGGACAGGCGAAACGATATCAACGAGTCGATAACAAAACACCCAAGAAAGACTGCTTTGCCTTGCCTCAATTCATCAGATCGTCGAACGTCTGTAGTTGTGCCAAGACCCATGGAAATAGCCATGCGGACTGCCTGACCCGTCAGCAGCCAAGCGGCAGTCCATTTCTCGAGTCCGATGTTCACCAACACCAGCAGGAGAAGTGCCTGCATATGCCCAAGCTCATAATGCTCCACTTCCGAAGGAATCAAGCGCCAGGCAACCGCATAATACTCCTTTGTTTTAGAAAGCAGCTTGGATGCCCCATTCTGCAGATTTGTCCGTGATTGTGAGGTTGTATAACTGATGAGGGCCCACAGCGCAGCATGGTCGCCAGATCCTGGAGCCGCCTGCGTAATGGACACTGGCGCTGTTGCGTAGAGGTAAGATGCCCGAAGGATATTATGTTTTGCTACGATCGGGAACCAGGAGTGGGTGACAGCAAAATATACGTCCAACAATTGCGAGGTTTGAGGCGGTAGCTGTAAGTCAGGACATCCATTGGTAGTGGTAAGGGAGGCAGGTTGACTAGCAGTTGGAGGAGCTAATCGACTTCTTTTAGCGCGAGGAGAAGAAGTAGAGGGCTCCACAACACGAGGGCCGTCAGAAGGCAGAGGATCTGGGCCGCGATCTATGCGAAACCCCCATTCATTCCCTGAAGCCTCTTGTTCCTCTCGGGGACGCTTGCCGGAACTTTGTAACGTCAGCGTATCGGAACTTGACAACATTTTTTCAAGAGCGCCATAGAGGCGGCTCGTCTTCCAAGATTCATGGAGTGTTTCTGATGCGCCATCGTCGCCCCAGAGACGCATAAGCCTATCTCTCCGGCCTGCCGACTCGGCTGTGGTGCCCAACAACGAGAGCATTGTATCTTCAAAGCCCTCAATATTACATATCGAAAGAGCCCAGAGCTTTTCCAAACCACGGACATAACCCTCAGGAAGTCCGCGCTTCTTTGCATGAGGATCGTATGAGCATGTCTGGCCTGAAGCCTGACACGCGGAGCAAGCGGGACGCAGGCCGTCGCATTTGTCCTAAAGTACATTGTCATCGCGTCAGATTCAATGTCATCTTACAAAATATTGCACCGAGTAACAGCATGAATCAATCTAAGGGAATTCCCCCATAAAATCCTAGAAGGCAGCGAATGTGATGAAATTGGGGGAGGGGGTTTGTTGGCATGGTATGGTAGAGCAACGAAACAGAGTAATATCTCGGGTGACGATACCCCGAGGGACCAACCAACCTTTTTACTGCGACACCTGTCACAGGCTCTGGAGACCCTCTTGCGCCGAGGAGCTCTTGGATCCGGGGCCTCATCCATTGGAGAGGGATTACTTATGGCGGGGATAACATGCCATGTAGAGCAGAACGAAGGAGGAGCGAGAACGACTGGTCGGGAGATCACCGACCAATAACTGTAAGATTTACGGGAAGTTGGCGAACGACGGATTTTCAGTAGTGAGCTCGATAGCGTCGGGAAGAGTAATATCACGGGCACATAACCTTCCTGTTTATATACCCCGTGAGTATATGGGATTTGGGAAATAAAACGTAGCAAGAGTGTAAGAAGTCAAGTCTATCACCACAGCCACTTCAAGGAGTCTGAATGATCAATCATCTGCGTTCCCTTGGACCCTCCAGATCTAAGACGAAAATGGCCAGACCCATCCCGAGGCAGGAAGTAGTCAACGGCTCTTGTAAAGACAGACGTCGGGGCGAATATCGGGAAGTGGATTGAACGATGGATATTGAAAGACGGATTCCCTTCCGACGGTACCCTTCCGATACCAATGGAGGATTGCGAGCTATTCCTGATCAGGACCGCTTGGTTATTACTCTCCCCACATGATGTCCCCACGATTGCTGTGTCCTTTTATTATTTATTTATTATTCATAATTTTTTCTTTTCCTCCCCTTTTTTTCCCACTCTTTTCCCCACATAAAAAAAAGAAAGATAAAAAAAATAAAAATAACAAAAAACAGGACCTCACTCATGGGTTGGGTATCCTTACTGATTCTTTCTCTCTACCGATAATTAAAACCACGGTCTTAGAATGTTCCCTAGTCAAGCTCACATTTCGCCACATTATCCGGGGAACTTTTCCGATTGTCCTGCACCAGGAAGAAGGACCGCTCCAACTGCCGATAATCGGTGATCTTTTTCGTCCGGATGGTACTATATACGGAGTACTCCGTATAAGTGGTGGAGATTCCAAATCCCCACAACTCAGGTTGTTGTCTACGGAGTACTACTAGTACCTACTACGAAATAAGCGATCGATAGAGCAGGAGGATTTAAACTCAACACAGCCACGGCATCCCGAATCGGTAATCATCTGTCTGGGTTTGAATAATAGGCATTGGAAGCCCACCAAATTAAGAATATCGCGAGCGAGATGTGCAGTTCTCAAAATAGAATATACCTAAGAATGAATCCAAATTATTCAAGCTATTTATCGAGAACGAAAAAGAAAAATTACGAGTATGGTGCCGTTCCCATTTGAGGTCTCGAGATCGGATTAATAGCACCTTGGACCTCAGGACTTTTAGCCACATACTCACTCAATTCAGCTCGAAAACTGGGTTCATGATATCAGAGTTCTGAGTGATGCGGCTAAGACCTTTGCCGGGAGTTCTGGGGGAAGGCGGTGACATTCGACAGACCTCTACACTCTGCCGCATCAGTATTGATATACCCGATCACTTAGACCGATCTTAGTGCTAACTGAGTAATCTTTGGAATTGCTATATCCACCAACTACTGCACCTGTGCAACGGGCTCCTTTCACAGTCACAGCATGCTCACTGTGAGTTGCTGCATCGTCTCAAGGCACATGCGCCCCGATTATCTACTACATCCTTATCTCGTTATCCAGCTCGTGTAGTGGATTCAGGTCACACCATCTTAAGCCAACCTGCTCCCCAGCCGAATCATGGTTCCGCTATGATTGTTCGTTGAAAATAGTTACGGTTGCCACACGTCCGCTTACAGTTCATCGTCCAGTGAGATCCTAATTTAGTCTACCAACAAATACACAAGCCCAACAGGCATCATCTGTCGGCACGATGTCTCAATCCCTAGGCCACAAGTGTCACCGTAACCTCAATCCCGATGCTTCCTTAGTACTGGTTGGGATCCGAGGTTGTGGAAAGCGTTCGTTGGGCTTTGTTGCGGCAGCGGCGTTGAAAAGACGGTTCATCACCGAGGATCACTATTTCAAGCAGGTTACTGGGCTCACGCGACATGAGTACCTTAAGCGCTTTGGGAGCCAGGAGTTCCAGAAGCGTGATATCGAGGTTCTTAAGATGATGCTCGACAAACATCGATCGCGCTGCGTAATCGAATGCGGTCTGGGAAGTCTTACTCGTCCTGTGCAGGAGTACCTTCGTCTGTATTCAGCGACCAATCCTGTGGTGTATGTGGTTCGTGATATGTTCCGCATTCAAACTCTCCTAGGATTGGAAGATCAAGCTGTTAAATTGCTTTGTGAAGGAGACCCCCTGCATCGTATGTGCTCGAATTTTGAGTTCTATAATATTGAGGACCGTTCCAGCATGTTAGCTCAACTCGACGAAGTAACACCCGACCGTCGATCAGCTGGGTATTCGTTCAAGCTCAAAGAAGCCAAAGAGGACTTCACTCGATTTGTACGTTTTATCACTGGCGCAGATGTCAACCATTCGAGTTACGACTCCCCCTTCGTACTACTGGAAACCCCTCCTGAAAACCGCTCCTTTACACATGCTATCTTCATTCGATCCTCTGAAATGCTTCAGGAGGGCGTTGATTTGTGCGAGCTAGAATCAGGAGGAGACGCCATTGAGCTGTGTGTGGATCGTTGGGATACAGAGATGGCGAGTACTGTGAGCAAGCAGATTTCTTTACTTCGCAGGAGTGCTCGCATCCCGATTATCTTCTCAATCGACGCTTCGACATCCGGAATTGACAATGGTACGCTCTCCCCGGCACAGCTGCGCAGCCTCTATTTCGAGATTGCGGAACACGGCTTGCGACTAGCGGTAGAATACCTGGCGATAGACCTCGAGCAAGACAAATCATTGTTGGCCGAAACCTGTCGTAATAGGGGTATGACCAAGATCATTGGCCAGCATATATTCAAACCCTCGTCCAGTGTAATGTGGGACGACGAATCGTGCCTGTCTCTTTACCTTGAAGCCGAGAAGCTCGGTTTTCAACTGGTTCGCATTCTCAGAGTAGCAGCGGAGCGCGAAGATAACGCGGCTGTCGCCAAATTTATAAACAAAATCCAGTCTCTACCGGGCGAGCATCCGCCTATCATCGCCTACAACGTAGGCAGCCTTGGACGAACATCCCAGGTGTTCAATTCAACACTCACCTCGGTCACTCACCCGGCGATTAAGCGCCCCACGGGCAATAGAACAGATCCTCTGATTACTTCACGCGATGCGGTACAGGCGTTATTTCAAAGTTATGTGCTGGATCCTCTGCAGTTTTATATTCTTGGGGCTAGTGTGGCCTACAGTCTCTCACCAGCTATGTACAATGCTGCTTTCCACCACTGTGGCATGAGCCACACCTACAGTATTCCCGAATCTCCCTCTCTCACGGCTTTAGACAAACTGGGCCGAGATCCGCATTTTGGTGGTGCTAGTGTTGTCCAACCATGGAGGGTGCAAATTTTCCAGAAGCTCTCCTCGAAAAGTCGACATGCAGAGGCAATTGGAGCGATTAACACGATTATGCCTTTGCGGGCGCGCGCCGATGGGACGATGTTCCCTCTACAAGAGCAGGCTAGCCGTCGCAATCAGGCGGGGCCCGTGCTGGGCTGGTACGGTGAGAATACCGACTGGGTGGGAATCATGACCTGCATGAATCGCAACCTTTCGCCGCGTAATGCCATTAGTCCGTTGAAGACGACTGGGCTGGTAATTGGAGCGGGCGGCATGGGGCGTGCTGCCATTTATGCCATGCTTCGTCTAGGATGCCGAAAGATCTTTATATACAACCGCACCTTGTCCCGCGCCGAGAATGTAGCCCGTCACTTTAATTCATGGGCTGCATCGCAGGTTGGCTCTACAAAAGTGGTGCATGTGCTGAAGTCATTGCAAGATGAGTGGCCGTCAGATACTTGTCATCCATGTTTGATTGCGTCTTGTGTACCTGCCGACCCGGACCAAGATGAACCTCCGGCAAACTTCGAGATGCCGATGCAATGGCTTGAGAGTCCTACTGGTGGGGTGGTCTTAGAGGTAGGTCTTCCTCTCCCTCCTCTCCCTCCTCATTCTCCATCATTCTCCTCTTCCACCCCTCTGCAACTCTAATAATTACTGATTGATACTGATCCTGGACATAGTTTGCATACAAACCCTTGGAAACCCCACTCCTACGTCAAATGCGTCGTTTCCGCAGTGAAACTGGACGGCCATGGGTTCTGGTAGATGGGCTCGACAACGTTATTGAGCAGGCCATCGCTCAGTTTGAGCTGCTGACTGGACGGAAAGCGCCACGGCGATTGATGACTCTGGAAGCACTTCGCAATTATGTCGGGGAGCACGGACAATTTGACGAGGAAACAATTCAAGCGCGACTTGACGGGGTCCAGTAGCGCGCGGTAAGTGAGTCGGCAGTGAAGAGGCGTGGCATGCATTGCCCATTGAATGTATGAATATGTATTTTGTAATACAGAACCATAGACCGTACACGGATAAAACTACAATGTTTAAGACAAAACTGTGTTCAATTCCCGGATCGCAGCGATCACGTGCGCTAATGTGGACTGCGATCCGTCAATTCAACAGACAACTACGGACGCGCGTCCAAACGTCTCCTTGGAGTATATGCGACCTTTGCATCTGAATCCAGCAATGGCTCCCTGTTTTGCTCAACTGCACCACTAAAAATGGCAATTAAGAAGGTGCCGAGACTCCCTCACCGCAGAGGCTCCCAATCCTCCGAAGATGACTTCTTCGATATCCCTGACGAACCATGCCTGGCAATCGCCAAACGGCAACTTAGACGCATTCGGACATGGGTGGTTTTCGCCTTCCTCGTCCTTTTTATTTTATGGCTCCGACGGGAGCGTCCCCCGCCTCCGGCCCTGCCTCACATAAATTACGATTTGGTGGACTGGTCCCGTTATGCCTACAGCCAGTATGCGACCTCTAGCGCCTATCTGTGCAACGCCCTCATGGTATTCGAAGCCTTGCAACGGCTAGGAAGTCGGGCACAACGGGTATTATTCTTCCCTGAAGATTGGGATGTCAGTGTCGAAAGCGAGCGTGATAGGGATAGCCAGTTGTTGGCGATGGCAAGAGATAAATACAATGTGATGCTGATCCCCATCAGCTTGGAGACTATCAAACCGGGGGCAGGTGTGTTGTGGCAGCAAAAAACCAACGAGGTAAAAGCAAGGGCTAATAAGATTTATATTCCTTGACAGGATCTGGAGAATCATGGGATAAAAGTATCTCTAAATTGCTTGCCTTCGGCGAGAGCGAGTACGATCGGATAATCCACCTCGACTCCGATGCCAACGTTCTGCAGAACATGGATGAGCTATTTTTCCTTCCTCCGACCAAGGTTGCGATGCCACGGGCGTACTGGGAGCTTCCGGATACCAAACAACTGTCGTCTCTGCTGATTGTAATCGAACCGTCCTACAATGAATATAATGCTCTGATGGAGGCGGCGCTTCCGGCTATATACGGACAGAAAACGTTCAATGCATCATCGACACATCGATACGATATGGAGTTATTGAACGAACGTTATGCCGATTCCGCCACCGTGCTTCCACATCGCCAGTATGGCTTAGTGAGTGGCGAATTCCGCACTGAGGATCACAGAAATTTCCTGGGAAATGACTATGAGGTCTGGGATCCGGATAAAGCGCTAGCAGAAGCCAAGCTTGTGCATTTTTCAGATTGGCCTTTGCCTAAACCGTGGGTACTGTGGCCGCAGAAGTTGCTGGCTGAAATGTTGCCCAAGTGTAAACACAATCCTGGCACACCCCAAGAAAGTGGGTGCCGTGATCGAGAGGTGTGGAAGAGTATCTATCATGACTTCCGACGGCGGCGAAAGGTTTGTGTTGCACCTTTCCATCGGCATACGACTTTATTAACAGAGCCATTAGGACGTCTGCAAGCTTCTGAGTTATCCGGCCCCTGATTGGCCTCCAAGAGAGCATTCTGAGCCTTCCAGCTCAAATGAACCTGTATAATGCATATTTGATGGAGTATGACCGGCGTTCCTGGGTTTACACACGGGCTAGCATTACATGTAAATCATATAGACTGTCCCATTTTATTATAATACATCACCGGAGAATTCACCCTGCATTTAGGGGACACGTGCATTCTCAACTGACCTCACCTCATTCTTGTTAAACTGGGTGGGTATCAAGGTTTCAACTGGCATGAGAGCATATTTGGGCTTCGGTATCCAACAAACATGCCTGAAGATGACACATAAGGGAAAGGAGGGGCAACTGCTTCAGTTTGAGAAACAACAAACAAACTCTTGCCATCCTCGCCATATCTTCACCTATACCATGATGGCATTAACGGGCTGCAAAAGATGTGGCATCGCAGCGATCTTGTCGCTCGCATTATGCCAGTCAGCTGCGAGTACTTCTGGTCCGACAGACAGCCTATTCACTTTCAGCTGTTTACCATTGACAACACAACGGTCTGATCCGATTATATCTCCGGGAAAGCCTTCCTCACACACGCACGTCGTTGTAGGGGGCACAGCTTTTCAGAGGCTGATGACAACCGAGACTGCTAAAAATGCCAACGACACAACCTGTGAGGTTGCGATAGACCGGAGCAATTACTGGATTCCACAATTATATCATCAGACGCGAGATGGGTTTGAAACAATCGAATTTGAGAACAGCGTATGTTATAAACAGTAATGAAGAATATCCGGACGGCACCTGACATAGCAAACCAGGCAATATATTATTTCAACAGAGCATGCGATTATTCCCCCAACGCAACATCTTGCGATGGTACAGAATACCCGCTGGCGCCACCCCCCGGCCTGCGCATCGTTGCTGGAGATTTATTTCTCCGGTAAGAGGTTTTTGGAGCGAGTCATTCAAGGTGCAGCAGGGCTGATGCTGTCATAGAACGTATAACGAGACGAACTTCGCACAGCGGGCCATCTCCCATATGTGTATGAAGGATGATGGGACTTCAAGCGAAACAAAACATCTTCCCCAGCAACCATGTCTGAAATTGAGATCGCAAGTGTTTTTCCCCTCATGCTGGGATGGAAAAGCTCTCGATAGTCCAGACCATCAGAGCCACGTGAGTAAAGCTTCGACGATTATGACATGTTCTAGCCTGATGTTGAATTAGATGGCCTATCCCGCGGTTGGGGATTATAATCAGGGTGTTTGCCCGGAGACCCATCCGGTGGCTGTGTATTCGATATTTATGGAATTCTTCTTTAACACGAAACCCTTTCCTGACCATGAGAATTGGGTGTACGCTATGGGCGACCCAACAGGATATGGTCTGCATGGAGACTTTCTCAACGGCTGGACAGACCAGAACGCACTGCAGAACGCTATGGCGACATGTACGGGCCTGGAGGGGCTGAACGATCCGGAATGTTCGATCACAAACAACCAAACAAGGGCACTGACTCCAATCACACATTCTTTGGATGCACCTTCACCGTTGGAGCAATTGGGTCAGCATGGGCCACTTGCCAAATTACCAGGGAATAATCCGATAACAGGATCACACGGGCTGTAGTGACTGAGGTGACACTGAGGTCTCTGCTTAACCTCCTGCAAATAGCTTCAAGATCATTGCATACTTTGAAAGAGGAGATCTTGGTTGATAACGCAATAACACATCCCGAAGATCCATACTGGGCAGCGTAACTGGTCGTATGAATCCACCAACCCTATGCACCTGCGTTGCGATCGCTCTTCGGGCATCCCAGGCTGTATGAGAACAAGTAGATTGCTTCAATCCAGGCCACATCACTCGCCAGAGCTGTGCAGAATATGTGCTGTAGATTATTAATGAGTTTTAGCCCCAATAGTACAGTCTAAATCGCCAATCAATTCACATATCCCATCCCCTTCCTCCACCATCTCCAAACACCGCGATCTTCCATTATACTTCCGAACTCCTTGACTGTCTCGACCTCTTCTAGACCAGCGACAGGATCACTCCCACCTTGCTCTTGTTGTCCATTACTTTTCTTAGCGCCCTGCTGTTTCCCGTTCTCATTCCGATTCTGAAGATCTTTCTCCAGAAGTCCAGGCCTAGCCACAAGCTGGAAATCCTTATATCTCAGATTGCGTACCACGCTCACCCATGCCTCAACAGCATTTTTCTCGTTTGATTCAACATACATGATTCCAGGAATGCCACCAGAGCGAAGGAGTGCAAAGCAATCGTGAGCGGACGCAGCTTGTTTCAGCGCAGCAACCTTCTTGCGGGAGGTAATGTGGTGGGTGCGGATGAGGGCGTTGTATAGCATTGTTAGAAGTGTTTCTTTTCTCTTGATTAATTTCAAAGTCTAAAGGCCTCGGAGGGAACATATCGGTATCATCGTGACTAGTAGGGTAATCCCTACAATTTCCTGATGTTGTTGGTAGGCGAGGGCGGGTTCTTATCCCAACACACATGAATCATAACCCGTGATGCCAGTGGAGCCAGCGGATAACCAAAATAGGTATAGCGTATTTTCGTATATAACTGTATACACATTACCCATTCTATGAGTTCACTCTAACCACACTACGGATAATCAAGACCGATCTATGGCCAGCCTTAGAAAAGAGAAAACATCGGCAGTCAAGCACAAAGATCAAGACCTGTTTCACTACAAATTGGGACATACAGACCCCATCGCTTGCGCCATTGGAAAGTTTGTGGCTCACTAAGACGTAAAGGCGTACTTCATGTGTGACTACTCGAGCTTCAACAAGAAAGGCCTCATAGTCAGCTGCAAATTTTGGTTATCGTCAAAATCTTAGTACCGAGGAGGGTCATGGCATGTTATTTATGGTTTTGCGCATTTTAGAAATAGAGCTGCTTCATCACATAGAGCACAAAAACATAAAAGGGTTAAAGATAAACTAAAACCTGAGACAACGCTTGTATAGGGTGGTTTTGGTTGAGCCAGAGTTCCGCCCCATATTTGTGGCTCGGAAACCATAGTACTAGAATGGGAAATGAAAATGACTTGTCAAGCTGTATGCCGTCTCTATATAACGCGTTGTCTGGCAAAGTGTACAACTTTCACTCCTGCGTTTATTTCGACCGATTGGTCTCTATGACTATGGCTCAACATAGCGATTGAGATAGATAGTAATAAATTTTAGTATTAGATATAACTCGATTGTTCACTGGTTAGGAAGGTAGTTAATCTCGTATCTGACTGTGTCATATAGATTATGAACCTATCCGTGAGTCAGATCCTGTGCGAAGAGTCTATAATGATAGTGTTTAGTAGATTGCGCCTTGGTTAATGAATCAAGAACTCCAAGACCTCAGTCTGTAGCTCTATGGAGACCACAAATTTCTCAGGGTTCTGACTGCTATGAAATTGTTTGATGCATACTATGCTTTGGATTTTACAGATTGATGATTCCCTGAGAAATAGAGATTGGTTAACTTTTGTTAGGCAATTTTGATACAAGTCTGTGCCATTCTGTTTAGCTTGTGTTTTCATGTGTGTATTCCAATATAGGTGAACTGGCTGGTAAGATATGGGCTATACAAAAGCCCGGTTCCGTTGACCCCTGCCCTTTATCATACTTCGTAACACCTGGATACACCGACACTTTATTCATAGAGCGTAGGGGGTATTCTATATATTTTGTAGGGTTGGTAGGGTTCTTGACTAAATATAATGTATCAACAATATTACAATAAATCTTGAGGCCTCTGTGTAACCACCTATCGAAAATTATAAGAAGCGTAGAATATGATATGATAATGTAGTAAATTGAGACATGTACAACCAGAAAATTTTAGTTCTTTGGCGATGTTGTATTGATATTTTAACTAACCAGATCAATATATTTTCCCGCTATTCTGTGGTTGCATGGGTATTTATGATAGTTAATCTACACATAAGTAGCCTGTTGATTTGTGTCTTGGTACACTATTGGAGTAGCTTCGAATTAGCACAGAGTTGGAAATTATCTATTAATGCGTGTTTCATGGCAGTTGTACTTTGGCCCGTCTGACTGCCAAGTATCAGACAGTGTAGCAGACAAGGCATGATTGCCCATGAGACGGACGAGTAATAGACTCGGATATTGATTGAGTTAAAGCATCGAGGGAGAGTTTTAGCTTGGGAAATAGCTGTTGAGGCCAACAAAGCAGTTGCGAAACTGGGAGGTAATATATGACCGAGACTCTGCTGTGACTGATGATTATGGACAGCACAATATGTTATTGATTATGTACTTAGCATCTATACGGGGTTGAAGTTGTTAGATACGTCCATCGCGGCTAGTTCAGAGCAAAGCAGCTCCGTACAGGGAGATGTATATGCTACTGAAGAAGTAGATATGAACTTGGGACTTGTGATATATCCAGTTACTTTTACACCATGCCGTGAGTGGGGATCATATAGAATGTATATATGGAGTTACTTGGCGGTATAATCAATTAGTATAGTATCGTGGTTATTGATGAGCACTGAAGCAAAACAATTATGATATGTGGACTAATGATATCGACCACTGCTCAAAAAGAAAATTGCTTGCTAATAAAGATGACTCATTTCAAGATGAGGATATTGTTCTCTCTCCCTCTTTGATTTATTTTTTCCTTTGATTAGTTTCGGCTGTAGAAGAAAAGAAGAATCTGGATTGGGATCCATCTGGGCGAAAGATTACCCGTAAAGGGTAAAGGCTGGTGGCCACCTGACGTCCAATCCCGTTCAAGTTAAACCAAAAACCCACCAATGGTGGTAAGAATTCGATTGGAGAACGTGCTGCTACGTAGCCCTAGGTTAACTACCAAGTAGTACGCTGTACTACTGGCAGCGACGAATACTACGAATACGGACATGTATGTACTCTCTGTACAGCAAAGCAACCGATGTCTATCTATCCAATCATACTAGTAGAGCATATTTACGTTGATCCTGGGGTATAGCCTAAGACTCGGTATGGAGTATCCTACTCCTCCTCTTAGAAGATACTAGTGGAGAGGTGGGGCTCAAGATACGCACTGCATCTTGGCTGCCCTTTTAGCTTAACTGGAGAAGTCTGGAACGCTAGGGGAAAATTCCAGGTTCCTAGCACCCATGATTCATTCATCCACTCTAGACAACTGCCCTATTCGGAAAATTCCCTCTATCCTAGTAGTCCAGATGCCGAGCTTTTGCCTTCTCGGACCTTACTGGCCAATCAACCCTTCTATAGCCATACGATGCGAGTAATTTTCTTTTGCGACACCGAAAGTGGTGGGCCCTTCGAGAGATGATCGTCGAATCTCTTTGCACCATTATGCCTACAAAAACCACAGAAACTGTCTTATATGACGTTCAATAGCCTTGGGACAGTGAAGCTTGGCTTCCTCTTTAATCCAGCACACGAGACCTGTAAACTAGTGCTGCCTGCAGTCTAGCCACACCGACTGGTATATAAATCTGTCTTTGTGTGCGATGGTTGAGGATAGATACATCAAGCTGATCTCTCTACATCAGACTTATCTTGCGAGCCACCAGGCTAAAGAAGGGCTGTGGATTTACCATGCCGGCCCATCTCCACGCTCACCCACATGGGAGCACCTCCCTAGCTGCCAACCATGAAGCTGAGAGTCCATCAGATACACTGTCCTCTCCTCGGGTATACTTGTCTCACGACGATGAGGATGCCATCGCGGAGATCCGTCGGACCTTGACTGAGATTAGCCATCATAACCCCCAACAAGCTTATTCGGAGCCGCACTCTTCCTTTGACAAGTTTTTAGAAGCAGAGTTGCAAGCGGGCCGGAAAAAGTCGAATCTTGGAGTTTGCTTTCAATCGCTGTCGACATGGGGGGATGGTGAGGAGCACACCGATGTTAAGACCTTGGGAACGGCACTCTGGCGCACATTGACATTTCAGGATGTCTATGAGTGGACGATCCAGCCCTGGCTTTCTAAAAAGGAACCTCAGAGCGGACGTCCGTTGATTCGTGATTTTTCAGGTGCCGTTCGAAGTGGTGAGATCATGCTGTAAGTACATCTACGCTTATAGAGCCATGTACCAACGAAGATGTTCTCAGACTGACGACTCAACAGGGTGCTGGGACGACCGGGAGCTGGTTGCTCGACATTTCTACGAACAATTGCGGGCCATCACTCTTCGTTCCTCGGAGTGACAGGGTCGTTGGACTACTCTGGTCTCAGCCTAGAAGAGGTCAAAAAGCACTATCGTGGCCAGGTGGCCTATGTCCCAGAGGACGATGTACATTTTCCTACACTCACGGTGCAACAGACGCTGGAATTTGCGCTCCAGAGTAAGACACCCCAGAGATACCAAGACCGGATCTCTCGTTACCTTGAGATCTACGGCCGCGTGTTTGGCATGTCTCACACGATGAATACATTGGTCGGTAACGAATACATTCGAGGTGTTTCTGGTGGGGAACGCAAGCGTATCTCAATCATTGAGTCCCTCGCAACGGATTCTTCTGTTTCATGTTGGGATAATTCCACCAGGGGACTTGACGCTTCATCCGCCCTGGACTATGCTCGTAGTCTCCGAATTATGACTGATACATGCGGCAAAGCTACGCTAATGACACTGTATCAAGCATCGGATGCCATTTACGACCTGGTTGATAAGGTTCTTCTGATTGACGAAGGGCGCATGCTTTTCCAAGGCCCGGCTCGGGAAGCAAAGCGTTACTTTGAAGACTTGGGTTACGAGTGCGCGGAAATGCAGACAATCTCGGACTTCTTAACGAGCATCACAGTGCCTGAGAGACGCAGATTCCGACCAGGTTGGGAGCACCGAGCCCCCAAAGGCCCCATTGAGCTGGAGGAAACATTCCGCAAAAGCCCAGCCTATCATAAGGTCCAGTGCGATGTACAGCAGTACGAGGATCAATGCCTTGGCGGAAAAAGTGTTCGATGCTCGCAGACTGACTCAGACGATGGAAGTCTGGAAGACTTCAAGAAGGCCATACAAACAGACAAGTCCCGTTTTGTTTCGCCTAAGTCCCCGTATACGATCTCCGTGTTCCGACAGGTGGTGCTTTGTGCAAAGCGACAGCTCTGGCAGATCCGGGGACATATGTCTCCTTTGTATATCAAAATAATATCATCTGTTGTCTACGGGTTGCTGGTCGGTTCTATGTTCTATAACCAGCCGCAGACTACTGCAGGGATGTATTCTCGAGGAGGAGTCATTTTCTACTCCTCCATTCTGCTCGCATGGCTCCAGATGTCCGAATTGGAAGAAGCGATGCAAGGGCGGGACATTCTCAGCCGTCAAAAGAAGTTTGCGTTTGTTCGACCCAGTGCTGTATGTTTGGCCAGAGTTATTACGGATTTCCTCATAGCAGCAGTGCTCACGTTTCTTTATCTGATCGTGGTTTACTTTTTATCTGGCTTGAAATCCGATGTAGGTTGCTCCTCTGTATCTAGTATGAAAACTCTCACTAACCGTTCAACCAGGCCGGAGCTTTTTGGATTGACTTCTTATTCATCTATCTATGTACCATCTGTTTAACGGCCCAGTTCCGATTGTTCGCCGCCGCGTCTTCCAACTTTGAAGTTGCTTTGCGATACTGTGGCGTATCCGTGCTGTTCTGCATAGTTTTTGGTGGTTATGTCCTCTCAGTAGATAGGATGATTGAAGACGTTCCTTGGGTTGGATGGATAGCGGTAAGAATTCTACAAGGATCCCTTGTTCTGCTCGATGCTCATGCCATTCTTCAGTATACCACTCCAGCTCTTTATACCTACGAGGCAACGATGGCAGCAGAATTTCACAATACCAACTTCACTTGCTCACCAGAATCTGTTGTCCCTTCCGGTGCCAACTACACCAACATTGCATATCAGACTTGCGGCTATGCAGGAAGTCAGATCGGAACGACTGTCGTGAATGGTGACGACTACTTGGCAGCGCAATACGGCTTTTCTTTTGGTCATGTCTGGCGCAACTTTGGAATATTGTGCCTCTTCACTGTGGTCTACATCGCCTGTACTTGCTGGTTAAGTGAAATCATGGAATGGGAACCGGACAGTGCGGGCCCCATACAGTATAAGAAGTCGCGGAGAAGTTCAAGACGAACCCACAGGGAAGGATCGGATGAAGAAAGCAACCCTGTCCAACGCGATGCAACCATGCCTGATCCAGCAAACACTGGTGAAAAGCCTGGCCAAGCCATCACCGGAACAATGTCCACATTTACTTGGGATAATTTGGAGCTGTTTGTCCAAGTCGGGAAAGAAACGCGAAAGCTGCTCAATGGAGTCAGTGGCTACTGCAAGCCCGGAACCCTGACGGCTCTGGTGGGCGCCTCTGGAGCGGGAAAATCAACTCGTAAGGCTCTGTTTACTCCTTTCCATGTTCCCTTGCTAACGACTACAGTGTTGACTGCCCTGACTCGGCGACCAAATTCTGGAAAGTTGACGGGTACAATGTACGTCGACGGACATGCTGTCGATGAGTCTTTCAACCGTCAGATCGGATACTGCCAGCAAATGGATATTCATGATGAGAGCAGCACTGTCCGTGAGGCGTTTGAATTTTCAGCGCTGCTGCGCCAGAACCCTGAAGTGCCCGATGAAGAAAAGCTCTCATATGTAAACACGGTCATCGAGACACTTGAATTGACCGAGTTGCAGAACGCCCTCATCGGATCATTAGATATCGAAAAGAAGAAGCGTGTTACTATTGGAGTAGAGCTTTGCGCGAGGCCTGAGTTGCTACTTTTCCTGGATGAGCCGACAAGCGGACTCGATAGCCAGGGTGCTTCTAGTATTGTTGCTTTGTTGAGACGGTTGGCAGACCAGGGACTGGCTATTCTTTGTACCATTCACCAAGCAAACCAGCAGCAGTTCGAGGAGTTTGATCGCGTCTTGGCTCTCAGTCCTGGTGGAAGTACCTACTACTTTGGGGAAGTAGGGCAGTCCGGCTGTTCAATCTTTGAGTATTTCTCCAAGCATGGGCACAAGCCGGAGAATGTGACCAATGCGGCAGACTATCTGATCGAAGTTGTCGTAGGGGGCATGAAGGACACCGCACACCAAGTCAACTGGGCTGACGTATGGAACCGATCCAAGGAAGCCGATCTGGTCAAGAAAGACATATGCGACATCAGGAGTAAGGGAGTTAAGGCCGACGTCTTCCAAGATTCAAAAAGAATCTCCACTCCGCCACTTTATCGCCAGGTAGGCCTTTTGACCAAGCGTACTTTGCGGCAGTACTGGCGAAGCCCAGAGTATCCTTACTCCCGGCTCTATGCGTCGTTCCTACACGCCCTGATTAACGGTCTCACTTACCTACAGATTGGGAACAGCTCAACCGACCTGCAATCGAAGGCCTTCTCATGCTTCTTGGTTCTTATGCTGGTACCTGAGTTCATCAACGCCATCTCTATGCGGTTTATCATGAATCGTGAGATATGGAAGGCACGCGAAGATCCTAGCGGTGTCTACGGATGGGTTGCCTTCTGTACAGCACAAATTGTATCTGAGATCCCGTACGCCATAATTAGCGCCGTGATATTCTATTTGCTCTATTATTTCATTGTCGGACTCCCTTTGGGATTTGCTGCCGGATATAGTTTCTTGATGTTCTTCTTGTTCTTTCTGTTCGCGACGTCTTGGGGTCAATGGATCGCAGCGCTGAGGTGAGTATGCTTCCAACAGGGATAACTATACGTACACTCCATGCTGACAGATGGCTACAGCGCTGACTCTATGGTGGCTGCGACCCTCATGCCATTCTTTATCATCATGTGCGAGCTGTTCAACGGTATCCTTCAACCCCACGATAACATGCCCGTGTTCTGGAAGTACACCATGTACTATGCCACGCCATTCACTTATTGGATCGGTGGTGTCCTAACGGCTGTCCTACGTGGCATGCCCGTCATTTGCGACAGCAGCGAATTAACGATTTTTGAAAGCCCACCGAACATGACTTGCGGAGAGTATGCAGGCCCGTGGCTTGCAGAGCATGGCGTAGGCTACCTCTCCAATCCAGATGACACAAGCAAATGCGGATATTGCAAGTATAGCTATGGAGATGATGTAAGTGGTCCTGTCTTTTTGACTTCTTTCTTTGGGTGGATGACAATAATGGTCGATTCAATATATCTGTCAAACTAACGATACCGTCTAGTATCTGTCTGGCCTTGGCCTAGACTCGTCGAAGATTTGGCCCTATTTCGGAATTTTCTTTGCATTCGTGATCTCGAACTATTTGATGGTCTATATTCTTGTTTATGTGCGATCGGTGATGAAGCCTTTCTGGAGGCGTAAATAAGCTATTTGACCAAGTTACCTGTATTTATTGATATAGTGAAGTATATAAACAAAATATCAAACAGCGGAAGAGGCTAGAACCTCCTGGAACGAATCCTGAAACCTCGTTACGAAGCCATAGGGTTTGTCCGGATGGATCATGCTCGAGCAATGTCATCGTCACAACTTATATACGAAGTGTATTCCGGTTCAGGCATCGGTCTGGAATGCCTAAGGTTGGAAGTAACCGGAAGTCGGTGATGGTTACTCGAGTAGAATTTCCCGAGCCGCTTATCTCCGAGTTTGACCCAAAAGCGTAAGGCCGAAGGTGGATTTTGCTCCGATCGTGACTTCATAATAGATGATCAGGCCATCGGGAAGAATGATTCTTCTTGATGACCAGAATTGTTATCAATCTGAGAATGTGTGTTGGATTTGGCACCGAGTATCAATCCTCCCTCTTAGGTACCGATATCTTAACGCATATCCCTCCTCGTTATTGAGATATCTCCTACTTGAACCAACAAATGGTCAGGCGATAGATTCTCAAGATGTACGAAGATCGCCAATTAGGAAATCATAACGAACAAACGTCAACATCACCGGACTCGATCCTAGTACCCCGACGGCGCCGACCGGCTCTTTCTTGCTCTGTTTGCAGACGCCGCAAGCTCAAGTGCGATCGAGCATTACCGTGCTCGCAATGCGTCAAGTCAAAGACCCCTGATCTCTGCGCTTACTCCGGACCCGCGCCGGGCCAGCCGTTGGAGGCTCGACCGATTCGCACCGCTTCCGACCGGGCCAATGTGCCCAGTAATCACACCAGTCCAGGCCATGGCGGACTCTACGTCTTCGACTCGCGGCATCAGTCTACACACCGAATCAACAAGCCCAAAGGACGCCCTGAGGAAGTGCAAGAACTCCGACATCGTGTGCAAGTGCTGGAAAGCGCTCTGTCCAGAGTTGGGTCCATCCAAACGCCAGACAGTTCGGCGTGCGAGTCTGTGTCGGACTATGGGCCCCGGATAACCTCGGAGTCTCTACTACTCAGTGAGGACGTCAAGCATCTACCAGGGCGAGCATGTTTCAGGGGGAAAAATGGAAAGACCAGATATTGTGGGCGTTGCCATTCAGCACTATCATTCTCATTTGTAAGTAGCAACGAGTCGCACAAAGTTCCATTGCTAAATAGCTACAGTTCAAAGACGTGGCTTCCTACTTCCAAGACCGACGCATGCAGAAGAAGTCGAAAAGCCCGGAGTATCTCAAATTGAAAAAGTTCAGGGGTGAAATGCTATCTCGAGAGAAGCAAGATCATCAGAGGGCATACCGCGAGAAAGCTTTCACGCTGGAAGAGATGCTTCCGCATCGGAGAGTCGCCGATGAGCTAGTCAACCTGTATCTATCCACCTTCGAGACGACATATCGAATCTTGCACGTTCCGACATTTCTCAAGCAATATGAGACATACTGGGCTGGTACCGAAACCACTGATATGGCCTTTATTGCCAAACTTCTGGCCGTGATGGCTGCTAGTAGTTGCTTCTTTAGCCCATCAACGAGACTGAATGAGAAAGATACTCTGCATAGTGCGGCAGGAGGGTGGATTATGGCAGTACAATCATGGATCTCATCCATTAATGTTAGCTCGACGATTGACTTCAATATGCTGCAGATCCAGTGTATCTTGATCCTCGCACGCCAGGCTGACGCCACAGATGGGGACGTTGTCTGGATCTCCTCGGGTTCTTTGATCCGCTCTGCTATGATGATAGGGTTGCACCGAAACCCTGCGCGCTTTCCAAAGATGACTAGGTTTTGGGCTGAGATGCGTCGTCGTCTATGGGCTACCATCTTGGAGCTGGATCTACAGTCCGCCTTGGACGGAGGTATGCCTCCTTCAATCGACTTAGACGAATATGATTGTGATCCACCGTCAAACTATGACGATGATGACCTAATGGAGGATCTGACAGAGGACGTTATCCCGAAGGACGTAGCAATGGTGACGCGCAGCAGTTTCCAGGTTCTGCTGTCGCAGTCGTTGCCGTTGCGTGTTCGGATAGCGAAGTTTGTCAATAGTTTGAAATTCACTTTGTCTTATGACGAGGCATTGCGACTGAGTGAACAACTGGTTCAGCACCGGGATAGCGTCTTGGCTTTGTTCCCTGATAACGCATCCACATCCATTTCCCTTGAAAGCCTGCAGTTCACGAGGTCGTTCTTCGTGTTCATCATGGTCCGCTTTTTACTTGTTCTTCATCGTCCGTTCTCCCTCAGTGTGCAATTGTCGCCCAAATTTTCCTATTCACGGAAGATCTGTCTCGAGTCATCTCTGGAAATGCTTTCTCAGTTGGATGCTCCCGCTGTTAGCCTCCCAGAGGCACAGGCATGTCCACATCTAGGACAGCTCAGTGGGGGGATGTTCCGCGACGAGTTTTTCCACGCCGCGATCACCGTCTGTGTGGAAGTTTCCCTTCAAGCTACCGAGTTCTCGTCATCGAAACAACCATCTGGCCAGATTAGTTCACTAAGTTCGCTGAATGACTTGGTACGGTCCCAGCAGGATGTCTTAGTCCGGGCTGTGGAGCATACGCTGGACACCTTTGGCAGCCGAATTTCGCCACGGGGGAAAGGGTGCAAGGCGTTTATTTTCCTTGCAATGGCCCTTGCTTCCGTCAAGGCGCGCTTGAATGGAGAGGATGCCCTAAGAAAGGTCGAACAGGTGGCTGCAAAATCTATTAAGGACTGTGAACGGCTGATTCGAGGAAAAGCATGGATCGATATCCGAAGAGAAGAAGGCCCCGTTGTGGTATGTAATTTTATGTCTCATGTACTGACTCCTGCTAATACAGATATAGCCGGATACCTCAACACCTAGCATGAACTCTGCGGCTTCCGAGATACCGTTTGATCCTGCGTTGGTTCCCTACGAGTCAGCTCCTGTTTCAGTAAGGATATATATCCTCGCCCTACGCTCTATCTACTTTGTTGGACTAACATTCATCTACCAGCCACTTGACTTTGGTAATTTGTTTGACTCGGCGGACTACGGATTTCCGGAACTATGGAATATGGACTTTTTAACAGGATTTTGAATGGTTTTGAGAACGCACATCAATAGTTTACTTGACAGTTGATGCACGTGCTCTCGGTGCTTGATGAGTCATCGATGTGATCCGCCGATCGTTTAGCATGGTATTATAAGGGTCGCTCTTCCTCCCATCCCTTGATCATATCAGATACCCTTCCGAAACCAAACCCTGATAGAAGCCAAGTTGTATATGCTCAGCATGTCGTGAGTGTGGAATGCTCTATATTAATATATATGCCACGCTGCAAGTTCGCTGCAATGTTAACACCACCAGGGCCGTCCTGACCACTCTTGGTCTTCAGGCTGCTCCCGGAGAGCAGGCCTCCAATCATGCCGTGGCCTATCTGGTGGCCAACTGGCTCATCTCATTTGGCCTATTCAGCACGCGGCGGGAGAAGTTGAAGCTCGGTATCGATCACAACCAGGCCCCTCGTGACGACCTCGCCAAATTTGGAGAGGCCGCTGTACAATCAGGCAAGATCACACGGCAAACCTTGAATCGACTCAAGCGGCAGGAAGCCAGCATGGCCAATTCAGCAGAGCATTACCCATTGTTTGTAGCCGCAAGTATGGTCCTTGCCCAACATGGTGATTTGACCGAGATGCATACTGATCCCCCTAGTACTTGTCGCTCTTCACGCGGGTGTGTCCAATGATGTAATCAACCGCATTGGACTATGGTATGCGGTGTCACGGCTGGCGTTCGGGCTCTGCTACAAGTACATCGAGTCTCTCAAACTGAGCTTTGTTCGTTCGTTCTTTTGGTGGTCGGGCAATATCTGCTGCTTCACTGCTTTCTGGCTTGCCTCGAAGAAACTGTGATGGTATTAAGTTTCAGAATTCCTCCTTGTCAATTGCTGAGGCAACGTTTCTGCCATTACCAGTTTGAGGGTACGTATGAACATATGTATGTACATACCTTGAATCGTTTCCCTCGGCACCACCAAGAGCCGAGATTACTGGGAATCACGATGCAGATCTGTTGGTTGTACTTGCGATAAGTGGAGGTCGATACGAGCTTTTTGAACTTCTCATTGAGTCCAGGAAATTAGATCACTTTCCGGACTGTGGGGCTGTAATATGTTGAAGGAAATGATCTTCTGTGGATATGGGGCGCTGGTCCATTACTACTAGTTCCTCCGATCTTCGTCTGTCGTTGTAATTATTTGCCTGGGTGGCATTTAGAATTGAATCATTCCGTCAAGATGTTTGAGATACACACGGATAGGTGTCTTCGATTTTACTTTATTATGGTCATTTATACTTCTATTCATACTCATTTTGATATTTAGTTAGTTCTTTTAGTTCCCCCACTCTCCTTTTCCTAGCCCCTGGTTTGGCCACATTCGCTGATGACGTTCACCTAGTACTAGTAATTGAATTACCAAAACCATCCCCTTCCGGGAAATGTTATAGAATGCCACAAATCAACAATTTAACGACATAGGGAGACAAAGCTCGATTCCTACGGCTGTACTCCGTATACTCCAGCCTGGTGATATCACACCACTCTGGCACTTCGTTTGCAGCAGTGCGATATGAAGAATATCCGATTGGTGGAAGTATAAAATCCCTCCCAGCCGGCGAAATTCTGGCAAGGCCAGAGCTTCATGACAAACCATACCCCAGACCCCAGATATTACAATGTCGCATTGCGATCATATTCCCCACGATGTGGGGAAGAATTCAATGGTAAGATAATTTTGGAGGTGGACAAAGATGAAGTCAGAAATGGAGCTATCCTACAGGCGGATAAACTTCTTGTTGGACTCCTAAGGGTTTGATTTGCTTGGTGATTCGGGCTATAGATGCGACTGGCACAATGAGCCTTATAAAAGGGGCCTGTCTCCGGGCATCATGGGTGCACAACTACTGAGCTGTACGGATCACATCAATTGACAACAGCATGAAATTCTTCCTGGCAACGCTCTTTGCGAGCGCAGTGAGCAGCATTGCGGTTGACAAGCTCATCCCTGGAGCGCAGATCATCCCCGAGAGCGATACAAGGGCCTTGGAGCGTGTTGGCGGCCACCATGCCAAGTATCATGATCGTCGCACGATAACCATTCGACCCTCCCGGAACGATACTGATGATGTATCGAGGGACTTCCTTTGGGGTATCAAGCATGCCAATCACGGGGGACGACTTCTTCTCAAGAAAGGGGAGAAGTATGTGATTGGTAGAAAGCTTGACCTGACATTCTTAGATGACATTGAGGTGCAACTGGATGGAGAATTGAAGGTATGTACTCGTCGATGTCTGAAGCCATGTTCTGTAACACGCCCGCTGATGTAACAGTTCACGGATGATGTATCCTACTGGCAAGAAAACAATTTCTATTATGATTTCCAGAAATCCATAACGTTTTGGCGGTGGGGCGGAAAGGACATCAAGATCTTTGGAACTGGTTTGTTGAATGGAAACGGCCAGAGATGGTACAACGAGTTTGCAGGGCAGGAGATCCTGGTACAATACGCGAATATCATGAGTATTAAGTGGCCTTGGCTAATGGTGTTAGAATCCCGACAATGACTATTATCGTCCAATCCTCTTCCTCACTGAAAACGCAACCCGGGTTTCTGTGGAAGGCATCACGCAACTGAACTCGCCTTGCTGGACCAACTTTTTCATCCAGTCAAAAGACGTCTCATTCGATGACGTTTACATTCATGCATTCTCTACGAATAAATCAGTCGGTCTCTCTCTCTCTCTATCTCTCTTTCCCTCTCGGGATCCGACCCGTCGTGTTTACTAACTGGTAACATAGGCTGAACCTAAAAATAGCGACGGCTTCGACTCACTTAATGTGGACGGGCTGAAGGTTACAAATACACGGGTCGACGTTGGAGATGATTGCTTCTCGCCCAAGCCAAATACCACCAACATCTTCGTGCAAAACCTGTGGTGCAATAACACCCATGGGGTTAGCATGGGCAGTATCGGGCAGTATCCAGGAGTAATGGACATCATCGAGAACGCGTACATTGAGAATGTAACCTTGCTGAATGGGCAGGTAAGTCTGTCTTGAAGACGGGACTCCGTGCGATGTCATCACTAATAGCGACAGAATGGTGCGCGGCTTAAGGCGTGGGCTGGCCAGGACGTGGGTTATGGTCGAATCAACAACATCACGTACAAAAATATCCATATCGAGAATACGGACGCCCCGGTAGTCCTAGATCAATGTTACTTCGATATTGAGGAAGCGGAATGTGCCCAGTACCCCTCACAGGTGAATGTGACCAACATTCTCTTCGAGAATATCTCGGGGACATCGTCCGGGAAGAATGGAAAGGTGGTGGCCGACCTTGTGTGTTCGCCAAATGCAGTGTGCTCAGATATTCAACTGAAGAACATTGATCTGACAAGTCCTTCTGGAAGTCCACCAGAGATTATCTGTGATGGCATCCAAGGAGACATTGGGGTAGAATGTCAGGCTTCAACCGACTGAAGTGTAGACCAGCCATGCCAAGGATATGAATCTCAGACCAAGTGTTATTGACTATCTTTCCTTTCGTTCCCGGCTTTTTGCTTTGTCTCCCTCTCCCTAACTAGTTTGTCCTTACACCTTTTATTCCCCACTTTCATGTCGGCTTTGATGAAACTCAGTTGCTCTTGCTCTTGGTGGGTGACCGTTCCCGCAAGGTACATGTCTCGCTCTCTTTCCAACGTCCATGCGATACCTACTACATATAGAGACTGCCAGGGCCAATGGTAATGAGAATAAAGGCGTTTCGTCATCAGTTGTTCATTAGTCCTTGTAGTTGGTCGGCTATGGGTGAGGACCTTGTGGTCGTCGCGAGTATATAGGTACCTTGTAAGTCGCTCTTCAGGGCACGGATGGAGTACCTTTGGAGTCGGAATGGAGACCTTGTCTTGTGGACCAATCGCAAGCACGATTATAAATTATATCACTATGTATAGCTGTGAACCTTGGGGGTGAGTATGTATACCAGTATATAAGCCTTTGTACATAGGGTCTGGTGATTGAGAGCCTTCTCCTGCTTTTAGTTCTTAGCACTTTTGTGATTTTAGTCCTATGCTACGAGATTATTTGATAGCCTACCAGGATGACGATCAACTCAGGCCCAGAAACCATCAACTTTCCTATGCCCAACAACATCAATGGAGCCAAGGGACGTCGACAACTTCCAGTCACACTCCTTTCGGGGTTTCTGGTACGACGAGCATATATTACCCCCTAATGTGTCCCAAGGAAGAGGCTAATGATCGAGCAACAAACAGGGTAGCGGAAAGACAACGCTCCTGGAACATATTCTCCAGTCAGATCATGGATTTAAGATTGCTGTCGTTGTTAATGACATGAGCAGGTATGTCCTTAACACAGTATCACAATGGGTGCCACTATCAAGAATGACACATAAACCTATTCTGACAAGGATACAGTCTAAACATAGATGCAACCCTCATCAAAAACCACCACGTGTCCCAAACAAAGGAAAACCTCATTCAACTACAGAATGGATGTATCTGCTGCACATTACGTGGGGACCTGCTGGAAGAACTAGCCCGACTGACGAAGCAGGACGACGTGCAGTATGTGGTGATTGAAAGCACAGGGATTAGCGAGCCAATGCAGGTCGCGGAGACGTTCACGGCGGAGTTCAGCGCTGCCATGCTAGAAGCAGATGTTGCTGACGAAGAGGGGAAGAAGATCCTCAATCAGATGTATCTATTCCCTGCATCCTCCATATGTACAGTGATAAATGAGTGGACTAACCCGGCGATAGTGTCGAATTAGGAGGTCTGCATAAGCTAGCCAAACTTGACACGACCGTTACCGTGATTGACGCCTTTAACCTGCTTACCAATTTCGACACAGCGGAATTTCTCTCTGATCGCTATGGCGGGGAAATCATTCCTGAAGACGAAAGAACCATTTCTGATCTGATGGTGGATCAGATCGAATTCGCGGACGTAATTATCATCAACAAAATCGAGACTGTTGACGAGAAGACTCGCGAGAGGATCAGGTCTATCCTAAAGCTCCTAAACCCAGATGCCAAGGTACTTGAAACAAACTATTCAAAGGTCGATGTCAATGAGATATTGGACACGGGAAGGTTCAACTTTCTCAAAGCGGCTTCAGGCGCCGGGTGGTTGAGGAGCTTACACGAGATGACCAAGAGGGAAACTGGCAATGGGGAAAGACTGGCTCCTGTTCCCGAGACTGTTGAGTATGAGGCTTTCTCTCACTCCTTTCCTTCCTATTCGCCAAGTCTAACGACTCAACAGGTACGGCATCAACAATTTCGTGTACAAGGCTCGCCGCCCATTCCATCCGCGGCGACTCTTCAGTTTAATACATGATAAATTCATTGTCCTCCAGAATGTTGAAACACAAGAGGATGATGGAAGCGAGGAAGAAGATAACGGTAGTGAAACCGAGGAAGAGGAAGAGAAAGAGATTGAAGACGATGAAGACGATGAAATGGAAGATTTCCCCCAGCCAGACCCCCAGGAAATTCTTTCAAACAAACGCTCTCACCCGGTCTTCCGTCCCATTTTACGCTCCAAAGGCTTCTTCTGGCTTGCTACTCGCCCTTACCAATTTGGCGAATGGAGCCAAGCCGGGGGCATGCTCACCATTGGGTGTGGTGGACCTTGGTTTGCCGAGGTACCAGATGAGGCATGGCCGGAGGATGCAGACGTGAGAAAATCCATTGAGGACGACTTTCAGGGGCCATGGGGAGATCGGCGGCAAGAGATCGTGTTCATTGGGGAGGGGATTGAAACGGGTGCCATTACAGACTTGCTAAACGAATGCTTGCTGAACGATAGGGAAATGAAAACGTGGGAGAGCATTATGAAGAAGAAGAGATTATCCAGAGGTGAGAGACAGGAGAAGATGATGCAGACGTGGGAAGATGGATGGGAGGAATGGCCTCCCTTAGAGGAGGAAGAGGATGAGCCTGAGCAGGTAAGAGGGAAGCATCGCATCAGTGAGCACTTAGGGCATGGACATTCTCATAATCATAACCACTCCCACAGAAGGGGGATAAAAGTATAGATACAAATAACACTAAGAGGCAGCTCAGCTGCCTTATACAACCATGAATACAGCTCATATATCGTAGCATATCATTAACACGTTACAAACAAAAGGCATATCACCAGTCATCCACCCTGCTCATCTTCAAATGCATCCCTTCCACCGGCTTAGTCGTCACAGCACCGGCGATATGGATTTTCTGCTTAGGGTCCTGCATCTCGAAACGGAAACGGCCAACGACACCAGCGACTACACAACGCAATTCAGCCCGGGCGAAATCCTTCCCAATACATGAGCGCTGTCCGTGGAGAAAAGTGATCTGTGCAAAGTTTGTCGACGCTCCGCCGGTGTTGTTGGTGACAAGCTGACCATTCTTGTCAGTGTCGATCCAGCGCTCCGGCCTGAACTCTTCCCCGTCATCCCCCCAGAACTCTGGGCTGCGGTTAATGGCATATGGGCACAGAAGGATCCGGGTCCCTTTTGGGATGTGTGTGCCAGCTACCATGCTGTCACGAACGGCTTCGCGTATAGTCATGGGGACCGTTGGATACAGACGGAGGACTTCCTGACACACACCGTTGAGAAGCGGAAGCGTCTCGAGGTCACTCCAGGTGATGGGATCGTTGCCGGATGGGATACGCTCACGAATTTCGGCACGAAGGCGTTCCTGGATATCAGGATAAAGGGTAAGAAGATAGCAGGCCCAGGTGAAGGCACTCGCAGTGGTTTCATGCTGTAAACCATGTTAGTGTCAGGTAGCATTATGTTCAAAGTAAGGAGACATATACCCCAGCAGCCAAGAAGGTCAGCATTTGGTCGATCAACTCGTCATCTGTGAAATCGCCGCCCAACATCATGGTGCCAAGAATATCGGCCTCCAGTTCCTTGGCCGTCGCCTTCGTAGATGCGATGGAAGCCCGCTTCTCATGAACAATGTCTCTGCACAGATCACGCAGAAACCCGGTCTGATCATTGACTACTTTGTTTAAGCGCCAGGGGATGCGACGGGCAAACCATTGTGGCAGAGCAAAGTTGACGGCCAAGAAGGCCATCTTCTCCTTAGTCGGTTCCAGGATAGCCAAGAAACTGTCAGCCACTTTATTCTCGGGGTTGTGGAGAGAGCGGAAATCGCGACCCATCGCGGCCGGCCCGATGATATCCAGGGTGAGCCGGCTAATATGTGTCAGTGAGATGTACTCATCACAATATCTGGCCGTAAGAATACCTTGCCCAGACACTCATCTCAATCTTTCCTTCTCCACTCTCCGCATTAGTGCCATCCATCGGGTTCTGTTTGATCTCTTTCTCCAACTCGTCCATCAAGAGCCCGGTTTTCTCCCACATCAATGAGTATAACGCTCTAATATTCTTAACATTGAAAGATGGGGTTAGAGCACGGCGCTGCTTTTTGTGCGCACTGCCCTCCGACAAAATGAGTCCAAAACCTATAATACGGGCGAGGAAGCTGCGTGCCCGCCAGGGCTTTTCAAAGTCGTACGTGTTGGTGCTCATGATGTCGAGTAAGGCTGGTGATTGGTAGCCAGGAGATAGCTACGATTGAGAATATCGCGGAAGTGGATCAGGCCATCGTTAGGAACAGTCTTCATCCACTCCAGTGGTAACCGGCCGCGGGGATCGTCGAAAACAATACGGGCATTATTGAGATTGCCCTATTTCCATTAGTTACTTGTCCCAAGACATGATGATGAGCGACGTGAGCTACCGAGATTGTTGGGAGATGGCGCAATGGAGTGACAAAATAAGGATAGATCAAGGTGTTCCAGATGATTACGAGCACAAGATTGACCCCCAATGAGCCCAACGTAGCAGTACGGAAGGTGAGATCCACGAAGTCTGCGCGCTGCAGCAGGAAACCTTCGAGGAGAGAAAGGGTAATCAGGATCAGCATCAAGTCCATGGTGGATGGCAAGTCCCTTAACCGACGATGGGAAAGATAGCAAGCTCAGGAGCTCGATAATCTGGGGTAAGGGGAAAGAATATATCGTGTGTCCACTTAATGATGATAGCTAACGTTTCTAAATTGAATGACCCCACGGATCGACAGGTTGACCTCGGTTGGAGGGTCGCATGATAACGCCGGTGCCTAATATTTGGCACCGTAAGAATTACTCTTGAATATATGGAGTACAGTATTGGCCATGGGCCGAAATGGATGCCTGGTGGATAAGACAAAGCGATATTTTTTTTGGTTGAGGGTCTCAAGTCATGTCTGAAAATTTTGAATGTAGGACCTATATAGCCCTAATTCTGTGACTCTGCTGCGTTTGTCGTGACCATCGGGGTCGCTACACAATTTGACAGACGCGATCAACAGTTGTACTTCAGCCTTAGAGAGACATAATCAGCGATATAGACGTCATTCTAGAATCAAGCTGCTACATGCAGACCCCAGGTAATGCCGGATGCACAAGGCATTACCGAGCATCCTCCCCGAGATGACAATCTCATGATCGCCCAAGCACCACAAAAGCCCCCGCTCCATGTGAACCCCAACAATGATGTGCAGGGGACAATTTGACTTTGACATGGTAGTCAGGGAGGGTAATCTTCGCGAACATGGTTGGGTGCCGCTTTGCGAGCGACTCAGGGATTCTTCAGTCATTTCTGTTCCCCACTTGGGCGGATCGGCGTTCGCAACGCTTGCCGCATGCGGCAACTATCGTCGTCCCCTAAAAAAAACCCCAGAAGAAGCTTCTTGCACCATGTGAGTACCTCGGTCATTGGCCCTTGGCTCCTGTATACTCATATTCTGTATCACACTTATATATATACACATATACATAGAATAATGATCCAGTTTACTACTTCCAAGCGCCGTTCTTGTCAATATCCATATATCTTGTTCTGTAACCATGTCTCTCGATCAATCTGTCCAACTGCTTCGCCACTGGGGCCAGACGGCCCTCGAGCACCTTCCCCCTCAGACACAAGAGATTCTGCTTCATCCATTAGTACCTAAGGCGTTGGCAGCACTCCTGGCTTTGGGCGTTATACGCAAGGCCAACCGCTCACTGGGTTATTGGACCGCGAATAACTGGCAACGCGCCAAACCCTGGCAAAATGAGCGCGAGCTGGTTTTGGTCACTGGCGGATGCAGTGGCATTGGCAAACAAATCATGGAAGATCTCGCAAAGGCCGGGGTTCGAGTAGTGATACTAGATATCCAAGAGCCTTCCTTCCAACTGCGTACGTCCCTGACTGCTCTAAGGGGCGACCGAGAGTATTCAAGCTAATGCACGGTAGCATCCAACGTCACTTTCTACAAAGCGGATATCACCTCGTCGGAGAACATTCGCAATGTAGCGGAGAAGATCCGTGCAGCGCACGGTGATCCCACCGTCCTGGTCAATAATGCGGGCGTCGGACACGACGGAACCATCCTCGATGAGCCGGAGGCCAAGATTAGACAGACCTTTGAGGTCAACACAGTGTCGCATTTCATGATGGTGCGCGAGTTCTTGCCCAGCATGATCAAGCAAAATCATGGACATGTTATTACAATTGCTAGCATGGCCAGTTTTGTGGCGTTGGGTGAGATGGTCGATTACTGTTGTTCAAAGGCGAGTGCGTTGGCATTCCACGAGGGATTGGGCCAGGAATTACGACTCTGGTATAAGGCTCCTAAAGTTCGGACTAGGTATGTTCTCTCCTGTGTTTCCTTTCTTTCCCTTTCTAAATACTCTGGGAGCTCCGGGAAAGGTGCTAATAAGTCCAGTGTCATTCACCCTCACTGGGTTAAAACCCCAATGATTCAGATCTTGACCGACGTGGGTCACCAGTTCAAGGGACCCATCCTCACGCCGGAAATGATATCTGCTGCTGTTGTGAAACAAATTCTCACCCAGAGCAGTGGACAGGTTATCATACCGAATCACTTTAGTGGGATTAGCCTGATCAGGGCATTCCCTTCCTGGTTGCAGGAGTTTGCTCGCGGAAAAGGGTCAAGCGATCTGAGGGTTTTGCGGGACATACAGGAGGCGAAGGGTATGTAATGGGCCCAGGTGTTGGATTAATTTAATGTGTTCATGTTCTGTATATTCAGTAAGTTAGACATACCAATACAACTATCTATATAAAGTATCGGGATTTGCAGCATCGAGAGTGTAGTATTCGTAAACTATACCTGTAGGCTGAGTATTCCTCAAGATCGTATGTATTTCTGAGTCATGGGTCGCATAATTCATTTTAGACAACCAAGTGGTATTTTCGTAGCTAAGACATGTTGTAGTATATAATGCGTGTGTTATACGTTCAGAAACCAACTATACTGCGTAGACTGATTCATAAGGGGGTTCATTCTTGAAGCCGACAGTATATGTATAAATAGAGACCATAAACGTTCCAGCCGTATCTACAAAGTCTCTCTCAACCAGCTCTTGACTCTCTTCCCCTGCTCCGTCTCAGTCTGATCCCCGATATACAAATTATAGATCGGCGCAACATGACCCTCCCGGTGGCCAACACACAACTCCACGTCTGGGAAGCCCTCCTGCTCAGGTTAGTTAAAGACATCGCGGTGTTCACGCAGGGTAACCAGCTTACCTTCAATTTCTTCACGAATTCTTGGATAACCGGGAAAAGAATCTCGCTTCCGCCCGCGCAAACTAAAATCTTCTGCACCGGAAACGTGGAGTACCAGTCTACCGGCGCAGCAGATAAATCGGTATAGTTATCGCGCTTGGCGGAACCCAGGTAGGCGCTGGCCCATGGTCCTGCTACTGCCGGTGTGATCAAATCCCCCCGAGAATCGATCTCTTGCTCGGAAAAGTCGGTCTCCATGGAGGTCCAGGGAGCGATCATGATTGCGCCCCGGAGGTGTTCGGAGAGGTCCACCGGGGCGATAGCAGGGTGGGGATGAGCCAAGTGGGACAAGACGGCGCCGACAAGGTTCCCTCCTGCCGAATCTCCCCCCAAGAGGATGTGGCCGGGTGCAAATTTGGCCTGGTCAACCACATACCGCAGGGCTTCTACGGCCTGCCGAATCTGTGTGGGATATGTTGCCTGGGGCGCCAATGTGTATGTCAGACTGAAAACCGCCAAGGATTTATTGGCGCGGGCACTGTCTGCGATCAGACGAGCGAAGAACCGGAAATAGCCCAGGTTCGCTGGGAGCGCAAATCCACCGCCTGTGGCCGTTAGCATGTATAATCGTACAGCATGATGCATGTCCCGTAGCACAACATACCGTGATACCAAATCAAGACATTCTCAGCATTGCGGTCTCCGACCCAGTGGCCCAGGGCACCTTGCCCCAAGTCTACCGTGTCTGCGACTTTTCTGGCCTTGCGCACATACTGGTCGTAGATCTTATTCGTGGGGGGCAATACATATCTGTGCGGTTAGCGATCGTCACACGCAAGAGACATCAAATGGAACTTGCTTACTGCATTTGCGCAACGGACAGTCGGCTGGTTGCTTTCCGGAACGCTGCATATCCGACATGCAGGAGCCAACTCTTGGGATAACATGATGAACGCCATAGCCCCGTGAACATTGCCCACACGACCGTGAGGCAAAGTGACACCAGAGCGGGAACAAAGTCAAGTTTCTCCGCGAAGGAAAGGGGAATTGCGGTGTTGAGCATGTTGGCTAGATTGCTGATGCTGGTAGCCTGTCATACTATCGTATGATCCATGTACCTTGCAGCACAAGACCCTCTCTCTATATTTATTGCGAAAATACGTGGCAAGAGCCCCTCTGGAAGGGAAGAATGGCGCCTCATGTCTTCATGTGAGGGATCGCAAAGATTACTGGATTCGGTAAGGATAGACCCCACAGACGATCTTCGGCCCATCAGACATTAGGGTCAAATTCAGATCCTCGGCCTTTTCCCCAGACTGTCGGTTCGGACGATCCTCAAAGTTATTGCCGAAAGCTTTTATAATATAAATCCCCGCGGTCGTCTCTCCTCATTTCTGAAGCTCGCGACAACTTCTCGTTTTGGAAATGAACAACCGAGGCATGTGAACCGTTTGGCAGATATATCCCACCGGATCTCCAGACCATATAAATTGGACCATGGAGTTCCTATGGATCTATCTGCCACCTTAAAGAACTCTGTGGATATGGAGCCATCTTTTGATGTTATCATCGTCGGTGCCGGTATCTCCGGCATCAACGCCGCTTATCGCCTGCAGTCTCAAAACCCTAAGCTTCGCTATGCTATCCTCGAAGCCCGGAACAGCCTAGGTGGCACCTGGGATCTCTTCAAATATCCTGGGATTCGCTCGGACTCGGATCTCTTCACTTTTGGATTTTCCTGGCATCCATGGGACCAGGGAAACCCCATCGCCGACGGACCCTCCATCGTCAAATACATGAACAACGCGGCCGAGAAACATGGCGTGAAGAAGCACATACTCTTCGAACATCGCCTGTTAGGCGCTGATTGGTCTTCGGCCGAAAACACCTGGTCACTAAGCGTCGAACATGAGGGACAGTCCAAGTCATTCTCAGCCCGGTTTATCATATTCGGCACCGGATATTATGACTACCATACGCCTTTGCAAGCCGACATCCCTGGGCTCGATCAATTTCAGGGACAGATCATCCATCCACAGTTCTGGCCCGAGGACCTGGACTATAGCGACAAGAAAATTGTCATCATCGGCAGCGGCGCCACCGCGGTGACTCTGCTTCCCAACCTTGCCCAGAAGGCCAAACATGTTACAATGCTCCAGCGCAGTCCGACCTATATTCTTTCTCTCCCGAACCGGCGGCGTTCGTGGTGGAGCTATATTCTCCCCGTGGCTCTCGATCGCAAAATCCAGCGTCTGAGCTGGCTGCTCACCTCGCGCTTTTTCTTCCTGTTCTGTCAAGCCTTCCCGACCCTCTCCCGCTTCATCCTCCGTCTGTCCGTCCTCCGCCAGCTGCCCTCTCACATTCCACACGACCCACACTTCCGCCCACGATACAACCCATGGGATCAACGTCTCTGTGTCTGTCCTGATGGGGACTTCTTTAAGAGCTTGCATACCGGTCGCGCCGATGTCAAGACCGACACCATCCGCGAGGTCACGGCATCCGGGATCGTCCTGAACTCTGGAGAGAAGTTGGACGCGGATCTGATTATTACAGCCACCGGGCTGAAGTTGCAGATTGCGGGCGGAGCTCGGTCACCGTGGACGGAATTCCTCATTACGTTTCTGAGAAGTATATCTGGCACGGAATCATGTTGCAAGACGTTCCCAATGCCGCCTTCGTCATCGGTTATACCAACGCCTCCTGGACTTTGGGCGCCGACGCAACAGCGCAGTTTATTTGCCGACTTCTTCAAGAGTTGGAGCAACGAGGCGTCAAGGCCGCTGTGCCACGGTTAAGCCCCGCCACTGCCAAAGAGATGCAACCGCGCCGTCTGTTGAACCTCAATTCTACCTACGTGACCAAGGCAGAGCGCGACCTCCCCAAGGCGGCGGACAGGGGACCATGGCTGCCAAGAGATAACTATCTCGATGATATCAAGTTTGCAAAGAAAGGTCGGATCGATGAGGATATGGAGTTTCTGGGTGAGAAGAAATTGCAGTAAATGTATATATAGATCATCGAGTTACAAGTTGTGATTCTTCACGTTCATAGTTATGTCTTACGCCTGCCGAAATGTCATATCCTTTCTTCTGAAGCAACGAACCAGTGCTGTAGACCTTAACCACTTCCTACAATAGAGCTTTCACATAAACAAGACCAAACGTCAAAAGCTCTCCGGCCTACTGACATATGATAGCTGACGGAGATAACTTTAGTTTATCCTCGGGGTTGGACGGTTACACTGATGGATCTGAGGGCGCCACATAGGGCAGCAGCTCCCCATGTCCGGCTGTTGATCAGACCGAGGAAGAAATGCCTCGTTAGCCCGAGCCAGGGCATTAATCCAACATCGGATCTGAGAAGGGTGACTAAGGTCTATTCTAAAGCTTGCAATGGAGCTAGAAGAGGAGCTAGGACCTCCAGCCCCGCGTTTCAATCCATGGGAAGCTTTGGGACTGACATAAGTCGCTTACCCTGGGACGACAACGCGCTCATAACCGCTTACATCATAACGAAGTCACCTCGGAGGGTCAAAGTCTGGTCTACAATGACAATAGGCAACTTGTCAGGGATCAAACTTTATTTTGTTTCTTTGGCGCTTTCCAGGGTCTTCCAGGCGACAGTTACCTCAGCTGTTGGTGTAATGTCAACTTTGCTGGCAAATGTAAGGTTAAATAAGCAACACCCAGGGGTCCTTGAACTCTTTCTCTGACCAACAGTTCTGGAAAAAAGACGCAGAGTCGACAAGTCCAATCAGTGACCGGTTTCACTTGGGCCCAGAGGATCAACCCCCTGGGTCCTGTGGAGCCCCATGCAAAGACCCTATAAAAGGCAATAGGTCACTGCGTTAAATGCTAGGTTCCAGCCCACAACAAGGTGATCCCCAGCGTGGACCCAGCGATATAAGCAACATTCTTGTATGGACCATGGTTCTGATACTATATCAGGGATGGAAGGATATGCGTCTCTTGAAGACGGGCTTTTTCTTTTGGAATGGAAAAAGCCGCGAATCAGGATCAATAGCCGGCAAGCGCTTCTGCAACCCGAAGATTTAACTCTTTTCAACTTGTCCATCAGCTCACGAATAACCTCACTAAATAGGCACCTCGGAAGCAAATATCACGGGCATGAAAGCTAAAATGAGATAGACATAGCTGCACTGAATATGATTGCGTTAGAATCAATCGCCGATATTCTCCTATTCGCTCGAGAATGACATCAGAATAAGTAAGGGTGGTAACGATATGGGTTAGGCTGAATATCTGCCTTCAAGCGCAAAAGACATAAATTTGCTCTAGCTCGGCTGATATCAATGAGCTGCAACTCCCAAAAACACAAACCTCCGCCCATTACACATGTATTTCTTCACTGCCCTTGGGATGGATATATTATGCCCATGAATTTGAGCAATCTCCCTCAAGTAACACTAGTTATGTTGGTTTTCTCCACTGATTAATATGACTTCAATCACCGTGGTACAACCACAGTTCCTATGGGACCTGGCTCCTTCTTTCCCTCAGCTATCATCATGCTTCAAACACCCCACAAATGAGCATCAACAGCTGAGCTTGGAGAACATCAGTCCGTACGACGCATGGCCTAAAGATAGCCATGCCACCTCCTTTGCCATGTGCAGTGCAGACCAGTCAAGCCTCGCTCGTCCACAGCCAGTTTTAGACGCGATGCCTCTGACGGAAGCGACTTTGCCCATTCAGACAACCTCCCACTCCATCAATGGCGAGCCCAAAGGACGTGCACAAAACACGGCCGTTCCGGAGCCACCTGCAAAGGAGCCTTCACACACCTTTACACATCACGACAAGATAAATAAAGACTGGAAGGTAAGACGAGACAAGATTCTGCAGCGGAACCGCCAAGCTGCCAAACGATGCCGTCAGCGAAAGAAGCTCGTGGTAGAAGAAATCGAGTCCCTTGCCGATGCGCATGCCTGGCGGAATAGCGAGCTCCGGATGCAAATCGAACAACTGCGGTATACAATACTGGACCTCCACGGTGAGATACTGAAACACGCCCAATGCGATGACGAGCCAATCAAGCGATATCTTGCGCAGAGGGTTAGAAAAATCTCAGAGGAGCACATAGTCGACTCTGATAGTCCTCAGCCAATAGACCCGCAGCTGTCTTCATCTTCCTTTGCAGCACGACCCGAACAACACTTAGAGGGGGATGGTACTCAGTATGACTCGCAGGGCTTTCCCCATATTTGGCCTTGCCACCATTCAGCCTTAACATCAGCTTCTTCGGATGGACAAACTGTGGACCACAATTTATTCGAAATGATCAGTTATTGAGTGTACCGCCGCCTCGGAAGACTACAATGGGGTCACCAGATGATCTTGCATGCTTAGCACTATGACCCCGAGTACTTCTTGATACATAAGATCTCTTGACATGTATATGACCATCAGTGGTTGGAGAGAAAGACAAAGAGGGAGAAGCGATATAAGAAAAACAGGGGAGCCTTATATGGTCTTACCAACGCTGTCATTGTTTGAAGCGAAGCCTGCGCAAGATGAAGGGAATGACTAGGATTCGGAACACGGACGAGGACCTTTTATATAGTCTTAAGTCATTATTATAAACCTAAAAATTCATGAGCTTCTCCTGAAAGAACATCGAGTAAAGTCGTTCGGGGAGGGTCCAAGGGTAATCTGACACATCTCTGTAGGTACTGTTTCTTAAGATCTATGTCATGAGATTCCATCGGACACTAACCATATCTTGTCTCCATTGTTCTCTTGCTTCCACTGGCTTCGAGCTTCTATATCATAAAACAGATATAGTACTAGATATTATAGTATAGCGTCACATTACAAATGCCATGTAGCGATTCCTCGTCGTCACCCCCGAGATGATAATCACCGCCAAACATCGCTCTGAACAGCACTTTTCACGCCACAAGACGAAGGAACAGTGTATTCTCGGTTAGGGTCACTCTCCCACGTAACGGCGCCATTCTGAACGCGAATAAACTTATACTCGAACGACTGCCCAGCGGGCAAGTTCACTGTCCCCGTCCACAAGGGATTATCTGTAGTGTATCGATCCGCGTTCAATGCGATCGCGCTACTGGGATCCCAGCTCCCAAGCTGAGAGATCGACCCCACAATCTTGATCGACTCACCGTAGACAGTAGTAGCTGTCACATCAAAGGTCACCGACACAGTCGTCGGCTGCTGGCAAGGAGTGTCTGGCGCGCCTGGGTATCCGCTAATGGTCGGCCAGGAGGTGATCACCACGCTGCTGTAGGTGCCTGAGGCGGAAGTCGTGGAGCACGCCGACGGAATGCTGGTGGCAGCGGTCTCGCCCCACGGTGCAGGGACAACCGCGTTTCTTCGGTTATGAGCCGTAAGAAGTGCAGCGTATGACCAGGTAAGGTCGCGGGCGGAGGTCTGGCTTCCGTCCGTCTTGGTAAATTGCTCAGCCATCGAGCCGGTAGAGCCAGCGTAGGTTTGCTGTGATCATCAGCTTCCGCAATCCTGAAAAAATAACCAGAGGGAGGGGTCTCGACGTACGACAATTTGCACATATCCGTCTGCATAGGTCTTGACAGCGTTGACAATATCTTTGTACACCGTCGTGGACGATGCGTAGGTCCCTGTCGCGGCAGAACTGTACAGGGCTTTGAAGAACGGCAGAGAAACATCCGTGATGGCTAACGATCCAATATGATCCCACTGGTACAGCGCGTCATACAACTGCTCTGCAGCGGCCAAGGTAGCCAGGAACCAGGGATTCCCGTTGTAATAGCTGTCTTCAGGGTAGCGACCAATAGCAACAGCTTGGTTCTCAGCGCGACCGGCGTTGATGGCATAGATCGAGCGAAACGAGTCCGTTACCGACTTATGGTTGGCTAAGGCTCTCGCCGAACAAGGCTGGAAGGTAGCATCGTCACACGTCGCCTGGGGATCGAACGTGTGGATACTGCCTAGGACAGTATTGATGTCTTTGCCCGATCGCCCGCCACCAAAATTAGCTTGAATGTAACTCCCAGTCCAGAAAGATTGCAAATAACATCGGACTTGGGGTGCTTGTGAGTCACAGTAGGAGCACGAGGAACCGACACTCTTTGCAAAGCTGCTGCCTTCAACCAAGGCGCGATGAGAAACTGCGACAGTAAAGAATGATGTTCCTTGGACTTCCTCCCAGAGGTCTGTGAACGTTAGCTACTGATAGCTGTGGGCCATCTGTTTGAAAGCTCACCGAACCCAGACTGGCTCCAATATTGGGCCACGTAGGATAGATCATTCCTAACAACAGGCCAAACCAGGTCCGTTGCGATGCTTGTATACCCGTTTTCCTACAAAGTAAGGTAAGCTAAACCCATTGCGAAGAGGTATAGAACTTACAATTAGCCATTCTCCAAATGAGATCATAGCGGTCGCTCGCAAAGCTGGTCCATCACGCTGCGGCCGACCCCATGCGCCTGTGAATGCCGTCTCATCGGCATTGAACTTGGGCTCTCCCAACCCCCCGCTAGACAGAGCACCAGAGGGGTTTGAAACGCCTTGGATACGAGCCTGGGAGCTAATGAACTCCTCGATGATAGGGAGAAGATTGGCATCTCCGCCTCTGAACAGATCGACAAGGGTTTTCATGACGAGACCTGAGTCCCGGGTCCAGGTATAGAAATCTACGGCCAGTAAGTCAAATGAAGTATTGCAGCAAGGCCAAGTCACATACAATCCGGGTCGCTTTTGCTCGGGCTTGCAATCACCACACCTGCGCTTGCGCCCTGCACCGACTGGCCATCTGCGCCAATATTGTTCAGGATTGCCTGGCGAGAAAAATTCGCTTCAGTGTTCAGCCAGGTATCGAGACCGGTGTCCTGTCTAAGGACAGGCTGGAGCGCGAGAACTGAGGACCCGAGGGTCAAGGCCCGGAGACAAGAGGAGAAAGACACCATCTTTGCTTCGACTTGGTTCGCTGATGCGAAGATAATCCTTCCAACAGGGACGATGCACGACGAGTCCTTTTATAATAACCGGCGTATGGTAGCGGCGGAAGGGTTCGGCTCGTTCGTGCTTCCAAACATCACCCGACTGATGTGAACCAGAATTAAATGTGCGGAGCATCAACCAATGCTGGGAGTAATCACCAGGTTGAATTTCCGGAAGCAATTCTGCAGCCAAGGCAAGCTGACTATTTGCTGATAGTCATGCAGCTAGATGGAGCCAAGACGCCACAGCTTCCAATCACACGGCTCATTTCAGGCAGGAAGAAGCAGCCACAAATTGCTTTGGTCCGTGAATTCGCCGTCCCCTGTCTAATAAGCATCTGTAGTGGGCTATTTCGAAGGTCTAGATTATGATAGAGCATGATATAGCAGTTGTGGTTAGCCTCGCTCCCTTTGCACACACTCTCATTTCCAGTCGCCTAGCGGCATTCTCCTATCGACAGAGTCCGCGACCTAATATACCCGGTTGTATGTACCTCTCACGCGAAATGTAACGATCGATAAGACTAAGTGCCCATACGACCTTCATCTACATTGATTCTTGGCTTGAACGAGATATGCTTAACGGTAGTGGGATATCGTGAATTGATTTGCGATCGAAGCCAATTCACAGCTAGCCCTACTTTAGAAGGCGATTTTGCTCTAGCGGAGGCGTTTCTATTCTTCTTTAGGCGGTACAAAGTCACGTCTTCCACTTTAACCGGCACCACTCGAAGCTGTGATGTCCAGGATACCTAGTCAAAGGACCATTCAGGTGTGTATATAGTACGCTAGTATGCGAATCAAGCTCTACAGACGGTGTCTCTGATGCCCGATAAACCTAGGCCTAAGGAGAGAAAAAGTGCTTATTGGAGTGTCAAGCTTTTCTCTCCCTTGCATCCTGAGAGACCATCGAAATGTTCCCTCCCCACTCGGACCAACCTTCGTCTTTCGAATTTTTATTTACTGGGGACCCGGAATCGTATTTAACCAGAAAAGCAGCCTCCATTTCAACTCCACAGCCCTAAGACAGGAAGGTAAAAAAGGAATACGTTTTCCTTTTCCTTTTCCTTCTCAAGAAAAAGGGTGTAGCAGCTACAATATCCGAGTTCAAACTAATACATGATTGGCACGAGTCACGCGTGACGAGTCTCCTGTCGCCTCAGAGGTTCTGGGCAGTTTTCCATCTGCAATCTCTCTCATAATACCTGAGAGAGGTTAAATCATGAACAGCTCATACTTACTTCGGTTCGTGCTTTAATTACGAGAGCCAGAGCGGCTCTGGGCGTAGTTCTATTTCTATAGTGACTCTCATACATGTTCCCTCTATGCTCGACCCGAGAACATCTTCTTTTTAGTAGCCAGGATCACCTATAGAAAACCCGATGTACAATTCCTCTAGTGTTCAATGGGAGGTGGCGTCCAGTATATTACGTGCTACACGTACAGTAACTCAACATCGTTCTTACGCGCGGTTTGCGTTCAGGATAGAAGTCAGCGACTCGACGCATGAACAGGTTTTGGCTAGTTGATAGAGCCTACGCAGCTACAGTATACGGGATAGCTCATTGCTTATACACTAGGAACCCATAGGTCTCGAGACCCGTTATCTTGCTGACTTTCTCTGTCCCTGATGTAGATAGACAAACAATTTCATCTCCCTTTTCGGGGCTACCTTGCCGGTGGAGCTGATATCGGGCCGTGGTCGGTCTTGTCGTTCCTGGTGGTCCTGCTGTTTGCCCTGGTAATATGATTGTAGTAGATTCTTTCAATTAGGAACCGTGGAGTTAAGAAAAGAGGTGTATTGGCTCCCTGTATTGCCTAGATATTCTCTGTAATGTGCATAAGTCCAAGTCATTAATCAGCCATCGCAACGACGGAAATTTATCAACCTGAAAGAGCTACCAAAGTATACTGAACCCAGTATCCACAGGTTGACCACATGTCCAGCACGGCCCGGTCCGGATGCATAGCGTGGCTGTGGCAATGCAGAGAATACAGGTGGTGGTGGTGGTGGCTGTCGGACTACGGCAGTGCAGTGCAATATCACACAAGGTCAGTAGTTAGAAGAGCGAAGCCTGTGAATGATGGTGGGTTACATTGGCGGTGTGGATGGCCTATCCTACCTGTTCTAATTTTTGAGTTAGTGACATTGAGCAGATGCCAAGTGCAGGAGACCTTGAGGATTAAGAGTGGGGAGGTAAAAGACCCCTCCACAAGTAGAAACAAGGGAAGGCAATGCAAGTATTACATGGCATTAGTTAACCATCTTCTCCTCGCGTTCACATTGCCTAGTCCTGGTGGAATGCCAATGCCATGGACCGGCCTTTCGGTAGATTATCCATACGCAACGCAGAGCGACATCAGACTCCAATGGTAACCGGGGTCTCCGGATAGTTCTCAATTATCACAAGCACGTATAACGCTTGGCTCAGTCGGCTGTCCAGTGCATGTAAGGATGCCCGATTGACTAATCACAGGAATTGGGAAGGCGTAGGTTTGCGCTACAACCTAGGCAAACCCATAAATTTGTCTAGCTCATGAGAGGCTTGCCTCATTGAGTTTCGTCTCCGAAGAGAAGGTTCAGTCTCCTGGAAGTTCCTGAAGAGACGGTGGATCCTGTGAGTCAGGGCCCTAACGGCGAGGTCTTCTGCCGAATTACGCCCAGCCCTAATGAATCCTTTTCCCCGCACTATCATCCATTCCCCCCGCGTTCTATGCGCTTGACAATCTGCAACCTGCAATGATCGTTCACCAGTCATTTAGCGCTATGAAGGATCTGCTGACTTCTTCAGTCGGTAGCATGACTGGCTCTCAGAGTGCTCCCTGCCCACCAGCCTCGGTTCACATGGAGATCGACTCGGGCGTCTTTGAAATCAACACTGAATTAAACTTCCACCTTCTCGAAGAATCCTTGTCCACATTACCTCGTGGCCTTTCTATCAGGGCAGGCTAGTTACTACGGGCACAGTTCCGTCTGCCTCACCGCTAACAATGCTGACTTACGCGGGGTTCTAGCGTCGTATTCTGCGGCCTATATACGATGCTGTACAGACATTTTGCCGAGGAATGCCAAGGGGTCGTTATCAATCCTGGAGGAAGTTAGAGTGTTGCAATGCCAGACTTTTTAAGCGAGTATACATGTATAAATAGACCATGCTTTCCCGGCTTCGTAAAGTGTCAATCAAGGCCGTCAAGATGATCTTCAAGCCCTACCTACTCTTTCTTTTGTCTCTCCCCACCGCACTAGCAGCTCCAGCCAAGAGGGACTCGCCAACGGTGACCATCTCCTCCCCCTCAGCCACGATAGTGGGGAGCTCTGGTAAGATCGAGCGCTTTAATGGCATCCCTTTTGCGCAACAGCCAACGGGCTCTTTGCGCCTAAAGCCACCCCAGGCGCTAGAGTCCCCTCTGGGAACAATCACGGCTACCGGGATTGCGAAGGCCTGCCCGCAGTTCTTTTTCACCACGGATACCTCCCAGTTTCCGAGCTCGGTGCTCGGTCAGCTCATTAATATTCCGCTCTTCCAAAAGATCACCAATGCTGGGGAAGATTGTTTGACTCTCAATGTCCATCGGCCGGCCGGAACAACCGCGGAAAGTAAGCTACCCGTTCTCGTATGGATTTTCGGCGGTGGGTTCGAGCTTGGATCGTCAGCCATGTACGATGGGGCGCCCTTGGTCTCCAGTTCAGTGGACCTGGACATGCCAATTATCTTCGTGGCCATCAACTATCGCGTCGGTGGGTTTGGCTTCCTACCCGGCAAGGAGATCCTCAATGATGGTTCGGCCAATTTGGGTCTCCGGGACCAGCGACTCGCTTTGGAGTGGATCGCCGATAACATCGCAGCTTTCGGTGGTGATCCCGAGAAGGTAACCATCTGGGGTGAATCGGCGGGATCCATCTCCGTCTTTGACCAGATGATGCTCTATGAGGGGGACCACACCTACAAGGGCAAGCCGCTGTTCCACGGCGCCATCATGAACTCCGGGTCGGCCGTTCCCGCCGACCCAGTCGACGGAGTCAAAGGGCAAGCCGTCTATGATGCTGTCGTGGCTAGTGCCGGCTGCTCCGATGCTTCAGATACCCTGCAATGCCTGCGAGAGCTCGATTACACGGACTATCTCAACGCCGCCAACTCCGTCCCTGGCATATTGAGCTACCACTCTGTGGCCCTGTCGTACCTCCCTCGCCCAGACGGAAAGGTCCTCACCGATAGCCCTGAAGTACTCGGCAAGGCAGGCAAGTACGCCTCGGTGCCTTTCATCATCGGCGATCAAGAAGACGAGGGAACAATATTCGCCCTGTTCCAACTCAATATCACCACCACGGACGACATCGTCGACTACCTATCCAAGTACTTCTTCTACGGTGCCTCGCAGGATCAGCTCCAAGAGCTCGTAGGCACATATCAAACAATCACGGAGGACGGGTCTCCGTTCCGAACAGGCATCTTCAACAACTGGTATCCGCAGTTCAAACGACTGGCCGCAATCCTGGGCGACCTAACATTCACACTCACCCGGCGTGTGGTCCTGCAGATGACAAGTGATGTCAAACCCGACGTTCCCAGCTGGTCATACCTCTCCTCGTATGACTACGGCACCCCGATCCTGGGAACCTTCCACGCCAGTGACCTCCTACAGGTCTTCTACGGCATCCTGCCAAACTACGCCTCCAGGTCGACACACGCCTACTACTTCAGTTTCGTGTACGACCAGGATCCGAATTCAAGGAGAGGCAACTTTATGGAGTGGCCGCAGTGGAAGGAGGACAAGCAGCTGATGAACTTCCAGGCTTATTCGGGGAAGCTGCTCAAAGATGATTTCCGGTCCGATACGTATGAGTTCATTACTAAGAATGTGGCCTCGCTCCATATCTAGTGGATGATTGTATATAGTTTGACGCTGTGTCTGACGATGATAAGTAATGTATATATCGGTGTAATGGCAATATACCCGGAACCAGCTAGCTCAATTGGTTCATGATATCGGAAGCATTGATAGCACGATATAGACGCAGTGCAATAACATTTCTTCGTAACTTCTAATGACTGTTGTACAACCCGCTTACAATGACAGCTCGGGCAATTGTGGTATCACAAGTTAACCTCTATCTACAAGACCATCGCTCTATACATTACAATAATTTTCATGTCCTCATGATTATCGAAATCAAGTCCATGCCGACCAGCTCAATCCATCCCGATACTGCAGCCCAACCAGCGGTTCCTCGTTGGAAAGGATATATCCGTCCAGACAATGATCATACGATACCTTAGGTTGCTTCTGGTAAAAGATATCAAATCGTGGGTGAAGCGCGTCTGTCAGACTCTGCACAGCACCGTCAGGATGAATTACCTTCCACGGTTCGATACAGGTGGAACCCTGGCAGGTTTTCAGAACGAGAAGCAAAGCATCGAGACGAGTGAGAACCGCCTGCAGGGGCCTCTCGAGGAGCTGGGAGGTCGTGTTCTTGGGTGTGTAAATGTTGTTGATTTGGTAAGGGTCGGCCTGGGCTCATTTAGTATAATTCACTAGGACAGGAGAATTGCAACGACGTACTGTTAGGTCATACAGCTCGTGCTCGCCGTGGCACCATACAGAGTAGTAAAGATTGTACCCCTCACCGAGAATACGGACAGACTTGTAGGTATTGTTCGGCATGTGTGTATCTCCATCTGGGCCTGTTGGTGATTCGATTAGCTCACATCAAGGGTGTAACTGGGAAGCGTGAAAAAGCCCCTTACCGATCCTAGAAAGGTCACCCTCCAGAACGGCACTGCCCCAAAACTCCACCGTAACATGCTCATGGGAAATTGATGCCGACTCTCGCTTGATCGGCAATGGCGTGCCGTCGAAATCGTCGCGCAGCGGCAGGCCGGCCAATTCAAAGAATGTTGGGGCCAGGTCGATATGCGTCGAGATGCTGTCCTCGGTCTTTCCGGCGGGGATGCCCGGGCCTCGAATGAAGAAGGGGACGCGGATGTCTTCCTCGAAACCAGTGGTTTTTCCCGGGGGCATACGGTGCTGACCGATGTGAAATCCGTTGTCGGAGGTGTAGATGATGTAGGTGTTGTCGATCTTGCCACTTTCCTCGAGACGAGATACCAGTTTGTCGACCAGTTCGTCAACTCCCTGCAGGGCACGCAGTCGCTGGCGATAATAATGGTCTTCGTAGTCAACTACGGTTTGGTTCTGCAGGGCAAGGTTGGATACCCAGCTAGCTCCGGTGCGCTGAAATGGTCAGTAGACCCCTTCCTTGGCTCAGAGAGAGTATACGTACGTTGAGTGGGTTGAAGTTAGGAGTTCGGGGCACCTTGACATCCGGGAATAAGTGCCGATGGCGAGGCGCAGGAATCGGCTCAGTCATGATACTTGCGCCAGTACCCATGAGGTTCGGGTCAACGTTTGAATGAGGAGCAATCGGCGCAACAGCCACGAAGAAAGGTCGATCACTCTCCAGCGCATCATCCAGGAATCCCAGAGCCTTGTCGGTGATCACGTCGGTCGTGTAATGACCTTCGTAGTTTTTGGGTGGTTCGCGATTGCGCTGGTAGGTGGAGTTGTAGTACGAATAGGTGTGCGGGTCGAGCAGGAAGTCTGACCCGTTGAAGCCCTTGGGGAACGGATTATTGTAGGTGCTCAGGCTGTGGGCGTTCATGAGCTTCCCGGTGTAATAGGTGTTGTAACCAGCATCCTGGAACCACACGGGGAACCAATTGTCATTGAAGCCTTGCGAGATAAACTTCGGATATCCACCTATTCATACTTAGTATAATCCGCATGCCATGGGTTAGATAGTCACGTACCCCAGGGTGGGCTCACGTCCGTCACATTGGTATTATGAGCCTGACGTCCAGTCCACAGACTGACTCGCGAAGGACAGCAAAGAGATGTGGTGACAAAGTGATTTGCGAAGTCGGTACCCTTCTCCTTGATCCGACTCAGGATATGCGGGGTGTATGCAGTCGAATTCAATTGAAGATCTTGATCATCAGTCATGATAAAAAGGAAATTGGGCTTCTTGGCGACATTTCTCTGCAGGATTTGTTGCTGTGGGAGAGCCTCTGAAACCGCCAGAAGGCCCGACAGGGCTGCAATACTGGAGAGCTTCATGATGGCTGGACTGAAGTTGTAGCTGGCATGGGAAGCTGTACAGAATCTGCGACTGGGCTCCATAAATATATCATCAGCTCAGATGTGGGGAACAGCTCGCATGCGGGGGACAGCCTTGGGGGTCCACAATCGCGATTGCGATTGCGGGCGACGGCATGATGCCATCAAACGATTTGCCGAGCTGGGCGAGCGCCGCACGTCTAGGAACAAGCATACATCGGGAGTGAAGCGAATCCAGAGGTGAAATGCCAATCAATATTGCCGTGCTGTATGTAAGTTAAAGTTCGGACCCACCAGTATGAGTGTTCGGCTACAGCTATCGGTATGAGATCTCAAAAGCTCTGCAGATGCAATAGTATATGGTCGGTACAAGGTTGACTGCCCAGATGACCTTCAACAAGGGATTTTTCAACGCGGTGGACCTTCAGAGATTCTTAATTTAGCGGATATGGCATCATGATCATCCAATAAAGGGGGGCCATTTGATGATCGTCTCTTTCCCGCCGTATCTGAGCATCTTCATGGCAAATGCATTCTCACTGATTTAGGGTTGTCAACAGTCACGCCCTCGCCTCCGAACAAGTACCTCCTTCGTTCGGTACACCAGATAAATGTTTGTTATATAAATGGGAAAGATAATAACATCACATGTCCCTATATAGTTGGCGTAATAAAGTCAAGAGTTTTGCTGTTCTGACACAAAGTTGTTGGTTGAAGAAACGGAAAGTTCCTTTGCTCCACAGTGGAGATTTGGCGTCAGATTACGTGCTTGGTTCTAAGATGAGCTCATCCTCTACAATGTCTTATTTTTCTGTTCTTTATTCTCTAGGCACGGAAATATTCGTAGATGGTGGTGATATGCATGGGCAAGCTGGGAACTACTTAGGATGTACGTACGTACGTAACTATCTTTAATTATTGGTGAGATGCATATGATATCTTATCTATGCAAGGTACGGCACCATAAATCGAATCGCTAGCGCACCCGACCTGTCTAGCTAAGAGAGCCTTTGAGGAGACCACCAAACTAAATATTTTAACGCTTCGCGAATATCGTTTCGCATTCGCTTTTTCCTTTTCCTTTCTCTTTGTCTTCTTCTTCGTCTTTAAGATTGTATTGTTGTCCTGCACATCACCATTGGTTAGGTACAACCCTCAGGCCACCCATAACTGTTGCAATCAGGTACGCGGCATCGCACCAAAAATCTCTCCCCTTGGAGGAAGCCTGCAAGCTAGGGGCGATGTTCAGGACAGAATGGCTGGTTCCTGCGCCCTTGACATGTGCATGGTCAAGAATACGGATTACGGGGAATGATCATAAATCAAAGTTGAGAGGCGTCAATGCACCAAACATAGCTGAATAAGTTACATAACTAACATCACATTACATCTCCACGTAACAGGGTATATGGCGCACCGGTCCGTTCGCTTACTTCCGGGCAGTCTCCTCGTCCACACTCACGCCACTCGATTCGACATATTTGCTCTGCGGCAGGTTGTTCAACTCGTCTTCCCTCCGATCCAGCTTGTAGTTGCTCAACCAGAAGCCAATAGCACCAACGAAGGCCAGGATCGTCACCACCATATAGTTATACACCAGCAGGGGATCCTTGGACAAGCCGACGAAGGCCTGGCCGATGGCTGAGGAGAAGGCGTTCATGAAGAGCGCGACGGCCTGTACGATCGACCGCATGTTCTTGGGCGCCTTGGTGAAGGCATACTCGAGGGAGGTGATGGAGGCAAAGATCTCCGAGATACCACCGAGGATGTAGATAATCGCCTGGGTCCAGACGGAGATGGGCGAGTACTTTCCATATTCATCGAGACAGTAGTTGGCCTCCTTGCCGCAGGGGCCTTTCACGTAAATGTAGTGTTGGATGACCGTGGCCGCGATCATGGAGCAGCCGGCGACGACGAACCCACACGTGATTCTCTTGATGGGGGTAAAGTTGAATCCCAGACGGCGGAAGCCAGGGTAGATGACCCGATCAAAGATCGGAATGCAAATGATCAGGGAAAGAGGGTTGAGGTTATTGATGATATCGTTGGGGACGCCACCAAGGTGCATAGTGGCCGCTTGAGATGTCAAGTTGTTCAACATCTGGTTGTAGGCGAGCCTGAACAACGCTCCATTAGTATGGGGGAAGCAAGCGACAATGGGGGAAGACATACAGAAGAGAGGGTACCACAGGAACACTTTGCATGCCTTCAGGCCACGAGCAACTTCGTCGACCCATTCGTCGTCGAAAGTCATCCACTGAGGCCGATTTGGGCCCAGAGCACTCGGCTTGACCGCGTCCCAGAATGGCTTGTCGTTGCGTTTGAACCTGGTTGGTCAGTATAGCTTTGGCCCGACGGAACACGTGGGGACACTTACAGCCGCGCCGGATTCAACGACCACCGCCCCTTCATCGCCAGCTTCCAGAGCCGGAACGCCTGTCCGTAGACGGAGCCTTGTGGTTTCACCCGGTAGTACTTGTTCCGGCAGAAGAACAACACCGTCGGGCACCACAGAAACAGGCATGTTGGCAGGAAGTATGACAACCAAAACCCAACATATCTCTCGGCATAGACCATGCTCACTTGGCCCGTGATGGAACCGATGTTGACAGTCAAGTAGTAGTACAGGTAGATGCGCTGGACGGTAATGGCGGGATCCACAATCACTCGCTCCCCTGAGGCAAGGGTCTTAATGTATGGATATTCCTCGCGATATTGCTCAGCGATGAGGGGCGAAATATTCGATCTGGCGGGCATCAGTATATAGAACCTCGGCGTGAGGAGGATTGGTAGAGGCCTTACTTGAAACCACCCGTTCCCATACCCATGATGATCAGACCGATGGAAAAACACGCGATCGCGCCATTGGGGTGGGAGATCACGCTGGGAATAGCGGAGATGACCAGGATCAAATGACCGAGCAAAGCGGCCGCGATGGAGTACATGATCGTGCGGAATCGACCCCAGTATTGATCGGCCAGGAATGCACCAGCCATGGGCATAATGTAGGACCAAAAGGAATTGACTAGACGGTCAGGACTCACTTGGACTATCGATACAGGGCATGCGACTTACACAAGGTCAAACCAGTGGAGGCCTGTTGGCCCATATCCAGCGCTCCCGGTACTCGTGAATTATCATAGGTCGCACCAGTGGAGGAGCCTGCCGGCATGGGGCGCTGGATAAAGTTGACGACTACTGCATGTCAGCAAGCGATTTCTGGGAGGATAAGCCAATGGGGAGAGACACACAAACGGCCGTCGTTCCATAGTAGGAGAATCGTTCACACAATTCCACAAACGCCACGGTGTATGCGGTCCATGGGATTTGTCCGCACACTCGACGCAGGGTTCTCAATTCCTCGTCGGTCGGATAGGTCTTCTGGAGATCGGTATCACCGGCGGTTGCGCCCACGACTGTGGTGGCCGGGACCTCTTCTATACTCGGCGTGATCGCCAAGTCCTTATCAATAGAGGCGGGCTTCTTCTCATCCAGGTGGACATCATGCAGGTTGGCCGTCGCTTTGGCAACCTCGACCGTCTCCGTGGGGTCGGAGGAATTCATGGTGGAGAGTCGAGCAATGCGCGCAGACAAAACGAACACAGAGGGGGGAGATATGTGTATGTGACTGTGGTCGAGATAGAAAAGAAGGAAATGGAAGACGGGGAGAAGATCCAGGCTTTTAATACCATTGGTGGTTCATGTGGGACGAGAATTAGGATTTGGGGGAGGGTGCGTGGTAAAGAACGAGTGAGAGGGGAAATCAAGTGTCAAACCAAAGTCACCCAAAATAATAATAATAATAAATCATAAAAGCGAAAAAAGAAAGGAAAAAAAAAAAGGCAATTGGGATGGTTTATCGCGTGCCATGACCCATGCCGGTCCAATTGCCACTCGTGGTTTAGATTAGCCTACTACGACATGCCAATGACTAGTAAGTACGTTAGTATCGACTTCCATACACCTTCCATCCCGAGTAAAGTAGGTCGTCTGGTCCTATCTTCTATACGATCCAAGGCCAGCCACGGAGGATTATCTCAAACCAGTCACTGGTCCCCAACATAAGACCACCCGTTGATAACCGGGAAAATCCCCAGTGGCCTTATGCCAGATGGACAAACCTTCATCATTGAAAATGGGTGACTGGACGAGACATCAAATGGTCGGCTTGGCTCTGGCACTTGGGTTCGGAACCACCCGACCGAGTTAGAGGGCAAGATAGAGAACTTTGAACCGAATGAAATTACGCGACGATAAGCGGATTAGGGACCCAAACAAAAACTGTCTGACCGCAGAGAAAGAAGCACCAGCGGAGTATAATTCACCAGTCGCGGGAAGGAACCATGGCTTGGCAGCTTGCTTGGCTGGTAGGTTGGAGTGCAACCTCAGGCCCTTGGCACCCCAATCATCCATGGGTGCTGTAGCTCCTATCGCTCACAATAGACGGGGTACTCAGGGCATCCTATCTTCGAGATGAAGCCTGGAGTCGTTCTACTGGTGGGAGGTTGGCCATGCGGCTGAGTCAGCCACACCTGACTTGGACGGTTTTACCCTTTCCGTGCGTCTACCCCGGACCATCAGGCTTAAACTCGACCACGCGATGTTACCTTGCTAGAAGCTAAATCCCGACATTCCAGTCAATCAGAGCCGATCAATGTATTTTCTCTTCTGGAGAGCAGGAACTCTGTCTCGACTACTCATACCAACACTAACACTAAACTGTCCATGGCAGGTAAGTGACTCGAGTAGGAAGGAGTAGGCTACCTTACGATGGGGCGGCCACATGATTGGAAATGACTTGGATTACACCATTTTCTCCCTGGATCTCGTTCTAATCTCGCTTCTTCCGACCCCACCCGTCGGATTCCCGAACTTGGCCATTCTTACATTCTCTCGGCATGATCTTGGCAGGCAAAACGGATGGGAAAAAAAAGGAAGATGGGCCGTTCATGTCATCCAAACCTCGTGGCCATGGATATCATGATACAGGATCACCATGGAGGTCCAGATAAAGTCAAAAGATAGACTACTGGGGTGCTTCTCCATCCCTGTCCATGTCGTTGGTTCTCATTATTAACAGAATGCGACCGGGAAATCTAATCTAATCATTTCCCCAGACGGAGCACCGCTTATTATGTAAAAGGAACCCAGTGACAGGAACCGTCATTTTGCCCCCCAAACTCCAAGCTCCCAGCAATTTATTAGGTAACGAAAATGAGATTTTGATATATATGAGTAGCTAGGTACGGAGGACCTAGTATATATTCTTTATAGACTGGGATGAACCTCGGCATCGTCGCCACCATGTGTTTTCCTTTTCTTTGTCGGCCTCGCCGACCTCTTTGTCGGACCTTTGCGACCAAAAGAAACTCTCTTGGCCATGCTTAGCCATGTCTTCTTCCTCCCAGGAGAGGTGGAGTCTACCCCATTGGGTGCTTGAGATTGGTGTCACTGGTCGCTCGCCAATGAGACCGAGTACATTAGTACGCCGCACGGGTCCTCGCTCCAAGGGGCGCTCAGCGTGGCGCTTGGATACAGAAAGAGAAGATAAGGTTCGGTCTCGCCAGTTCTTTGTTTTTTGTCTTCGAATCCCTGGAAGTCTGGTCTTCTGTATGTAACGTTCCTACCTACTTGAATTTTTGAGTTATCTAGTTCCGAAACAGCTTTTTGGGTACCTAAAGTCATGCGGGAGTGCGGGGAAATATCCGTCGCTGGACGAAGACCCTGGTCATCAAGAGACCATTTAATATACGACATCTGTATCCAATCCCAACAGCTTGGATCCTGCAATTGGTCTCTACATTCAACACCATTTCTCGTATTTCTTCTCCATCCATTGCATTTACATAATGACGTCGTATCGATCAATGTACCTACGATGGATTCCTCTAATCCCTCATTCCTCACCCAGTACTGCTACTTACACTACAGGCCGTGATCAAAAACAGATTCTCCACAGTCCCGAAGCCTTTCTCGTGCGTGAGATAGACGTATCAGTGGTGACTGGCGCGATTTGACTGGTGCCCGCTCGATCGACATTGTTGGATCCTCCAGCGGAGATACTTTTTCGTCAAATATGGTTATGAGATTAGAATGATCAACCAACAGGGACTGGCTAGGGTGAATTCTGGCCTCGTTCTAGACTGCGACTCCCGCATCCATGACAGATCACATGCAATCTCTGCAAATGATAATAATCATGCCCCACAGAAATTCATCCGTGGCTATAGGAGGTGTAGCTGGAGGTCTTCTCTATGAAAGCTATACCGAGTCGAAACAAAATGGTGTGGAGAACGGGACGGGTGGAGTAGTAAGTAATGGAAAGAAAGATTAAAAATTAAGGAAAGAAAAAATAATGACCGACGCAGGGATCGAACCTGCAATCTCTTGATTCGTAGTCAAGCGCCTTGCCATTGGGCCAGCCGGCCGGGTGATTGGAAAATTCTTTGTAATTTAACTTTATGAAGGAAAATCAGTACATTGCTACGCAGATCCATCTAAATCACAGTTCAGTGTCCGTTACTTCTAGTTTTTGTTTCAAAGAAAAATATAACTATGTACGTATATATTCTCTTCATTATATGTAGTTATAACATTACAATGTAAACCCTTCTGCATCCTGAAAAGTTAATTCTGGTGGCGATGCTAGATTAACGGGTTTGCAAATATATACTTTTGGAATAATAAACTAGCAACCCTAAAATCAGTCTACTGCCGGTTGAACTATATCTCAAGGTTAGCATCGGAGTATTCAGTGATATCTGCTCACGTTATTTTATAAAGTTTCATGTTGTCAAGTGAGAAATCGATTTGTTTAGACTTTGCTGTAAATGGTCCTCGGATAGCCATTTCCCCCAGAGCAATGATGATAATGCAAACATCACTCTGAAGGACCGATGAGTGTCGATGGCCCCTGACAGCTGTGCCTTTGAGATACAATTTTCCCCTATATTGGGCAAGATCCGATCGTCCAACTGTGTCCTGTAAGCATAGCCATTCTACCGGTATGTCGACCAATAACTTCACAAGGCAGAGCGGACGTCTTTCCTCGAACCGATAGATATATGACCTTGTAGGTACATAATGACCCTGCTGGCCTCGAAGGAGCCTATCTATAACTTCAAGCCAGGAAGCTCCTTTTTACACCAATATGACCTCCTCTCTCCCTTTATCTAGGGTGGCTCTAGCCCATAATATTCAATTTTTTGCACATTAGATAGTAGTGAAAGGCCAGCAACATTGAACTAGGCAACACCGAAACTCCAACAGTATGGCAAGACAGAAAGCATCAAGGGATGCCCTGCGTGCCTCCATCTTCAGGTCCCAATCTCAAGATGAGATACGGTAATCGAATCTCTTCCGCTTGTCGTTAGAAACCCGTGCACTTCCCTCTCAGATGCCGGACGGGATGATTGTCTGGATGATGGAATAAACTAAAAGTGTTCAAGAGTATAAAAGCTCGTGGTCGGTAATTGTTGGGCTTGTGTATCCATGTTGTCCCTTGTTAAGTGAAGGTGGGTTGAGTGGGCCTTTGCAATAAACATATATATATATTGCAAAGATGGAAATAGAAGACCTGGTAGAGAGAGATCGGGTTATATAGTACTCCGTACTGGGAGACGGAATCATAGTCGAGGAAGCGAAAGAGGACGGAATAACTCCCTGCTCCGGAACCATGGGCAGAATGCGGGGAAAAAAAGTGTCAGTGCTCCTTCATTACCCCAGGTCTTGCTGCATTAGCGGTCCTGGTGGAGATGGCATATCCATTAATAAGAGAAATGCCGATGATAGGCTGCATATCGCCTCTCCTGGTCTTATCCACGAATCACCGACGATAGAACCTCCGAGTTGCGAGTCTTTATCAATTTTAGAGCCGTCCGTCGCGTCGGAGCGATAAGAGTCCGTTTCGTTCCGTCGCTTCTCCTCACTCTCTGCATCATGGATGCTATGATCGTGGCTTCACCACTACCGCCATGAATTCCACTGGTCGTGTATGCGCGCGATGCGCAAAGATTGTACGTTACATACTGAAATCCAGATAATGTCATCGCTGTTGACAGTGAATAGAAACAACGCTGTGACGGGGATGCCCCCTGTTCCCGCTGCGCTCGTACGTGTATCGCACATTCAAGATGGAATGACTGAGCTAATCTGGCCTCCTGTTAGGCCTAGGGCATATCTGCGAACCCCAACGCCCAGGCGGAAAACTAGATCCCAAGACCATAGCCCATCGACGCCCTCGAGCATCCCGATCGCGCGGCGGTTGCCTGTGCTGCAAGGCGAGGTAAAACCACCTACACGAAACAAGAGCTACTACGTATTAGCGCGGGTATTAACTTTCAGCAGGAAGAAGAAATGCGACGAGATCCACCCTCGATGCAGTGATTGCCGCCGCTTAAACCTCCCCTGTCAATGGAAAGCTTCCCCGTCATCCCCAAGCTCCAGCCACCCGTCGCTTCCCCCCTCTTCCGAAAGCAGTCTATCTCTAGCAACCCCAGATCCGATCTCTCCTTCCGATCATGCCGTGGATGATCCGATAGGAAGCTCATTCCCATGGCTGGCCGTGGAGGAGATCATCGTCCCCGTCGCATCGCCCTGCGGATCCGCCAACCCTTATCTGCACAATGACGAAGAGCGCTCGCTATTCAATCACTATCTACATATCGTAGCGCGCTCATTATCGCGGTCCGGGGATCCTGGTGGAAATCCCTTTCTGTCGATCTTGCTACCGATGGCAGCCAGTTCAGACACGGTGACTAGTGTGATTCTAGGCTTGAGCGGTTGCCATTGGAAACGTGTCTACCCAGGCATCTGGAATCGCGCATTAGCGCGCCAGGGAAAAGGTATGCATAACCCCGCGGTTGGATCCAGTGAAGCTAACCCCAAACAGCATTGGCGCAAGTCAAACAACTTCTATCAACGGCAGACGGCCAATCCACCCTAGAAGCCTGCACAACGGTGCTACTCCTCTGTCTAACCGAGCTATGCGATGGCAGTTCTCATGCGTGGGAGTGGCATCTGAAAGCAGCTAGTGCACTCCTTGCTTCAGTGGGAGACAGTAGCCTTGAATCGACACTGGAAGGGAGGTTCTGTCTGCAGCTGTTCCGATATCTGGACTCCATGTCGACGATATCCCGCTGCAAGCCACCGCTTCTTCGGGAGGATGCGAAACTCACTGACCTTACCGCGAATAAGTCCATTTGCAGTCTCTCGTCTGCCCCCGTAGATGCTGTCTCTGGGATGGTCCCGGCGTTGCTCGAACTTCTAGGTATGGTCAACTTGCTCGCGGCACACCGTAGCCGTCGCGTTGATGAACTCTCCGAGCTTGGGTTTCGAACGGCTGCCTCCCATGTTCAGTCTCAGTTGGACTCGTGGAGAGCGGAATATGACAGCGCTGCGGGTACGGACTACGAGACAGATCAAGTTACTACGGCCTTTGAATGGGCGGTACGACTACGCCTGCATCAGGTGGTTGATGGGTATGATCCGCACCACGAGATGGTGGAAACCGCGGTTTCTCCTATTCTCAATGCTGTGATGACCATTCCATATGGTAGTCCTGTAGAGGGATGTTTACTTTTCCCGCTGGTAATTGCTGGGGCTAGTAGCACAGATGTTGAGAGACAGATGTTGGTCAAGGAAAGGCTAATGGTTATGGAGAATACTTTGGGATTTGGACATATTTCGCACGCCCGACAGTTATTGGAGACTGTATGGGCGGATGAGGCTGATTGCAATTGGGCCAGGGTGAGATATAGTTTGTTCCCCGGGATGGTATTTGTATGAGACGTTGTATAAATAACGAAGTGATGCGATGGAAATCATATATTGTAAATAATCAATACATAAGACGTTAACTTCATTTATCTACTGTGCAATCGCGGCGACCAACTCATCCAAATGCTTTTGCATGTCGTATCCACAAACTTCCTCAATCGTCAACTTCCCAGGCCGATCGGCTGAAGAACTCCAACCAATGCGTTCGCTGAGATCTTCTCGAGCCCTAAAGCTAGCTTCCTGCACACGGGTGGCTCTCGGCTTGCGCAGCTTTTCATATAAGCCAAGTCCTTCGGCGACGCTGTATTGTTCGCGGAATGTGCGGTGGAAAACCAGGCCTAAAGCGCCGGCATCTTCGAAAGCCATACAAGACCCTTGGGATTGATCCGGCATCATGGGATGGGCTGTCTCTTAGTACGATCGAATCTTCCATCAAGAGGAGGAAAGAAAAAACATACCAGCATCACCGAGAAGACAAACCTTGCCCTTAACCCAGTACGGGTAAGGCTCATGTCGATACACTATATCGTTAGGAGAACCGTCCGAAGTAAAAAGAGGAGAGGATACATACATCGCCACATTTTAATATCCTCCGCATTTAACATCAGCTTCTTCATCCTCGGATCCAAAGCGGGGAACGTATCCACCAGTTGTTGGGGCGTAGCGGAGATATTCCATCCATCTTCACGGAGTTCATTATATGCTGCCGGGTAGAAGCAGTAGCAGCTTACGACCTCGCCGTTGCTACAGGGAGACATGACAATCTTGTCGATACCGAACCCGCCCCAATACTCGATGGCTTCATTGGAGATATAATCGTCGAGTCCGAGGGCGCGCAGTTTATCGGCACCGATGATGCAGCGGTAGCAACACGAGGTGGACATGGTGAAATTGGGGGTTATTCCGATTAGGTTACGAGAGGAAGACTTGCTTATTTAGTACCTTGTCAATGGTAACTGGGTTATTGGGGCAAGAAGACGTACACGAATGCCATCAGCCGCGACGATCAGATCGGCTGTCGTTGAAGCGCCGTTTTCAAATTGGATGATACCTGCTTCTGCATCAAGAGCAGTAGCTTTATGATTCACTTCAAGTGTACACTTTGGCCCTTCGCCGGGCTCTTCAAAGGCCGACTTGAGAAGTTCTTTGTGGATATCGATCCGATGGAAGTTGTTGTAATCCTTTTTTTGTGACTCTTTAGCCAAGCAATATCTTCAGGTATGGAAGGAAGACACACCGTCCCAAACTTCGATTTATAGTCTCCTAATCCGTACTCGCTTTGTACCTCCCCAGTAGACCAATCGTGCATAATCAATCGTTTCAAAATCACCTGAGGTTGTTAGTGTTGGTTTAACCAAGGCATAATAGACTATCGTACTGGCTTTGCGGCCTTGACGTCCACACCCCATTGTTCGAGGAACCTCGATCCGTTGGAAGCAGCGCTGAGCGAGGCTCCCACCTCGCCCGCGAAATCATATCGCTCATACACCGTCACAGAGTGTCCTTGACGCCGGAGGGCCACGGCAGCCGAAAGGCCACCAAGACCGGCGCCAATAACGGCAACGTTCAGAGGAGAGTCAGTGCGAGAGGGCATTGTCGTGCGTGTTCTTGTTGATCCGAATGATGATCCTAAGTCATACTCTCGATGGGTCTTATATCTTTGCACGACTAGTGAAGTGACGTCTACGGTCATTCATAGCAGCGGCAAAGCTTCATCCGACGTTATCGGTGCGACAGCCCGGCCGGCCTATCTATGCGACGGATGCATAACAGGCTCCACTTCCGGCTCGCTATCAGTCTGGGGAAAGTATACACCGTCAGAGGACTAGGACCAGTGTAGTTGCATTGAATTAACTCTAGCTAGAATCCCTTTAAGATCATGCCACCCTTCAGTCTAAATTGCTCAAATGCAAACGCAGTGAAAATGACCTCTACCAACGAAAAAGATATCGGAATGAGCGGCAAATTGTCCGGCGACGACTACGCCGTCGGCGATCTGCACGATGACCGGGCGCTGCTTCGGAAAGTCGATTGGCGAATCCTGCCTGTCATGTTTCTCACGTACTTCCTGCAATTTGTGGACAAAATTTCACTGAATGTAAGGAGGGCGCTACTCCTTGGCACTGGGTTGTGAAATACGCTGACTTGGTGACAGTATGCGAATGTCATGGGCCTTCAAACTGATCTGCATATGAGTGGGAATGACTTTTCATGGTTGGCAACGGCGTTCTTCCTGGCGTATGCCGTGGCCGAAATCCCCCAGGGTGTGTATAGCATTCCTCGAATCTTCCAGCCTATTATATATGCTAATATGCGCAGGTATTCTTCTACAGAAATTCCCCATCACCAAGGTCCTTGGGGTCAATGTACTCCTCTGGGGCGTGATTCTGTGTTGCTCGGCAGCTGCACAGAATTTCGCCGGCATGATAGCTTTACGTGTATTGCTCGGAATGCTGGAGGCAGTCATTGGTATGTCACAGTGTCTTCGCTTCAGAACATACCACTAACGACTAGGTCAGCACCCGCCCTCACGATGTACACGAGCATGTGGTACACTCGCGCCGAGTCCACACCGAGATATGGGTTCTGGTACTGCGGCTTAGGCATGGGCCAGATCGTCGGAGGGTTGATTTCGTTCGCTGCTCAGCACGCACCTGCGAATATGTCCTTCCATGGATGGCGTATCATGTTCGTCGTGATAGGCGTGGTTAATGTAGTCGCTTCTCTATTGGTCTTGTTTGTTCTACCAGAAAATGTCGAGAAAGCCAAGTTCCTCAGTCCCACCGAGCGCGACCGAATTACACAACGTCTTCGAGACGACCAAGCTGGAGTCGGCCAGAAAGTCTTTCGCTGGGGCTCGGTGATTGAAGCATTTGGTGATTTGCAAAGCTGGCTTCTCGTCCTACTGACCATTTTGATCACCATCCCCAGCGGTGTTATTACCACTTTCTCGTCCATTCTTATCAAAGACTTCGGATATACGTCGAAGCAGAGTGCGCTGCTCAATATGCCCTCGGGCGTAGTCAGCATTGCGGCAACGACCCTGTCTACATGGGCCATCGCTCGTGGCTTCTCGCGATGGCTGGCGATTGATGTATTGTTAATCCCGACGTTGCTGGGATCGTGTTTAATGTCGTTTCTGCCGAGGGATAACCAAGCAGGATGCTTGGTGGGCATTTACATGGTCAATACGGTATAGGATATCCTTTCTACCGACTGGGCGATACAGAGTGAAGCTAACTGAAGTAGACTGTGGCTCCATTGGCACTAATTTTCGCCTGGACCGGAGCGAACTTCAAAGGGTATACGATGAAGGTATAATCTTCCTATCCTTCCAATCACACTGAGCAATAACTGAGCGTTCCAGGTGTCCGGCAGCTCTCTTGTCTCCGCTGCATTCAGCATTGCGAATGTGATTGGTCCCCAAACCTTCCAGGCGAAGGATGCTCCTGCGTAAGCACCGCTACTAGTAGCTCTATGCACCGTCAAATCTAACGATCTCAGGTATATACCGGCCAAAATCACGATTGTAGCGGTCAACGCCGGCGCGATAGTCGTATCCACTGCCCTCCGCATTGTGTATGGGCGACGAAATGCGAGAGCCGATCGCCTGGGAACGCCGGCGAGAAGCCGCATGGAAGGGAAATTGGCGAACGGAAGGACGGCCGAAGAAGACGTCCATGACGACGTGAACTTTCGGTATGTGTATTAGGGGCTGGTTAATGTACTAGGGGTCGATCGCGCCAAGGATTCATAATGTTACTACTATCAGTATTGCAAATAGTCTGCCATCAACGAATGATATAATTAAACGCTGAAAAGCAATTCGTTTCCTACGTATCCAATCCTTCGTAGACCAGAGACTCCACCCTCAGAACTGCTCGATAAGGATAAGCAGTACGTACCCTTCCGAAAGTTATTGCGTCGGATTCATGAGACGATCGGTTTAGTTCTCCGCCGCTCTTACCCCAATTATCCGACGGACGTTGGATAGCCGACCATTTGGAGTCTCCCCCCAACTTGGCTTAGCATAAAACCCGTGCAATGCCCGACAGCTTCTCGCAGACAGCATCAGTGAACCTTTTTTTTACTCTGCAAAAAGTCATAGAGCCAAACATGTCGAAAATCCTAGTCACAGGCGCCAATGGCTTCATTGCCGCGCACTGCATCTCTCTCCTTCTTTCCACAAACCACCACGTCCGCGGCACAGTCCGCTCCGAACAAAAGGCGACCGCGACGCAAGCAGCCCTGTCTGCAGCAGGCGTGGATACAACGAACCTCGAATTGGTAGTTATTCCCGACCCGACCGATGTATCCCAATTTGCGCCCGCTGTGGCCGGCTGCAAGGGCATCTTGCATCTGGCCAGCGCGTTCACCTACGACGCCGCGCCCGGGGAATTCGAGGAGAAGCTCCTTATTCCCGCCCTCAAGGGAACAGTCGCCGTATGCGAAGCGGCTTCAAAGTATCCCGAAGTCAGAAAGGTAGTGATTATGTCGAGCTTTGCGGCGGTTTATGATGCCTCGTTGGGGCTGCAGCCCGGGAAAGTGTATACAGAGAAGGATTGGTGTCCGTTGACCTATGAAGAGGGAAAGAATGCGAGTCTCGTTGTATGTCTCCTTTTCATCTACCTTCCCCTGTCTGTTATGACTAGCTTGGACTCTTGCACAGCACTAACCAACACAGCCAATTGCCTACCGAGCATCTAAAGTGATTGCCGAGAGGGCAGCGTGGGATTACGTTCGCGACCACGAAGTCAGCTATCAGCTAGTTACCTTGTGCCCCGGAATGGTCTTCGGCAAGATGATCCATCCGATTGAGTCGTTATCGCAATTGAATGCCAGCAACCAGATCGTGTGGGATGTGTTGAAGGGCAATGGAATCCCGCCTACGAAGGCTCCTGGTAAATCCTGCTATTTCTGTCGTCCTAATAAAAAAGTAGTATATTGACGAGCAATTTCTAGTTTGGATTGACGTTGAAGATCTTGCCCGGACTAGTCTCCAGGCGCTCACCGTGGATCTACCGTCTCACCAGCGCTTCTTGGTGACGGAGGGATCGTACGACACGCAGGAGATCGCCGATATAGTCCGAAAAGCGCTGCCGGAGAGTCAGGATAGGATCGCAGAGGGGGAGCCTGGGAAACGGATTCGGGATACGCATTACTCGTGTGATTCAGGAAAGGCGCAACTGATGTTGGATGTGAGGTTTAAGCCGTTGAAGGACAGCTTGGTGGCATTAGCGAAACAGCTGTATGCGTTGGAGCAGGCCTCTTAGGCTAGGGCGTGGGATATGCGCATTTGAAGAGAAAAATACAAACAGCTCTTGTAATCAAAGCTACAAACAGAAGAAATCATCTTAGCATTCATACATAATTCACAATGTCTTCAGAGCTTTTCATGTACAGCTGTGGTAATCGGCACTGCTTTAATTCCAGAAATCCTATCTACACAAAAATTGCGGCCTCACGGTGAAAACACAACCCAGAGCAAGCATCTGCGATCTTATTAATTGTTGACCACCGATACTAAAGGGCTGTGCCTCATGGCAACGGTTAAGAATGTTTTATTCAGTGTAAGTGATATTTCAACTGCAAAAGCGAAGCCTAGCCAGTTTACACTTGGGGAGTGGGTTTGTTGGTAAGATTGGTATTCAGCCTTTTTGACCAGTCTGGTAAGCTTTAGTACTTGTCAGACGACGGCTATATTCATATACTAATCTTATAAACCACAAAGGTATTCACACAAAATTTACAGCTGAATCATGGTCGCGACGAGTCATTAGGAATACAAGAGTACTGGGCTAGAAAGGAAGGCGTCGATAGTTCAAGTATTCTTTCTATATCAGATTCTGTTGCTTTAAAAGTATAATACACCAAGGCTAATGTAAAGCAACACGAATGTGCGCAGCTGTCTTGTCTATAAACTCACTCGCCTGCCATAAGTCTGTGCCAAAGTCTCGTCAGTAATGCTCTTAAAACATGGTCAACAAAAGTGGGAATCGGCATACCTTTATCCATATGCATGAAAGGGTGTGGCACGCCTTCAAATCTCTTGAGCGTAACTTCATTACCACCCTCCACTAACTTCATTGCGTACGCCTCTCCTTCATCTCGTAGCGGATCACAGCCCGCAGTGTAAATCACCGTCTTGGGTAGGTTGGTAAAATCAGGCGCATTCATCGCATTCGCATACCAACTGATTTCATCTAATTGCTTCTTCCTCAAGGCCGCATCGCTGGAAAGGCTTTCCCATTTGAGATTATCGAACCACTTCAACCGGGCCCAGTTGAGAGTGGGCGCGTGCTCCATCTGTTGGACGGAGGGGTATGGCGACTCACTTGCGGAGGCGTACTTGGAGATATCATCAATGACAGGTGTGCCCACCGCAACGAGTTTTAGAGGGATGCTGGCATCTCTTGCAAGGTGGGCAACGATAAGGGCAATGTTTCCTCCGGCTGAGACGCCACCGAGCGAGATGCGGGTAGTGTCGATGTTGAACTTGGAGCCGCCCTGGGCATGAATGTATTGCAGGGCGGCGAAGGAGTCCTGGATGCCAATGGGGAACGGCTGCTCTGGGACCAAACGGTACCCAATATCGATTACACAAACGTCTGCCTTGACGGACAGATGCTTGCAGATATGAGCTTCAGTGTCGAGGTCGCCAAGACCCCAGCCTGCGGTCGGCATTAGTCTTCTGCTAGATCGCATCTCAAGATTGAAGACAGGGAAGGAAGAGCACAATCGAATATGAGAAAGTAAAACATACCACCGCCGTGAAAATCAATATGCACTGGCCACGGCCCCGGCGACGAGGGCTCGTATACTCGGACGGGGATCAATTCGCCCTTATATCCCGGAACGGTTGCATCATATACTTTAGCTGGCTCGGGGGCTGGACCGGTGCCATAAGAGTACAGCACGGAATATTTCGATCGCAGAATGGACAAGTCTATAGGCTTGTTTGGGGTGTTGGCGACATTTTCATTGTAGAGTTTGATAAAGACTGGGTCCAAATGAGGCAGGACGGACGGGTGGATAGGGTTCAGGGCTTCGTGTGCAGTCATTTTTGCTTCTCTGGCTGATTGTTGTCGTATGGTTGGATATAGTGTGAATATACCAATGATTTATACACGGATTCGCGGTTGAACGGTCCTCAAGACGATCGGCAGTTTCCGACGGCAACAAGTCAATGCTAATCAGGGAGGTTGAAGTCCAAAGCCACCCCCGCATCGCGTTCACTTATCTATGCGACGGTCCGATCGTCGGATAACGTTCAACTTAGCCGACCCAAAGTCCCAAGTCAAGATGATAATGATGTCAATGGCAATGATAGTCATAAAGACAACACGTTTACCATGTATTGCTCCTCAACGAAATCACAAAGACTCGCAACATCATGGATCCCGTTCTTATTGTTGGCGCCGGCATTGTCGGCTTAACCCTCGGCCAGGCTCTAAAGAAGGTTTTTGCTCACCCTACACTTTAACCTCAACATGGGGTTAGAGTAGAATCCATATTAACAGCCAATAGAAAGGTATCCCGTTTGAAATATATGAGCGAGACTCCACGCCCGATGCTCGCGGTCAAGGCTGGGCTATAACCCTCCATTGGGCGCTGGAATATCTCCAGCAGATACTTCCCGCAGACGTTTTAGCCCGAATTCAAGATGTCCAAGTCGACCCGGACGTTGCACTGAACGACAATGGGAATTTTCTGTTTATAAATCTTGCCACGGGCGAGCCGAAGTTCAAGATCCCGCCGTCTGTGCGGTGGCGCGTAAACCGGGAGAAAATGAGAAAGGCCTTGCTTCACGGAATCGAGGACCGTGTGCACTGGAATCGAAGAGTGGTGGGCGTGGATTTGGAGACTGTACCAGAAAAGGTGAATTTGGAGTTCAGTGATGGATCCTCTGTGACCGGAAGAATGGTGGTGGGAGTTGAGGGTAGTCGGTCAGCGATCAGACAAATGTTGAGACCTGATGCATACAATAACGTGCTGCTACCGATCCGATTTACAGGAGTCGCTGTGGATCTCTCCCCGGAGGATATTAAACCGCTTCGGTCTATGGATCCGCTTTTGTTTCAAGGATGTCATCCTGAGACCGGGGCATTCTTCTGGTTCTCTATGCTGGAGACTCCACTCGTGAATGGAACAGCTGGTACAGAGCGCGAACGGTATCGAGCACAGATCTGCATGTCCTGGCCGGTACATACCTCCGCTGATGAGGTAGCGGATACTGATAAGGACCGCCTGGCCAACATGAAGCGCCGGGCTGAAGGCTTTGTACCCGTTTTAAGAAATACAGTGCAAAAGATACCTGAAGGGACCCCCGTCTTGGAAATCAAATTAGCGGACTGGGAATGCCTGGACTGGGATAACAAGAATGGCCGTTTGACGCTGGCCGGGGACGCTGCGCATGCTATGACAATGTGTAAGTTGCACATAACTGTCCGGACAATGAAAGGATGCTGACGAAGACTAGATCGCGGCGAGGCTGCAAATCACGGACTTCTGGATGCATTCCATCTGGCGGATGCTATTGCTCAAATTTACTCTGGGCAGACTGACCAAAAGACTGCATTTGACGTATACGAAACAGAGATGAGAATGCGCACGAAGCGGGCAGTCCGATTAAGTCGACAAGCATGTCATGATGCACATTCTTGGGAGCAGTTAAATGAGCATTCAGCGATATTGACAAAACGATCAGTTGTCGGCGAATCGGCACGCCTAGCATGACTGTAGCGGGATTTGTAGCTTTTCATTTCTATACATTACGAATACATACCACTTTTTACTCAAGTATTAGACCTGATTATGTTTCTAGCTATCTTCTGTCTTAACCAATAAAGTGACTTCTTGAAACTCTCCAAGTCAATGACTCGTATTGAGTAAAAGCAGATATCAGGTTCATGTAGAGTCACCTGGTAGAAGCATACGACACTGCAGTATGCTCATGGAAGCTCATATTCCTGTTTATAAAGCGTAATTCTATATGGTTGGACACACCCAGCCTTATATTCATTGCGTTAATGATTCGACTGGTCCGCTAGACGTCTTCTAGTGTCTAAAACCTAGAATATAAGGCATGGTATAAGAGTATCCAATTGACGGCATTTGCACGTCACTCAAGTTGCAAGCGAGTCACGCCCTTAGTTGGACCAATATCCACCAAACTTAGGCTTTTTGCGCGACCTCAAGTGTTGGTCGCTTTTACATTCGCCCCAGCAAGCACCCACTATGTCTCTTACAAACGCTGGACTGGGAAATCTTGCAAGACTGCCACCTGAAGTGCGGCTTTGTATCTGGGACTGGCTGCTTCCAAGGCATATTATTCGCACAATAAGCGGTCCCCCAATTTTCGAGCGGAGACAAACACGTCTCGCTATTCTTCGCACCAGCAAGGAGTTGTACGCGGAAATATCACATCATTTGTACTCCCATATTAGTGTCTCGATTCGTATTAACCCACAGAAAAAACAATGGCTAGCGTTTCGCATCGATAAATTACATATATCATGGCTAATAGAAGAGAAGAAAGATGCTACTCAACGCGGGTTTGATGAGTTTCCATTCCACAGAGTGCCTATACACATCGGAATTTACCCACCGAACCCTGCGTCCCCTGGTGATTTGATACGCCTGTGGTACAATGTTCAGAATCTTGTCAATATTATCATACATACACCATCGATCAGAGGCCTGCATGTGCAGTTTTTGAACAGTAGGAAATCCAGGTGGCATCAGGGGGGACAGGGATTGAAGAGCGTCAGATATTTCCCATGGTATAATGCTGAATTCTACGATCACCAGATTATATATCTGCAATTCTGCCGACTAAAGGAAGTCAAATGCATGAAAGTATCGTACGCGACCGACTTGGATGGGGTACTACGCTGGACAATAGAGGACGGTGCAGGTGTGCATCTCTTCAAGCAAGTCTGTGAACATGACCGCCATTGCACCTGTGACGGCCCACACGTTCGGATTTCCTCTGAGTCTGATAGTGTTGACGATTTCTTCACCGGCATGAATAGATGCTTCAGAGACATGCTGTCTGGAGACATACTGCCAGGGAGGACAGCCCGGACCCTGCATCAACAAGTTATCAAAGAGATGCACCGGAAGAGAATTAAAAGATTGAAACAAAAGTTACTCGGCAAGAGGATAGAAAATTGGCTTGCTGGTACGCTAAAAGGACCTGGAATGGGTGGACATCGGGATGAACAGGTGCTAGGGAATATTGAATTAAGCAAGGAAAACTGGCAAGTGCATGGCAAGGATTCCTACGGCGCATGGAGTCAGCGAATTCCAAAATGGCCCCTTTTCAGCACTTTTCTCTTACTCATCACATCACTTGCGCTATTTGTAGTCACGCTCCCCAGTGTTAGACAGAGGACAGAGGATATTGGGTATCACCGAGTACACTGTATGCTTCTCTAAATCTAATATACACCCAGTGTCGGCTAACAAGCATGAGCTCCGTTGTGGGATGTCGTGAGATACCAGAATGTTCAATTCCACGCTCAATTTGGCAGCACGCCACTGTTCAAAGGGTCAGTACCACCAGATTTAAGCAAAACATGGGAAGATGTAGAAAGAGGTAAGTGAGTGAATTCAACACGCGCCATTCCACTCTAGCTAGACACATACTTTAGCGGATCTCATACTCATCGACGGACACGACATGGATGCTCTTGGTGAGCCGAAAGAAAATGCGACCAAGCTTGGAAACAAATACTTCACACTCATCGCGGCTTTCCACCAATTTCACTGGATCGATCTAGTGCGCGAGTTTGTCCATCGCGGTGATTACCGAGAAAAGATGGCGTTCGAGGAGTTGAGGCGGACATCACTCGGACGTGTAGGTGCGTCTATGCAAGGCTGAACAATTGTTGGCCTTAGCTGATGATATAGACTCAAACGGATCACTGAATTGATCTTATTCTCCAAGTGATTCAGCGTACTGGAGATGTGGGACTGGTTGTGTTTGATGACATGCGTCCTGGAAAACCCCTAGGCCAAATTCTCCAGCGAACACATGTGTCGAGAATTCCGACCATTATCACAGTAGGTGAAGGACCATTATTGGGAACTAGAGTGCCAGTAGTGAATTTTCTTTAATTGAGGGTAGGTCGTCTTTTTTGTGCAAGTCCACTGTGGCTGGGATAGCATAGTTCTAAGCAGCACTCTTCATGCTCGCCTTTTTGTTTTGGAATTTTATTTTATTACTTCTAGAAATACTATAAAAGTGTTGAGTTAACTTACTGAAGGTGTACACACCAAATCGTACCATTCCTCAACTCTCTCTCCCAGACTCATAATCTCCATGACTATTCCATCCACTGTAAGCTACCATGTCCTTGCTGGACAAATTCTACGACGCGAGAAGGCTGTCGAGGTGACTATCAATCTTTCTCCAGGGCCTTTGAATAATTTTACTGATATCTACAGCTCTCTAACTTAAGCCACCTCGGTTCTAGCCGAAGCAACTTCGTCTTCAAGTTGATTTTTCGGAACCTACGAGGAAGGCTTTCGCACGCTGACTTCTATAGGGGTCACCTTGGCAAATAAGCCGCATCCGATTGGTATAAACTGGTTAAATGTTGGCCGACTGGTGATCTGTGCGGTCGATTGGACCAACTTGTGGCCTTTGCGCCTGGGCCCGGCAGCTTCTGGCAGTGGCCGCGATATCCAGTGGGTCTTGCAAAATGCATGGGACGATTATCCGACCAAGGTTGGAGCGCTGTGGCCGTCAACAATTGACAGTGCAAGCGCTTTCTCTCGGGTTGATTGGGTTTCATCCAGGACCTCGCGCCGTGGTACTTGTTTGACCCGGCTGCTATCTTAGAGATCCGGACTACTGAGAAATTGAAAGACGCTCGCCAGGAAGTCGAGGTGATGCTGGGGAGGTAACATGATAGTTGGAGATCTAGTCTTTTTCTCAGGTCAAGTACGCTGCTAAGCAAACGGTGTATTTCCAGAGAGAAACAGAAACTGGATGCTTGGTACAGCATATGTATGACTAGATGGCTTCTTCTAGGATAGTCTAAGTATCCCATAGCTTGAGTAAAGAAAGTACGATAATCTTATCATTGGTGGAGATTCTGAATAAGGGCAGAGCCGACTCGTTGTCCCAAATAAATTGGATCTCCGGGATATCCGATGTGTGATAGATAACAGTATTCGTCTGAGGCCAACCTTGGCTTTGGGCCGAACTGATCGGCATTTGCGGGATACGTTGGGTATACGAACTATGAAATAGTGACTGCGAGTAAGTATCACATGAATTTCCAGTGATATGAAGAATATACATGACGCGTCTCAAGTTTTATTAAACCCGACGCCCTGAACCTAGAAGCCAACGTCTTGTGGTAGATCACCAAGTGTGGAGAGACTGTTGACATTCGACTTATGCACAACTAAGGCACCTATAAATTCATAGTGGCGGGGTAATTTATTGCATGCACTCCGCTGCCTCTCACCATAACCACATCCTAGGTCTGTCTCCATTGCCTCGTCATCCTTGCCAGCCCCAAAGCAGTTGCATTGACTATGGGAGTAATGATAAAAACATGTGAAGAAGGCCAACCGCACCCATCTAGGCCGAGTCGGGATATCTGCACGCGTATGGAGGCGGGTTTAAGCTAGAGATCTAGTTCTGTCTGCAATGTGCTCTCGCTACGATACATTGATGTTTCAGTCCATCCTTGGAGGAGGCATAGGAATTATCCTGTGGTAGAGGAGGAACTATGTATGTGTGGCAGCACAAATATGGCTCGTGAAGACTTAGCCAGCCCTTGACGGACAAGTTTCTAAATAGGCTAAATTCACCCTATAGGCTCAAAAGCTATGATGGACTACTCATACCAGTAGCTTGGCACCGACTAGCACCATGTAGCATCATATTAACATAGTATGTTAGACTATTTGTTTCGCGAGTAAGCAACACCTTCTCGTTTCACTTGAAATTACCGGTACTAATTACTTAGGAGAGCATTATAGTTAAGATCCATCGCCGCCTGTGAGGTGGCAAAAGATCCTCTAAAATTGATAGGGCTTTAGAAGCGCTTAGAGATTTCAGCCTTCAGGAACGTTGTTGAGCACAGCTCAACGGGACAGAATAGAGCACTAGCTCGGCTTTGAACGGAGTTCAACTTCGCCTCTATTGTGAGAAACGTCTGATTTCCTGATCGGGTTCTTGGCTACGATGTACCAGTCCGTGGACTTCCTCCGACTACCTACCAGGAAGTTGATTCCGATGATCTTCTGCCCTGTAAGTGCTATCCCCGTTGCGGCAGTCGACCCAGCCTTTGGAGTGGATCTTCACGCATAGAAATTCGAATTTGAAGGATGCATATCGCCACACAGCCAACTGAATCGGTCCCTTTTCGGAACGCGTGAGGATCTCGAGCGTGTCTGCCCTTGACCCCTTGCATTTTGCTCCTTACTTGAGCATTGGGAGACTTGCGTCTTCCTCGGCGATCGGCCGTGGTCGAAAATAGCAGCATCGTGCGTGCACGGGGGGTTGCGGGCCGCGGCTTAGAAACTATCTTGCGCCTCCCACTCTAGGCGATTTAGGCGCATTACACCGGGGAACACTAGCTCTGTTTTCCTCGCACTGTAGCGCAAGCACCTCGTGTTTGCTCGGGATTCCCATGGTTCACCTTCCGAGGTTATCCACTTGTTGGAAGCTTCTGATTCAGACTGACAGGAGTCCACTCTGGATCAGGTATATGATCATCATGATATCGCAGGGCTAACTTTTCTTGTCTGCCGAACTCGGCTATTCGAGTATTCATGGACGATCTGAAACATGCTGGTTGTTTCTAGGAAGGTCGAATCGCAAAATTAACCGTCTTGTTGATTGAAGTCTATTTTGTCAGTTTGTTCATTTATGCTTCTTCTTCTTCTTCTTCTTTTTGTTTCTTTCTTTCCGGCGCCCTCCGCCTGGGATCGTACGGAGTCCATGTTAGTCTTCTCACTACTTTTAGGGCTTTGAGCTTCGGAATCTCCCAAAATGGACATTTGATCGGAACATCGCCGACTAAAGAAATCCACTCCACTTTAGAATCCAGAGTCCAGATGTGTGGGAACAAAATGAAAAAAAAAAGGGGCAAAACTACTGCCGTGGCAAATTAGCGCTCGGCAAATTTAGCTTGACGTTCTCCGGTCGGCATTTTGTACTGTGCAATACACTCAAGAGGGCCCTTTGGGTGGACTTCCATTGGTCTTCTCGAATCATGCTGCGCATTGTCCTCGCAACTGAAGCGGCGCCGTCCGACTCGACTGAAGCGTCCGGGATCAATAGGCGTCCTTGGCACGGAGGAACGATTTCCGACCATTTCGGGGAGGAACCTGTAGTCCTGTAGTTCAATACTTTGAGCGAGTTTGGATACGCTCCAGCAAGGCATCACAGGTGCAACAAGAACCAACTTCGGCAGACGTATCCCCCAGAACCTTTTTTACCATACTACCGTAGATAATGAGCCAGGAATATGAAAGTCTCACCGTTGTGCTGGCGGAATCCTAGCATTGATGCTGTTGGACAGCGGAGACTGCCGATCCATGCATCCTTTTATAAAACCTTGCCCACGGAATCGCCAGCGGGCCAGCGGTTGTAATGATCGTCGATATTTAATTGCAATTCCAGCAGCTAGAGGAGTCCACTTTGCTTCAAGTGGAGCAACTTGTCTATTCCCAATCACGCCTTGAAGCAAGACGCATGCTTGAAAGTGCGTTGGATCGAGTCATGTACTCAAATGGCATTCAGAGCCTCCAATCTCCACAGTAAGAGCCGGGGAAACTTATCTGTGGCGGTTTAGCATTGTGCCTGGTGCTTCTCTTTTTCTTTTTTCTTTTTGCTTTTTTCGCTTTCCCTTTTTTCCTCTCTCTTTCATGATGGTTTTTCTTCCATCACACAACTACATCCCATATGCCGATTGACGTTGGCTTAACAGTGGACAATGGCCATATTTGCTGACGATGCGCCGCACGTGGCGGGAAGTGTGATCATGCTTACTGTGGTTGCCTTTATCACTTATGCCCTGCGAGTCTATTGCAGACTGAGCAGAAGGTCCTGGGGCGCAGAAGACTGGATCATGACCTCCGCAGTGGTAAATGCCCCCCTGAGAGCGCTTGTCGAGGAGCCCAATTGACATATTCGATTACAACAGGTACCCTTCTGTGTGCTTGCGGCAGGCTGCCTTGGAGGCGCGTTCAACGGGATCGGGGTTCATAATACTCTGTTGAATGAGCCTGAGAATAAAAAGTATCAGGCCGAAGGCCAGAAGGTTCTAGACATCCCTTGTCCTCTCGAGATACCCGGACGCTAATTGAAACTGTAGTACTTCCTGATTTTCGAAGTTGGATACGTCGCCGCTATTATTCCGATTAAGTTCAGCATCAGCTGGATGCTAATCCGAGTGGCTGAGGGGCGGAAGCTGTACATCAATATCCAGTACGGCGTTATAGCAATGTTTGCGACGATGAATATCATTGCCCTGATATTCATCCTCATCAACTGCACACCGCCTGAGTATGATCAACATAGTACCCTGTCCATGCCACAAGCCAAATTGCTAAACGAAGTTCTAGGGCTGCGTGGAATCCGAGTCTACTTGAAAAGGGAGGCTCCTGCCGACCTGCCCATGTTCTCACGGACATATACTACGCTACCACTGCTGTGAATATAGTTACGGACTGGGTTACGGCATTGATGTGGGTCCAAAGTTATGCGCCAGTCTTTGAAGAAATGGAAAGACTAACCTCGATATTAGGCCTATCCCCTTGTTGTGGAATGTCCAGCTAGACCGCAACACGAAAATATCTATCATCGGGCTGATGGGCTTGGGTATCCTGTATGTAGCCTGTTGCAGCTTTGCCGAACCAGTTGAACGAGACACTAACACACAGCAGGGCCTCTCTTTCAGCCTGTATCCGGCTCAAGTACACTGTCAACCTCACCAATCAAACCGACTTTCTCTTCGCGGTCGCCAATGTGGTTATCTGGGGTTTTGCAGAGAACGCCATCGGCATGACTGTCGGGAATATTGCTACACTCCGTCCACTGTTCCACAGTTTTTTCGAACGAACGGTGCGCAGCAAAGGATACAGCAGCCAATCGCGCCGGAATGGCCCTTCGAGATTCGCCGCCTCGTATGAATTATCTGGACACGGAAAGAGCGGCAACAACACGTTCACCACATCAGTGGTTGATAGGGGGGTTCATGGAAAGAACAGCGATAGCTATACCCAGCTGAGCGACGGGGACAGCCAGAAGCAAATTATCCAAAAGGACGACGGCCGCGGAAATACTGATATAATGGTCAGTCGGCAGGTAAACATCACGTACGAGTAGCATTGGATGTTGCGCGCACGGATCCAAAAAATGTATATAATTTAGATAATAGGCATTTCTTTTGTATTATGGGGTTCCACTTATGATTTATGACGGGCCTCCAGGTGCTAGCGGAATGCTCTGTTCACTCAAGTGTAGCTGGTGGGGTCTATACATAGAATGGGTGATCTTCTAGGGTCCACCCATCTATCGCCAGATGCAGTGTGCTGAATCAAGGCCAATGGTCACCCCCGGATGCTCCGTCATAGAGAAAGGTCTTAGTCTACAGTGCACTGATGCGGATGGGAGGGAATATCGCTATCCAAGGTAGCTAATGAGAGCCTAGCTGAGAATTCAAAATAGTCTGAGATAAGGGACACTATCATCTTGATCGATGCAAATACTTTAACCGCATACCCGCCGTGAATAATCTACTATCTTCTCACAATCTCCAGCGGAACCTGGGATGTCGCCATTCTAGATCCTCTATCTGCCGGCCAGTCATCCCATCAAGCACCCGGTCAACATCCTGTTTGTCCCGTCTCTTATTGTCCCAAACTGACCAGAACCAAAGACCGGCTGACGTTACGAGAGTTGCTGCCCCTGTGGCTAGGTTGAGGCCATTGCCGATATAATAGTTGGGGGCGTCAAATGGCAGGAAGGACCAGGTGGCGACCAAGCCGCCGATATTACCCAGCATGACCACAGTTCCAATTGCTGACGCACGAGCCGTGTCCGAGACGACGTTGGCTGCGGAATGAGCGTTGCAAAGGACTCCCACAGGGAAAGAACCAAACGCAATCAGAAAGGTGGCGCCGTAACGAACGTGAGGGTCGGCACTGGCCAGAAACATTATATACCCAGCCATCATGAGTGGGGGTGCAAGAACAAAGAAAAGAAGTCGGCGATTGAAACGCGAGCTCAGGTAGGGGATTAAGAGAGTGGAGAAAGCTCCGATGATGTAGGGCGGTACTGTGTAGAGCTGCTGGGAGATAACGCTGTGGTCTGGGTAGATCGTCTTCACAATGGTGGGCGCAAAGAAGGCTAGCCCCTGGACTGTCACATTCACAAGGAGCATGAGCCAAGCCGTCGCCAATGTGACCGGGTTGAAGATCCCGCGCATGGTCTTCTTCATGTCGAGCTTGTCCAGGACTTCGGTCACGCCTGCGTACTCTGACTCGGAGCGGATCCGCGCAACGGCCAGTTCCTTTTCCTCCTGCGTCAGCCAGCGGGCTGTTTCAGGTCGATCCGTGAGGGTCAGGAATGCAAAAATAGCAACCCCGATCGTTATGATACCCTCAATGGCGAAGATCATGCGCCACTCTTTCAAACTGCCGAAGGACGAAAGTTTCAAGATGCCCGAAGCAAGCAGACCGCCGAAGGCACCGGCTAGAGGGGCCATCACCATGTACATGGAGATCCGAAAGGCAAGTTCCCTTCTCCGATACCATCGCGACAGATAGTATGAGATGCCAGGCAGTAATCCTGCCTCAAAGGCACCCAAGAGGAAGCGCACCCCTGCAGCACTTGATAAGTTGTGTACAAATGCTGTGCACAAAGAACATATCCCAAACCCTAAGGTCAGGGCAGGAATGACCCAACCCGGACCAAGCCACTTGCAGGCCATATTGGACGGGATCTCGAAGATGATATAGGAAATATAAAACACAGAGAGCAAGGTGTTATAGTCATAGCCTGTCAACCCCAGGTCTTCTTCAAGCCCGGCCAGTTTCGCATTCCCTGTAGCATGCAAATCGTTAGCGTCACCCATCCCCATTGCGAGAGGATTTAGCTCTCCGCTTGAAAGCGATAACTAATGTAGGGTGTCTATACCAATGTTTGCTCGATCAATGAAACAAAAGAGGTACATCAGGGACGCGACGGGGACGATGTAGAGGTCGATCTTCAATCGCAGCCGGGACTCAGCAGCAGGATCCAACTCCACTGTATGTTGGACAGATCTGGAAATACAAAAGCCTGGGGTTAGCCAAGGTGTTGTCCGAAAATAAGGCATCCTGATCATACCGGTCAGTCGTACTAGGATCATACACCTCCGTGCTGCCGGTACTGTCATCCTCGGCCTTCTGGGAACCAGCCTTTTCCTCAGACATCGCGAGAAACTTCTTGGACCTAGGAATTGCTGAGCAACAAAACGAAGTCAATAAAAAAGATGGAAAAGAAATGAAAGTGGGAGACTAACAATTTAGCCTGATGGGCATGGTATTTCCGCTTTATGTAGTCATAGAGGCGTAGTCAATGCCATGTCATTCCCAAGTTCAGCTCTAGATTAGTTTAGGCGGGGAGCTGCTTCGAGTAGCCAACCATAACTGGAAAGAATTAGCCATGGCTCGCGAATTAACCAGTGAAACGATCTAGAATCCCTAGTATTCAGTGGAGGACAGCGGAAGCGCTTGGCATAGACGTCGGTGTTGGTGTGAAGGTATAAAGAAACGGGTTCGGCAACAGAGCGCGGTATATATGCCGGGATAGTGAGATGGGCATCGAGGGCCCACCAATACGAGGTCGGAGATGTCTCCATAATTGAAGTAGTCTGACACCGGATGCGGGGATTTTCTTAGCTTCCATTTAGTACCTTAATGCCCTTCGCTAAGCAAGACCTGGTTATAGCTCATGGTGCGGAGCGGACGAGGCTTCTTGGCTAGCTTAGTACTTGCTGAGGCCCGCACGAGGACAGGCGTTGCAGGACCCAATCAAGTTCAAGAGGTCATGACCTTCCTGCGATATACGCAGATCTAGTTCGCCGAGTGAATTCGAGATCTTGCAGTCATAAGTAACTAGACGTCGTTGAATGGAGGATGTGATCTAGTCCTTTCAGACTCCTCTGTTCCAAGAGCTGGTGAACAATTCTTCCCAGGTTCGTCTCATTTGCCTGTGCAAGGTTACGAACCATTTACCGACTTCGGATTCATGGGGTATAGGTCATACAACTACCTTAGTGGACAAAATATACACAGGGGTAGAAATATGAAGTCATAGGTAGTTAAAAGCCACACAAGTTTAAAAGCATGATATCCACATGTTTCTCCGAGTACGGGTCTCTTTCATCGAAGGTTCCTAAGAAGCTACACCAAAGGCTACCCGGACTTGCATGCCTTCCATATTCATTGTGGAGCGCGTGGTAGAAGAAGCCTTGCGGGGTATTCGATGAACTCTTTACCTCCAATGGCTAGTACGACTGTCCCTGCGAGAGTGGCCCATATGGTTTGTCTAGAACTTCAACAACAGTCAGAATGGCCAGGTGAGACACATCAAGAATCTCCAGCTTAGCAGGATCTTGTCGTAACCATGTGCAAGTATTGGAATAAACAGATTAAAATAGAATGCACCTATACGTTTAAGGGTAGCCACTTGGAGGGCCAGAAAGTTGAAAGGCTCCATTGCATATCAACGTATCACTCATCTGTTCAACCAGTCGGGGGCTCCTTAGAGAACATGCGAGAGGTTGAATCCTTAGATTCCAGCCCTCTAGTAGTGCCTTTCAGTATCGCCAGTCGGACGATTCACCTCTAAGTCTGCCTGGAACAATGTTCGAACTCGGCAGTCGAGGGTGCTGGTATTTGCCGTGACCCAATATGATGCGTGCACTTGCCATATCGCGATACAGGAAGCATAAGATACTGAATGTTCTTGGGTCGATATAGGCGCAGCAGCAGATGACGCATCGCTGATTCAGACACGTTTACTGAGATAATATGATGAGATATAGGACACCCTCTAACAGATCACTGCCAATCAGAGTGGAAGATGAACCGCTTTCATCCAATTAAGCGCCGGAAGTGCTGATTTCTAATGCATGGTTCCCACCCATCCGCTCTTTTATGTTTAGAACTCGGTAAATTTGCAACCGCCTATATGCCGACAACTACTTCTTTCTAGTTTATTTTAACTTTGCTACTTTTCCCCAGATTTCCCGAGGGGGTGGAGACCAGTGTCATTGGCATGGACGGGTGCTTTTGACAACGTCAACGGGGCAGCATCAGGATCCCAGCGGTGGGCCTTGTGGGGTTGTGCTGTGCGGGGTTCTCCCATTCTTTGTCTCTTGATCTCGATATCATCTCTCAAATCTTCCGTAGCTGTAGCGATATTCATCCACTGAGCTTTTGCGGGGCTACGTTGACACCAAATGTATCGGATGTTGTCCCCCCTTCACAACTGCCGACCCTGTTCGTTCCAGTTTGGCATGACATGTAACCTGCTCTCTTGGAGAGGATGAACGATACCCGATGAGAGGAGATAAATATTGGGTGCTCTTCTCATCGGCTCAATCTCTCATAACGCAGCCAGACTCATTTCATCATGACGCTTCTGGCCGAGATCTTCTCGGGCGTGACGCCTGAGCATGCGCTGTATATCTTCCCGCTGATTTCGCTGATTTATATCGGCCACTTGTATTTCCGCAACGGCCTTAGTCGCTACCCTGGCCCCTTTCTGGCCAAGTTCACCGACCTCTGGCGGTTCATTGACGTATGGGGCCGGCAGCCTCATGAGACGCATATCGCGCTACATCGCAAGCATGGCGACGTGGTACGCATCGGGCCAAACACGCTGTCCTTCAGCAACCCGGCTGCAACCAAGGTCATTTATGGGTTGAACAAAGGATTTACCAAGGTATGTGTCAGTGTCACCAGGTTTTCAGACGTTATGCGGAAAATCTGACGACACTGCAGTCCGAGTTCTACCCCGTTCAGATGACCGTCTCCAAAGGCGAGCCGTTACCGTCCTTGTTCTCAACCTTGGATGAGAAGTTCCATGCGGAGCTCCGGCGCTCGGTGAACCATGCGTTCTCGATGAGCTCACTAGTGCAGTACGAGCCCATGGTGGACGAGACCACGCTGCTCTACCTCGACCAGACCGATCGCCTGTTCGCCGCGGGTGGGAAGGTCTGCGACTTTGCACGCTGGCTGCAGTTTTTCGCATTTGACGTTATCGGCAGCATTACCTACAGCAAGCGCCATGGCTTTATCGAGAAAAATGAGGACATTGATGGTATCATCAAGTCCTCGCTCGGATTTTCAACTATGCCGGGCCAGTCGGCCAGATGCCTTGGTTGGATAAAGTATTCTGGAAGAACCCAATCTTCGATGCGATGCAAAAATGGGGGCTGCTGGATAATTCTCATCCCGTGGCCATCTTCGCACGCCAACGTATGGTAGAGCGCATGTCCTCGAAGGCTGCGATCGATCCCAACTCTCGCAATGACCTTCTTACCAAATTCATGAAAGCGGGTGAGCTGCGCCCCAACTTCATGACAGAAAAAACGCGTCCTCACCATGGCCGCCTCCATGCTTTCGCCGGGTCCGAAACGACGGCCATCAGTCTCGCAGCCGTGTTTTACTATTTACTGAAGACGCCCGAGTACATGCGACGGGTGCGGGAGGAGTTGGACGAGGCGATCCGGAATGGTACAATTGAAAACCGTCCCAGTGGCCTTGTCTCGTGGACCGAATCTCAGAAGCTTCCATTCCTCGACGCATGTATCAAAGAAGCGTTTCGTATGTTTCCCGCTGCTGGTCTTCCCCTGGAGCGTGTTACTCCTCCCTCCGGTGTAGATATCGCCGGCCAGTTTATCCCCGGAGGCACAATCGTCGGCTGTAGCCCATGGGTGCTCCATCGTCGCGAGGAAATTTTCGGATCCGATGTGGACACATTTAACCCTGATAGATGGCTGAATGCCTCAGAGGATAAGTTAAAAACTATGAACGGCATGATGCTCCAGTTTGGTGCTGGTTCGAGGACATGCATCGGGAAAAACATCTCAATTATGGAGATTTATAAACTAATTCCAAGTTTCTTGAGAAGATTCGACGTACGTATTCCTACGTGGCAGTGAACAGAATCATGCTAATATGTGAATGCACAGGTGCGACTGGCATACCCCGAGCAGGAATGGAAACTGTGGAATGCCTGGTTTGTGCGGCAGTACAATTTCAACACTGTATTTACTCCCAGGAAGATTGAGGTGCAGTAGTCACTTTACCCTAGAAGGCTATATCAATTAAAAAGCATAGATTTCTATCTCTTTAATAAAGCCGTATATTCATAGTTTGGCGCCCCTCTCCTCCAACAAGACACGATGGCCTAAGGAAGCGGTACATAACAAATTATAGCGTAATATTTCAATTAAATATGAGCGTATCGTCATTAATAAGCGCAAGGCCGCATGATACATTAGCAGCCTACTAGGTCCATGTGGACCAGAGCCCATGAATGGGCTGGCTTAATTCTCCAACCCTAGGAGAAGTATATGCGTCCTGGGCCCCGTCGGATATCATGTCGTTGGCTGTCATAACACCACCCCTATGAGGAATCCTTGTAGACAGCATCAAGCCCAACTGGATCACACCCATCTGGAACACCATCTCCATTGCTGTTATTGTGATAATACAGACCAGGGAGGTCTCCAGCGCCGTCGCAAACTAGACAAACAGAAGACGGTTCACCTAACAATTCCTCGACGCATTTCCAAGACACAGAAACTTACCTAGCCATCCTCCCCAATTTTCATTATCAGTAACCAGAGTGTCATCACTGGTCAAACTGAAGCCCGTGCTACCGGATGAAGGGCTCACACTAATGTCTACCTCACTCTGGACTTCGTCGCCAGACACGAGAGCCAACGCGTAGGGAGCTCCATTCGGCGCATTGTAGCGCACGGTCCCGTCAAGGAGGTAGAATTCGGCAGCGTCGGCGGTATCGCGAAAGACAGCCTTGCTGTTCAGTGGGTCGACATGTTGCGTTGACAGGTAGAGACCGTTGTGGCTTTCGTCGGAGGCACTTGAGCTAACCAGGTTGAAGGTCCGCGGGATAGGACTAGCGGTGGCCGTTGCAGCCAAGAAGACGACACTGGTGAAAAACTTCATTGAGGGGACTATTGGACAATTGCAAATTGCTGTGGTACGAACGGCCGGGGGGTACGACGCAGCTATTTATTTGCTGCAACGAGGATGATGATCAGTGGAGTTGATGCGACCCCTTGGCTCCAATACCGGCCACCCAGCAGGCGCAGACTTAGCAGCTGCGTTACTGGAGTGAGCAGTGCAGAGTGGCGAAGATGATCAGACCCACGGCTTCTATTACATCATGGATCCGCCGTGCAGGTGTGAATTCGCCCAGCTCTGCATGGACCATGGGAGGAATGGCTAATTATACGTCCCTCTTGGAATTTCCACATAAGGGTCTACTGTGTAAGTAGCGAAATGATTGATTCAATCGGCTTTTCATCATCCAAGGTGCGGCTGTGTGTAGAGTCCTCATAGCTTCCTAACTGATAGCTGGGCCTGCGGGACGAGCCTAAATGGTGACTTCTACGCAGTACCTAAAGTATGCGGCTTCTAATTCCGCTGACCATGAGGTAATACTGTAGATATGTTGACTTTCACACAGGAGGTCAAGCCTTTCAATTCTGTATATCCTTACAGCGCTTCCGACCCTTGCGTCGCGGCGGTCAGGAAGGATAACCCCTCTGAACTCTTTCATACCGGGAAAGAAACAGATTCTTAGTACAATTTCGCATACAGAGCTCTAGATGGTATTCTGACTGTTAACGTAGGGTGATTAACACCCTTGGCTGTGAAGAATGTTTGTCCAAAAAGGCGGCCAGTATGCCATGCACGAGCTCACCATGCTTATACTCGGTACCCGCCGGATGGAAAAAGTACAAGGCCAGTCTACAGCGTCTAAGTCTAATCGAGGATAGATTGAGTCCAGATTTGTGGTCCAGGCAGACCAACCCGCGTACAGAGACAGTTGCAACTTGTGGGGTAAATCCAACATCTCGGCAAAGATCGAATGGAATGTCCGAGCCCTGACTAAGTCCGAGGGCAAGCAAGGGATGGGCACTAAAAGTCTGCCAATTCGCTCCACTTTTCTCACGCCTAGCTTCGTTTCCTCCAGCATTGGGGATTAGCGCCTACACGGTTTAGATGGCCGTTGACGCATCATCCCTTTTGGGTGCAAAAGTGAGATGCCGATTTGCCGATAGCGTCTAATAAAACCAGTCATAACCCTCAAGGTACGAGTGGAAAAAAAAAAAAAAAAAAATGCAAGCAAAACCGAGCTGCAAAATGAGATGGGAATGACCAACTTGCCTGAAACTGACCATGCACGGCGTGCAGACGAAGAAAAGGCTGCAAATCATCGCGGCGCGGACCCAAACTTGGTCGGTTGGGAGGAAAATGACCCAGAGAACCCACATAACTTCTCGACGATATACAAATGTTGGATTACATTCCAGCTCGGTATGCTGGCCCTCAGCGCCAGTTTAGGCTCGAGTATCATCTCCCCTGCGCAGACCAAGCTGGAATCGTACCTAGGCATTAGCACTGAAGTCAGCATTCTCCCAGTGTCTCTGTACATGTAAGTCGCCGCAACCTGACCAGTGTTCCCTATCGGTCACATCACTGACAAGGAAATACAGTCTTGGTTTCGCTTTTGGGCCACTATGCTGGGCTCCTATCTCGGAAATCTGGGGACGCCGCTGGTCGATGCTCCCGGCCGTTTTCATGCTGGGCATTTTCAGTATCGGTACCGCGACAAGCAAGAATACCGCTGCCATTCTCGTCACCCGATACTTTGCAGGCGTTTTCGGCTCAGCTCCTGTCAGTAATGTATCGGCTGCCCTGGGGGACTTCTTTCATATGAAGGCGCGCGCCGTTGCCAGCACATCCTACGCCATCTGCGTTGTGGGCGGACCAACCATGGGACCGATCATTGGCGCTGCCCTGGTCAACAATCCACGCCTGGGTTGGCGCTGGACAGAGTACATTGAAGCTATCATTGTCTTTTTTGTCTTCACAGTAACCTTCTTCTGCTTACCGGAGGTGTATGGCCCCGTCCTTCTCCATAAAAAGGCGAAGCGCCTGCGCAAGGAGACCGGCAACCAAGAGCTATACCACCCACACGAGCATATGAAAATCGATGCGTATAGTATTGTCACCAAGCATTTCTCCCGCCCGCTTGTCATGCTTGTGACGGAACCAATGGTGACGGTTATTGCGCTATACGCCTCGTTCACCTATGCTCTACTCTACCTCACCCTCGAAGTGTTCCCCATTGTCTTTGCCGATATCCGCCAGTGGAAGCCAGTTGTTGCCTCATTACCCTTCATCGGCCTCTTCGTTGGCGTCTTGCTATCTGCTGCGTTCATAATTCTCGTCGGGCAGCCGTACTACATCCGAAAATGGGAAGAAGGCGGTGGGAAACCGGTCCCGGAGGCACGTCTGATGCCCATGGCGGTTGGAGGGTTTCTGTTCGCAGGAGGTCTCTTCTGGTTTGGCTGGACGGCGGCACCGTCCTATTCATGGGTGCTACCTGTCGTAGCAGCTGTGATGTTCGGGTGCGGATTCTGTATCATCTTCGGTCAATGTATCAATTTCCTGGTCGATACATACGGGCCATACGCGGCCTCAGCCACTGCGTCCAACACATTTCTGCGAAGTGTGCTTGCGGCCGCGTTCCCACTTTTCGCTAAGCAGATGTTCCATAATCTTGGGGTGGGACCAGCGATGTCGATCCTTGGGGGTATCGCAGCGGTACTGATTCCCGTTCCTTTTCTCTTCCGGATTTACGGAGTGCGGTTGAGAAAGATGTCGAGGTTTGCGCCATTTAAGGGGTAATGATTAAGGAGCTGGACAACCTAGACCCTACAAACATGGACGGCTGCCTGGGAGCGAACCCCGTAACTATGAAAATACCTGAGAAGCAGCTTCAAATATCTAATAAAGGGCTATGCCAGACACATGTGTGCCAGTACTACGCAGGCTGCTGCTTGCACTTCGAGCCAGCATGACCACTCGAGAGCGATTCTCTGTCCTCTTCCAGGCAACGGCGCAGGAGAAAGGCTACGCCAGGACAAGGTTTTAACCTTAAGCTGTGGACCTTAGGTTTGGCCGGGTTACGTGGAGCTTCTTACCGTAGAGTCTACATGCCCAGTCCACACATATTAGTTAATAATACACATATTCGATATCACAATGAATGAATATGAACTGATGATGTTCCCGAGCGGTCCTCTGCACGGGGAGTTACATCTTGGTTTCTCACATTGTATTTCGCCGACACAGCTCGGTTTATTTGTTTCTAGCCATCATCTCAGTTACCGGCGTGCCTGTCAGTTTCGGTAGGACCAGGATAGGATCCACTACCGATAATACAGATTCCTTCGCTAGCAACGAATACCAAAGAGAAATATCCAACTCTGTAAATAGAGGAGACCTATTACAGTTTTAATGTAGTTTGTAGCTCGTTAAGCAATATAAATAAGCCGAAAGCCTGCTGTGGCGCGATGTAACTCCGGACAAGGCAGGCACATCACCGTTAGTCTCATAAATATTATTCAAGGATAGATAAAAACTGATATAATGTTTATTTCAGAAGCCTACCTGGTTAAAGTAAGGGGGCCATAGGGAATCCTTCTAAGTATTCTCCATTCCAAGTAGGGTAATGTCTTCCTCTTCCCAATTGCATTGCGGCACGGATACACTAGACACTACTCATATCTAATCCTTGAAGACATCGCTATCCAGACCGTTCTCTATACTCTCCTTGTGTGACGTCCAAACAAGAATCCTAATCAATAAAACCGCGAGCCCCTGAAGGCAGGGATCCGTATGTCTCTGCATATTGTTAAATGCTCCGGAGAAGTCCTGCCAGTTGAAGGCGAGTACTGTCAGTGTGTTCGAGCGGTCAAGGCCAGACTCAACCTATGATCGGATATCAGGTACCATGGTATTCACAGTCGAATCCTGTCGCTTACGGATTCTTTGCTCTTTTTACCCTCCCTTAACAGGTGTTGTATGTATATGTATAGAGATATGAAGATGCGCCCAAATCACAATCATTTTCAGCATTGCAACCGGTTGGGCGGGGGAAACAGAACCAAGTGAGTGCAGGTCTAAGAGCTCAGTAAGCCACGGTGGCTTTATTGAAGGCAAGCGAACGAGGATCGAGTTCTGGTTTACATCTCAAAAGCTTCAATGACCTGAGCAACCCACCACCACCCCCGTTCTCCGCAAAGGGGGGACAGATTTTGGTCAAGAATGTAATTGACATTTATTCATCCACAGCCCGCGCAAACACGGCCTTTGAGTATGGCATATTTTTTTATCTCAAGTTTGAAGCAGCTAGAAATGTTAATTCCGGCTGATTGCGTATACAACCCAATACGATCTGACAAAGTTTTAGTATCTTGTCCCCTCTCGATACGCATAGAAAGAGATACTAATTATATATCTATAAAAATGTATATATTGAAGGCATCCCACCATCAGATACGGTCTCAAAGATCTTAACAGAACGTTTGAGGCTCATTTTAACTATCCAGTACAAATGTATACAGAGTATGTTGGAGCGCATAGCGAGATCGAGAATATGCGAGATGCATTCCTTCAGGTACCTCGTGTCTCGCTTACATTTTTAAGAGACGGGCCGCGAACTTAATTATTCATTCTTTTTATTACTACAAATGAAAATGTTGTTTCGAGCCAAAGCTAATTTAGCTCATCAGACAGGCTGATTCCTAGTTGGATTTTACTTGGATCTCAACCAACCACTCCAGCGGATGGCCACGAACTAAACTAGCTGAGATCCACATATCCTGATCCTCGAAATTCCCTCCCCCACCGTTGGAGTCTGGACGGACTGCGACTGCATTTTTGTAACCTGACCCGTGGTATGCTGGTGCTGATGCAACCATACGGAGCCTGTCTGACCCGGAAATTCTTAAAATGAGATGCCGGTTTGTCAAGCTCAATTGGATTCCTGTGATCTTCAAAGCACTTGGAGTACGGTAATAATGAATGTTTTGAGCCATGCTCGTCCTCGAGCCATTATTCGACACCAAGAATATGGTCAGTGGCTCAACTGGCAGCTTTTCACACTTCTGTAATATTGGCCTTCACCGAGACCGCCTTCTGCAGCTGTGCCAAGCAAGGGGGAGCCTTGCTTCAGAGCTGGACAGGTCGAACTGATCTCAACGTTACAATTGGAATATATCTGTTGGCTGAGATTTATTTAATGGTACCACTGGCCAAATCCTGACCGCGCAAAGCTGGCGTAGCGGAAAATCTCCCGCACTATTCGTAATCAATTCCGCGACACCAAAACCCTACACGAGCTCACCAACTATCGCCATCTCTGCAATCCTCCAGCGCTTTTTTTTCTCACGACGCAAAATGGAGAAGACAGGGCCGGTGGAGGCGAGCGAATGCGATGGGAAAATGGATGACAAGGTCGCATCCACAACGGTTCCAGCGCCCCGCGACAATGAAGCCCGACCGGCAGCCTTTTCATCCACCATTCAAGAGATCCTGTTCGTCGCGGTTGCGACCATGGCAATTGCCATGTCGTCCCTCCTGACTGGGACCATCACGGTGCTCACGTCCCAAGTTCAGAGGGACCTGAACATGACCACCGCGGAGCTGACGTGGCTGACCAGTGCATCCTCGTGCGTCGTCTAATGTTTACTGTCCATGCCGGTTCTGTGCTAATGGCCTATCTCCAGTCTGGCTTCCGGCTCCTTTCTCCTTTTTTTCGGCCGTTTGGCGGATTTATTTGGCCGGAAAGCGCTTTTCATCGGTGGCATGGCTTTTTTTGCCGTCTTCGCGCTGGCTGCTGGGTTTTCCAAAACGCCCATGCAAGTCGACATTCTCAACGGTGTCATGGGCCTGATGTCGGCTGCCTCTGTCCCGCCTGCGCAAGGTATGCTAGCCAACATCTATGAGAAGCCATCGAAAAGGAAGAATAGGGTCTTTGCCTGTTTCAGCGCCGGAAACCCCTTGGGATTCGTCTTCGGTAGTATATTTTCCGGGATTGCTACGCAGCTGTTCAACTGGAGAGCCAGCTTCTTCTTACTGGCCATCATTTACGTCGTCATTGTAGCGATTGCCCTGTTCACCGTCCCAGCAGATAATACGCCCACGGAAAAATTATCCGTCGAGGCCATCAAGAGGTTCGACGTCGTCGGTACTATCTTGACCGTCGCTGGTATCGGCTTGTTTTCCGCCGCGTTGAGGTTAGCCATCTATCCCAGTCGAACAAGACTCTGGCTAACACCCTCTCTTCAACAGTCTTGGCTCGGACGCTCCGCAAGGCTGGAAGACTCCGTACGTCCTCGTCTGCCTCATCCTAGGTGTCCTCCTCATTGTTGCCTTCGTCTTCTGGGAGTGCTGGTTTTCATACCCCCTCATCCCGATGTCCATCTGGCGCGATCGTGACTTCTCGCTGGTCATCGCTGTTCTTCTGCTCGGCTTTCTCGCCTTTCCAATTATGTCATTCTGGATCTCTCTCTTCATGCAAGAGATCAAACAGTACTCTGCCCTCCCCGTCGCCGTGCACATGCTTCCTATGGCTATTATGGGCATCATCGTCAACATCATCGCAGGACTGATCATGCACCGCGTGTCCAATACCCTCCTAATGCTTCTTGGTGCCACTTCGTACGTCGGATCCTTCCTCCTTATGGGTCTTCAACACTCGGACAGTAGTTACTGGGCTTTCATCTTCCCGGGTTTGCTTCTCGCGGTGATCGGCGCCGACTTCGAGTTCTGCGTGGCGAACATGTACGTCATGAGTTCTCTGCCGCCGGAACAGCAGAGTATCGCTGGTGGAATTTTCCAGACGGTGACAAAACTATGTGTGGCCATCGGTATGGGAATCAGTACCGCCATCTTTGATGCGGTTCAAGCGAGAGGGACGACCACAACCGGGTATTTCAAAAATGACCCGATCGAGCCGTATAGTGCGACATTCCTGTACTGCGCAGGCATTGCCTCCCTCGGCATTCCACTGTGTGCCTTTCTAAAAATTGGCAGACAGGGTCACGGTGGGGATGGGAAGAAGGGGACGGACGACGAGAAGGTCTGACGCTAATGCTCATCAATCCGTAAAAGTACATACATCAAGGGGCTATCCCCTGGAAGAACAAAAGACTGGGTAGTTATAGACTAAACTAGATTAGATTAATAGATTTGGACAAATGCTCGGTTGTAATAGAATAACGTTGAAGTCCAGCGTATAATCTGCATATAGTTGAGTATCACCCATAGTAGGTACAGGCACCTAATACAATAACGAGACAAACCACGTAATGAGAGAGATTTGGTGGCTTTTTTTAATTCATCTACTGCAATATTGATAAAAGATGTCAAAAGTATTTCCTAGAGAAGGTCAATTGCACGGTTTTCCCGCATTGAGCGATCTGCTGCGAGCACAATTGATAAGGATTGAATGGCATCATTCATATGTTGTGTGAGATCTCGATCCTCACGAATGGCATCCAGCAGAAACTGTTGCTCCCGGGAACATAGCTCGTAATGGTCCGGCTCACCCTCCATCGATAGGATCTGATCTCGAGCGCGCCCGTCAACCACAGTACTCATGCGTAGAGTCGATGTCTTTGTGTGGCTGTTTATATTGGCCGAGGCCCCAGCACTATCGCCGCTATCTGCCTCATCCATCACAATTGAGACTGAGCCCCGTGGGCCCATCACATCTTTCACGAAGTACGCTGTCTCCGATATCATTGGACCCCATCCGGCTTCATACCACCCAACCGATCCATTGGCAAACAGCACTTGAAGATGGCCATAGTTGACCTGTTCAGCTGACGGAAGATCATCACAGAGACGAAGGCCCATGCCACGTACTTGGACCGGCTTGCTGCCAGCAATTTGCAACATCACATCCACATAATGCACGCCACAGTCCACGATCGGATTTTTCACATCCTCGAGGAGACGTTTATGAATAGCCCACGCGTCGCCACTAGAGCGCTGATTCAGGTTCATCCGCATGACAAACGGTGGGCCGAGCTGTCGAGCGCGATGGATGAATTCGATCCAGCTGGGGTGATGCCGGAGGATATAGCCGATGACGAGTTTGCGATTTGTTTGCTGGGCCGTGGTCACCACACGTTCTGCATCTTCGACTGTTGTTGCTAGAGGCTTTTCTACAAAAACATGGGCCCCAGACTCCATCGCTGCCACGGCATAATCAGCATGCGTTGCCGTGTGCGTGTTGATCGATACAACATTAGGCTTGAGTGCGAGAGCCTCCTCGAAGCTCGATAAGAAAGGATAGTCCTTGAGCTCAGCCGGTAGGCTCTTGACCGGACTGCGATTATAGAGACCAATAATTTGAAAACCTGGGTTGCGGTGGTACGCCAGGGCATGGCTATGGCCCATCTGGCCCATGCCAACCACTACAACCGATAACCGTTGGTCTGAATATGTTGCCATTTTGGAGTTTCTCTGACTAAATATTTGTAGATCTCTTTACTGTAGAAGGAAGAAAAGCGAAAGCAGGAAGGAAGTGCAGTTGGAGAGGTGGTTGTCTTTTGGCCAAAACAGTAGGATGAGCTAACACATGTTCTAACGTAGCATTTACGATGGATGGAACGTTAAAATGCTTCTTTCATGTCACCTTACACGAACGGGATCTGTATGATGAGGAAGTGGAGTTCTGAATACTATTTTAATTGGCTTGTTTATACTCCATAGTTGGCGCCATAGTGCAATCCCATCGAACGATTTATGACTCATGGATCCTTTCAATCCCCTTGTTAAGTAGGGCCAGCATTATTACCAAGTTTAAGCCACGAGCCTTTGTCCCAGGGGCCAAATCTACTGGGCCCTACTCGTAACCTCGACTTAGCTTCACCAAAGACATGCTGATCTTGCGGTATTTGCTGGCCCCCAGCGCACCAGCGGTTCCGACCAAGCCAAGAAAATCCTTACCGCGGCTCATAAGGTGAACCGTCGTCTTCGTACAAGCCATACAAAGACAAAGACCCTTATATTTATGATACAGATACATAAGACCTCTTATCTCCACTATTTGCTGAACCAACGGGCCGTGCCGTTGCATTCCAGTTCTGTGCAATGCGAATATCGTAAGGACGTGTGGTGTCAACATTCTTGAAGATATAATGGCAGAGCCCAGAAAAGTTGAAGTTTGGATACTCATGCAGAGGCGACTGGAAAGTCAATGCAAATGGTCATGTCAGTGATGCCAACCCTTTAGTACAGTGGGTTTTCAACAAAGCATATCAGAGCTCTGAAGTCCCCAAGACAGCAAGGTCGCAACGTTCAAATAGGCGTAATGCTTGCTATATACTTTCGCTACATTGGCTGACTACGTAAATGACATACAGCCCAGCAGAACTGTAGGGTTCATAATGACTATGTGCCTTAGGATGCATCAAATCACGAATGTTTGGAATAATATAAAAGAAAAACTCTGTAGACATAGAAGATCGCCAGCGAATTGAACAGAAGTAACACACAAGCACTCGTGCACTATGTACATGCTCAGACTATCATTTTCGTGGGCTCAAGAGTCTTCTTCATTCTTCACTGCGCCATTTGCTGCTTCCCTAGTGCTGCCGTGCAATTCGTCCATGGCTTGGATTTCCCAAAGCATTTCCTCCAACGTCCCCACTTTAGCAACGTAAAAGCCTGTTCACACAGCTAAGACTCACCCCTTTCGATAAATCCAGTACATCAAAGCGGATGGTGAAAAGAACCCTACCCTCATAGATCCAGTACTGTGCAGCAGCAGCGATTATCAATATCCTGTCTCACTGCGAGCTCCTTTGGCTCCAATGTGCTTTCTAGAGCATCGACTGCATGCAGTAAAGCTCTGTCATGGGCGCTTAAAAGAGAGGAAGCTAGGAGACGCGCGGTAAAAGCTTGGTAGTTTATCCATTTCGTGGTGATGGAATCAGACAAGGACTCAATTTCAGATTCCCGAGACCATAGCGCTGTGGAATTAATGATCAATAATCGTCATACCTACTGCCAAAGGTCGTGGCTACGATACTTACAATCATGAATGTCGCGCCAACACCGTGGAAATCCAAATTCTTTCTCGCCCGGCCAGTCCTGCTCGTTGGGCTGTGATGGCTTCGGGCGAGAAAACAATGCTTCGATCAGAGCGATAATGCAATCATGTGCTTCTCCATAGTCTTCCGCTATGGAGAGGAGCATCGCCCAAACCCTGCTGCTCTGGGTGGAATGCCATTGAGGCGTGGTGGGGGCTGTTAAGCTAGAGACTGTGTCTTGTAGAGGAAGAGTGCCTTCAAGATAGGACTGTAACGTCGTGAGTTCGGTGGGGTCAAGGAAAAAGAGGTCTCGATCGTGGGAGATGCGGGTGAACCACTCTGCGTACTGGCTCGCCATGGTGGGCTCTGTCTGATGCTATTCAACGACTTTCTTCCAAGTAAATGAGCAAGAAGCGAGATGGGATACCGTCCCAAGATATAGGGCTACCCGTTAAATAATCTGGATGACAAGGCATATCCCTGGGGCTTAGATCCTAGTTGCGGGCCATGCTGACTACGTTAGGGCTATTTTGTGCTCGTATGGTTGATCACGACCAGTTTGGAACTCGCACCTTAAATATCCCCCTCTATTTACTTTGTTAACGTAATACGGCCCGATTTGCACGACACGATCTGACTGTTATCCTTGTCTTAGAAGTCATGCGTGATAGTTGTGATTGGGGGTGGTGTGTTTGGTTCTGAGTCAGATGATGTGAGACGTGCAACAATCCAGATAAACCCTACTAGGTCATTGATTTGAACTAAAATATCTTACCCTCTTTTTGAGATGCGGGGAAGAGAGGCGGAGCGTGTAGCTCCCAAACAAGCCTCGGCTTCAATGCATCGCTAGTGATCATATCTCATGCCATGGCACGATGACTTGGCTACTAGTATTCATTACACTTCTACACGCCCCTCGGCAATAGAAGAGCCCGACTTGGGTCCATTTTGACTGCAAAATCTCTGCAGCAGTTGGCCTATTCTCCGGTCTAAACGATAGCAAAGACCTCAACATCGCAAAAAGCGCATTCTTCTCATCTTCATTGACGGTCTCACAGTATTCTCGCGATTCCTGAATTTGGTCATTGAACCGGGCTGTCATGGTCTACTCGTCATGCCATCCTTTCCTTTTCCTACATGTCGGTATTGATTCTTTCTCATGGCTAGGGTTCCCCATGTCCACAGGGGGGTAACATTTAGGTCGTTATTTATGTAGCTTACTTCTAAGAAGAGTTTCACCTTAAATGGATACACATAGACACTCAGTCCATGCCAGGCAAAATCTCTACACGAAACCTTGGAGCATTTGCTAGAGTCATGATGGCAATAGCCAGTTTAATGATACGTACCTGAACATGGATTTACATGTCCGAGGAAGCGGTATGGCAACACTCAGCACAGGCCAAGGCGCAGAGGGTATGAAAGGCTTACTCTAGATCTAAACTACTATTGAGTATGGAGACTGATGGTTTTACAATGGACGTTTTCGCAAAGTGGATGGCGAAGGCCGTTTTGGGTCAATATAGCAACGTCATACCAGTATCAAGTCCCTTCATAACCGATGAAAATGGATCAGCATATGATGCAGGTTTAAGAGAGAGCTCGAGATAGCTGGTACACGAACTTGTCGGCATTGGGAAGGCAATCTGCAACAGGATATCACTTGTAGGTAGTATGCCATAGATAATCCGCGGATGGTCAGGTGCCCCGCTTCTCAACTTCTGAGTCGCTCCAGTCCATGGCGGTTCATACTACTCATGGAATATAAATCCCGACAGAACGGGCAGGGGCCCCCGCACCATGGATCTACTCCAGGATGATGAGGGATTTACGATGCCAGCGAGGGCTACAGCTGAATACGTGGTGTGAAGATCATTACCGCATATAGATACTTTTCGCCGATGGTTTCTACATTCAGCGTCCAGTCCGGCGAACATTACTCTCCTCCATAGTACCTTACTGGAAATTGATGTGTAGGTAACTCTAGCCCATGCAATGGATGGCACAGGATATGTTATAAAGATGCCCAAAATACCGAAGAATAGAGAGATGAGAGAGAAGCGCATATCCCGATGACTTGTCTCCAACATCCACGAGCCAGATACTTATTCGCCATAATCCCACCGAGATGTACAGCTTACTTCTCATCATCACTCTCCATTTCCTCCTCATCTACTATATTATCATACCGATTATCAACTACTTCCGTGACCCTAAGGGTCTCCGAAAGTACCCTAACCTGACCGTTGTGTCCGGCATCTCTGACCTCCCACTCGTTTACTACTCCCACAAAGGCATCCGCTCGCAGGTCCTCTTCGAAGCACACAAAAAGCACCCGGTCCTCCGAATTGGGCCCAATAAACTCTCCTACGCAGACCCTGTTGCCATCAAAGACATTTACGGACACGGGACGAAGTGTACCAAAGATGTCTTCTACTCAGCACTATCTGGCTCACACTACCACCTCGCAGATGTAGTGGACAAAGAAGAGCATGCTCGAAAGCGCAAAGTTCTCTCCAGCGCCTACGCCATCAAGAACCTTGAAGATTGGGAATACAAGGTGGCCGATATGACGCAACGCATCATCACAGCGTTTGATGAGAGATGCACCAGTCCATTGCCCAAAGGCCAAAATCCAGACCCCAAGGACCTTACAATCGATTATCGCATGTGGGCGAATCTGTACACCATTGCCGCCATTGCTAATATCGGACTTAGCGAGGATCTCCGATTCCTAGATCAAGGCAATGATATTATCGCGTCGGAAGCAAAGGACGGGACTGTGAAAAAGGTCCACTTTCGGGATTGTCTGTACGCCAATGCGTCGGCTACTTCGACTCTGGTGTGGGCCTATGATTGGTACGAGACGACGATCCGAGTCAGCAAACTGGTGTCCTCAACGTATCGCGAGAAATGGAAACTAGCTCGGGATTGGGACGGGATCGTGAACAACCGAGCGACAACACGGTGGAAGCGATATCAGAAAGGAGAAAAGCTCGACGACTTCTTCTCTGCGCTCATGGAAGACAGGAACGGTGCTCCGAATAATCTCGAATGGGGAGAAATCGTAGCTGAAGTGAGCATCATGATGAACGCGGGCTCTGATACCACAGGGATTTCCCTGAACAACGTGATGCTCCTTTTGTTGAAGAATCCGCATTGTCTGGAAAAGCTACGAGAGGAGATCGACGGGGTCCTGGAGGACGATGAGATTATTGCGCCTTATGGCAAAGTGAAGCATCTGCCCTATTTGCGAGCCTGTCTCGATGAAAACATGCGCCTATACCCACCGGTGTCATTCCATGTTCCGCGCCGGACACCTCAGGAAGGCACCACTATCAGGGGTGAATTCGTGGCAGGCGATACTTCCGTCGGTATATCGGCATATGTGGTTCATCGCAACGAGGACATATTTCCAGACCCAGACACATATAAGCCTGAGCGCTGGCTCGGTGAGAAGGGTCGTGATCTTCAGCCGTATTTTGTTGCTTTCAGTGCGGGCGCTAGAGGGTGCATCGGTCGTAATATTAGTTATCTGGAACAGACAGTTCTTCTAGCTTCACTTGTGCATCGCTTCGAATTCGCTTTGCCGTCGCCGTCCTGGGAGCCGGTCAGACATGAAACGACAAATTCTAACTCAGGGCCTATGCCGCTGAAGGTGTGGAGGCGAGCAAGTAGAGTATGTGAAGATAGCTAGACAATTTTTGTGTGAATAGAGCTCTAGTTCATAGACCGGGTTATGATTATCTACATATGCTGCTGGGGAAGGACTGCGTAGTTGTCTTGGGAGTCCAAGATTGAAGGCTACCAGGTCAATCGCCGTGACTACCGATATTGATTGAATTTCATTAGTGAAATTACATAAGAATAATAGGACTTGAACGAATAATCCATGATTCGGAGACTGTATCGGAAAGGATAAGTTAATAAAGGAAAAGTCAAAGTATCCGCGATATATTAATCATATTTGGTAGCTAGGCAAAGGGAACGAAACTATAGTCTGATACTGCAGGTACTCGGTAGACAATTGTGATAGATAATTTCAATAAATACACAAGTTACTACTCAATATCCAAAGAAATTGTATACCCAGGTATTGTATATGTACAATTCTGAAATTGTCTAAAGTTCACAGAGTAGCCATCGTAATATATAGGTATCATCATGCATAGAAAACAAACGTGGGACTCATTTGGCCCCAAAAGAAATTTAAACAACCGTTATAAAAAATTTTTAAAGAAGGAGGCTGATGACTGTAGCCGCGGCACAGAGAGCAAGACTAGGTTTCCATGCAGGGGCAGCATTCTCCTCATCCTTGTCCGACGAGGAGGTGCTGTTCTCTGACTGCTTGCCGTTGAGATCACCAGGACCAAACGGCTTATACCCACCGCCAATGCTGGACGATTTCTTGGTGGAGTCCTTGACACACTTGCTGTCATCTGTGTATGCTGACCATGCAGCTTCCCATGCCGTTTCAGGTTCGAGCAGCATCTTGGTGGTGTAGAAGATACGGCAGTCGGCGTCTTCATAGATGTACTGAAGGGGGGTTCCTGACTCATCACCCTTGCGAATCTGGTCTTGAACCTGAATGCGACTGCTGTAGTCACCCGCGCGAGTGAGAAGCACGTCGGGGTTGGCAAGCTTTGTAAGAGAGTCGTCGTCCAGGGCTTTAATGCCCAAGGGTGCGGTGAGGTTCATCATTGTCTGGAGGGACATGGGGATGGTGTTCAGTGGGATAACCTCTCCACCCTTGGAGCCTCCAATTGTCTGCATGGCACCCTCCTGGGGACGACCACCAACGGCAATGGCTTTGACGCCTGCAATGTTCTTCAGCTCCTCATGGAATGAAGCGCAGGAAGATCCACAAAGACCGTCAGAGAACATGACGATGTTTTCCGCCGCAAACGGAGGGTCTCCGGCGGGAGGGTTCAGGAATTTGAAGCCTGACTGATCCCGGATGCTGACTGGGTTGCTATTGGACATCTGTATCCTGTGAGCTGGGTGTGCTCGTGGTTCTAGGGATTCATAGGTTGTACTTACGTTGTACCTCATGATAGTTGTGAACTCATCACCATTATACTTGTGAGGACCGTAGAACGCATCCCATGATTTGAAGTTATCACCGTTAACATCGACAAAGTTCCAGTAGGCCCAATACCTGACGAGGCCAATATTGGCAAATCCTAGACAAGTTAGCTTTACGTTGTCTCACGGCGGATAGCTTTCCACTTACTTTCGCCAGTAGCTTGCGTGATCAGCCTCTGTACAGACTGATCCTCATAAACCGAATTGACAGCTTCGCCAATGAGCTTGTATTGCTCCTGCGCACGATATCTCTGAGCACTAAACGGCACTTCACCGGGGAAAAGCTGCATGAAGGTATCGAGGAGAAGATCGGTGTCACCTCCACCGTTCTCTCGGAGGTCAATAACGAGCTTCTTCTTGCCCGCATCTGTGCAGTTGCCCAAAAACTGCTTCACAACGTCCTGGAACTCGGTAGCAGCATCACTCCTATCAGCCGAAGAAGTGTCAAAGGTAATAATCTTGAGGACAGCGACGTCTTCGAAATCAGATCCGTTCATAAAATAGCCAGCGACCATACCGCTGCTGTGTTCAACAATTGGTCTAGGGTAGCCGTCGCTAGGGATGCTTTGCCTTTTCCAGTGGTGAGGAGTTCCCTTGTAAGGCGTTGTTGTTTTCATGGACGCGGCGGCCACTGCCTCGACGCTAGCAAAGCTGCCGGTGCAGAGTTCTTCAAAGAACGACTTTCCGCTGGTTACTGCCGTCAGGTTTTGCCGTACCTCAGCGAAGTTCCTGACGACACGAGTGGTCTCGTTTTTAAAAGTGATATTCGTCGTCGCTCCTTCATAAAAGCCCAGACCAGTGTTAACAAAACTGCCCGCCGAGGCGGAGGCTCTGCCCCTCCACATGAGGCTGTTGAACCGGGCATCAGGGTCGATGTACTGCTCCTGGGCGGCGATCTTGTTCAGATATGTTTGCGCATCTTCACCATTGATCTTCGTGATTGGCGAGATTTTAATGCGAGCGTCGGAGTCCTTCTGCACAAGATCTGCGACAGCATAGGTCTCTGGCACACTGGTTCCGTCCTCTGAGACGGTGGTCACGGGGATCACACGTCCAAAATAGAAGACCTGGAGGATATCGGGCACGTAGTTGAAATGAAAGTTCCCTGTCTTCAGGGTCAACTTGTTGATCGCGAGCTGCACGTCATATTCACTGTCGTAGGAGGAAAGGTTCTCTTTGATCTTGTCCAATTCCCCAAGCAGGTCGATGGAGCCCAGTTCCCATGTGTCGGGGGCGTTCTTCAGATAGCCAGTCTCCGAATGCCACTCCCACAGGCCTTTGAGCTGGTCAATGAGTGTCTTATCTTGCTCTACAGCCACTGGCACAGATTTCAAGCACTCATAGGCGGTCTGGGCTGGGATGACTTGACTCTCCTGGGCGAGCCGGCTAGCGCGAGCACACGGTTCCGAGGTGTCAGTGGATGTACTGCTCTGGGCAGCAGCCAGAGCGGCTGAAACCAGAGTGATGCCGAATAGACGCATGTTGCAAACCGCGCCCCAAGTCTGGTTTCTCGGAAGCTGCGGAAGAGGGGATTTGTGGGAGTTAACAACCAAAAGGCTTCTCGAACAAAGACTGATAGCGCGACAGACCGCACCATTTATAACACGAGAAGAAGTACACTACGTTCTTGGCAGCAAGGAAAAGAGAGGCGCAGCCTAATCAACTGTCCGAGGACAAGGCTGAAGAGGTGGGTCGGATGTTAACTTTGGGTCTTTGACAAGGGCTCTCCGAACGGTTTTCTTTTTTGGGAACTGGAGAACCCTAAACCGCTTGTCAAATCTCCATTTCTTCGGCTGTCTGCAGATTCGGAATACGAAGTGGGCGCTAGGGAAAATTCCCCGGTCAAATAAGCACTACTCGTAAGCAAGCTGAACCCTACACAAACAGAAAAGTGTAACCGCCCATGAGCATAATTTGAATATTTACTTTTTATTTTTTTTGTTTACATTATGATTCCTTTTGGTAACCACTTTCGTGGCTACATGGTACCGTTGGGTGTACTTGAGGGTTCTCTGGTTCCTTTGCGGCGAGGCTTACTCTTATGACCCTCGTATGAGGCTATGGTGATCGCTGACATCTCGTTCCGAAATTTCTATCGACAAGGCATTTTTCCCAAGGAAGTAAAGCGTTCCAGGGCACACCGACAGCTCACCTTCCTGAAGAAGAATAACGCAGGGTCTCAGAGACACTTTGGTCTGGAAGTCAAGGGTCTGTGGCCCCCACGGTTTAACTGGAGCAAACGCCATCATTGATCCACCCTCTGAGGCTCTCGGGCGTGAGTGGCACTGAGTGCTGCCTGCTATATCCATGGTACAAAGGCTGTGAAGTCTTGGCATCGTGCGATTCCATCTCTGCCGTAAACCCTGAACAAGAGACTTGGATTAGGGGCCGAACGATTAACTATTTTTGTTTCTCGCCCCAAAGACCGACTAGTAATAATATGAGATGTACTCCGAATTAGAGGATTCTAGAGACGGCCGTTCGCTCCGTTATTCATGAGGTAACTAGCTCTTTTGTCGTGTTGTCTCACTTGTGGACCTCTGGGGAAGAGGTCATGCAAACGAGCAGCGTTCTTGACGAACAGAGATCAGTTGATCAATTCCTATTCCATGGCTCCGCGCGTGCAGGCCCAAGCCATCGACGATCGTAGAATATGAGTTGGGGCGTGGGCGAGTGCCAAGAATGTAGCCTGGAAGAGTGGATGATGCTGCTTCTTCAGTGACAAATGGAAGCCGTAGTTCTATGGTGGGGAAGAATATCGAAACTTGGCAACGGAGACAGACTTCACTCCCCCAATTCCACCAACAGTGGATATGTCGATTTAATTTGCTGTATATGTTGCCCTGCAATTTCATGCCTGAACCCAGGTCATTCGCAGTTCTCTTTAGTCTGTTGAATCAATTTCCGCTGCTTCGGCAGTCAACCAGTGACAAGCTCTTGGCGATGCAGCCTCACACCGTAGTTTCAGTTCCCCTTTTCTTTCTTGTATCCGTGAATGTCACTAACACCCGGGGATGATCCTCAGAGGGAAATCGCGAACCCTCACCTGTTTGCAAAGGATTTAAATATCACATCACGTGCTAGGGTTCGCTCTTGTCAGCAGCACCATGATTCTGCGCTGTACGATCATTCAATGATATCGGTCGGTATGTCCGATAAGGCTCAAATGATGATCACCTTGCCGGCAATTCTACAGCGGATACAGGACAGGGAACGATACGGCTTTGCATAACTAAAAAATCAAGATGGCCTCCTCCCAAGATCCAACCAGCCTGCAGGGGCCGCAACCGTCCTTCTACAATCCTGCGTTTCTTCGCTTGCCCTTACCTCTCTAATCTCTGGTCGGCCATAATGATAGGCTATAGACACAGCTTGGCTCAGCATACTACCCGAAACATTGCATCCCGAGACTGTACACACTGTTGCGATTTGAATAATTCTTGTTTTGCAGAGAAGCAACCCAAAGGAGAATACGCTTCGATCGCCATGAACTCAGGTCAAGTCACGCGAGAGCAATGATGAACAATGAGTGACTCATGACTTTTCATGTGTCTGGACGGTTAGACGGCCGAATACGAAGTCGACTAAGTTTCCAGAGGGCCCATGGACTATAACTATGTGATGCGCAAACATACACACTGAGACAAGAACCACGCTATGATGTCCTTCCTTTACCGCTGGTTCGGGCCCCTGTACGATGCCATTCTATGTCCAGGCCTACCCTGGAGTATTCGCTGGCGCCTTGTCGCATTACAGCCAGTAGTCTTCCTTACCAATGCAATTCAATATTGGCGTGACATACGTTCGAAACATCCCAAAACCACGATCTGGATTCCCTTGAGGCGTGCTCCGGGTCACTCCGTTCGTGCTATTGTATACCAACCCCCTCGAGAAAGCGCCAAATAATAAACCGCGAGCTCTCCACCTCAACATTCACGGCGGCGGGTTCCTTGGAGGTCTCCCCGAAGGCAACACGCCGTTCTGTGATCGAGTCGCGGCAGAGACCGGGGCGGTAGTGATATCAACATCTCACCGATACTCCCCACGATATACTTTTCCCGTCGCGCACAGGGATGTCCAAGATGTAGCCGAATGGTTGATCGAAAACGCGGGGAGGCTTTGGGATGCCGATCCGAGATTGTTGAGTGTGAGCGGATTTTCAAGTGGAGGGAATCTGGCGTTGGGCGTTGCGCAATGGTTGGCCCGGTCGGAATTCAACGTGAAAGCAGCGGTGATGTTTTACCCACCCGTAGGTCCTACCTCCGTGACTACTGTGTTAGATGTTTGAGTGGTATTTATCTTGACTTATCCACAGGTTGATCTGCGGCTGTCGCCGTGGGAAAAGCCGAAGCCGGCCAAATATCCTGATACTGACCCTCTAGCTTTTGTTTTGCCCTTAATGGACGCATATGCCGGAACAGAGCGAGAAAAGTATCTGGATAGCCCAATACTGCATCCCATTCTCGCAGATATTGAGTCACTGCCACGGAATATGCTGTTTCTTTGTGCGAAGGTCGATATTCTTCACCATGAGCAAACAGTGTTTGTGAATAGACTGAAAGACGAAGCTGTGGCCCTTAATCGCGAGATCAAATACCCACAAGAAGCATCTCAACATCATCCGACCGATAGGGAAGACCGAGTATCGCTAGCGTTAGAACTTGAATCAGCTGCTCGACGTCCTTATCACATTGATGGCATGTTCTTCGACGATCAGATACATGGGTGGATTGAGGGTACGCGGCTGTCTATCTGCATGTTGTTATACACACTAACTATGGGGTAAACAGTGCCTTCAATGTTCATCGATACCAAATTGAGAGACCAGGCCTATAGTGATGCAGTGCAGTTTCTAGACAACGTCTATATTTCCCAAGGATAGGCAGGCTCCTCTGTGGAATTCGATGTATCAGATGTAAAACGGTAATCCCTCACCAAACCCTTCAGCGGCCCTTCAATCCCCCATCTTATGTACATAGCAAGTTAAGGCCTCATCACAATTACATTAATTAACAAATTTGTCGCTCAGTATCTAGTTGGCTATCCGGCGTGGTGCTATATCCCGGCGAACGATTACGGCGAACGAGGGCTACAAGACACAAGTACTGGCCACGTCAGCGACTACATTCCCACAATGCCTAGCTGCAGCTAGACTTATTGGCGAATCACTCAAAGCCCAATGAGTCGAACATAGACTGCGCAAGGCTGTAGCGCGGGGCACTAGCCTTCTCCCACACCTCGGCGCTTGCGGTCCATAAATATACTACATCGCAGCAACACCACACTCACAATCTCTCTTTCTCTCTCTGCGAACCATCAAACTCAATATGGCACAAACAACTGAGTACAAAGCCGAGTATCATCACTTTATCCCACGATTTCTCCTGCGCCAGTTCGCAGCTCTCGAGCAACCCTTACCTTCGCGTCGTCAGAGAGGAAGAAAGCCACGCAGCCAAAGACCACAGGGGCAGTTGCTCAAGGACCCGTTCGTCAACGCGATAGACTTGAAGAAGAATGCCCTGGTCCAAGTAACGGTATCACGCGAGTTTGGACTCGTGGACATGTACCGCGATCAAGGTTACCCGAACCCCAGGCATATTGAGGATAATCTCGGAAAGTTGGAAGGTCATGCAGGTAGAATTATCAAACGAGCGACAGATACATTCAGAGCTGGTCGGATACTTGAATTGACTCGTCGCGAAAGGGATACTATAAGAAAGTTCCTGTTTCTCATGAAATACCGGAACTCCACTTTCTATGCGCGATACAACCATGACAGCATCACCACCTACGATTCTAACGACAAACACCGCATGGAAAGCTACCTGCGGGAAAAGAGATTCAAATCGCCTCGTGATATCTGGTTTGCCAATCTCAAGGCATTCTTGGATCTCGAATTGATCCCGACATGCTGTGGATCAACAAGGTTCAGAAACAGGTCTTCCCGGATGATGCGGAGATGTTCATTCATCACATGCAGTTCAAATTTATGGCATTCTGCCAGCCTTTGTCAGATGAAGATGAGTTCATATTGACCCATAATGCGTATGGAGTCCATGAGGGCCCTTCGGATGTTCGAATTGACCCCGCCACTGGAAGAATAATCGAAGGAGCGTACACAGAATACCACAATTTTGCTCCGATTTCTGCAAAACTTCTCATTGTCTTGAGAAGCTCACTGCTGGTCGACCCCTCTAAGGAAGGCGCAGAGGATCTTCAGGGCATGTGGGAAACACTGCGGGAAACGGTGCGACAACAACATCTATTCCCTGATAGAGCTATCTCGCTGCTCCAATACCTGCCTATCAAGAAGTGTGGGAACTCGTACTCGACTACTATGAATGGAAAGCTCGTTCTGAAGCCGAACCGGGGCCCTCGGTCCGAAGACAGATTCTACTTTACCTGTTTCCGTATATCTTCCTACTATGTCAATCTAATCAACAGTATCTTCTTCGAGCAGGCAACTAAAGGGGACACTATAGTCTATAAATCCAGATCAGCTCTCGGGAGAACCCTCAAATCATACCTCGAAACCAGCAGGCAGGGTTTCAAATTAGTGACCGATGAGACCAGTGACCATCACCTGGCATTCCTACAGAAGTTAGAAAACATTGCAGGGCAAGTAGTTGGGAAGGTCTGCCTTAGGTACAAGGCCGTCGCACTCCCAAAGCCTCAAACCCATATGTCCCAGTGGGTTGCGGATATGGTTGGGTTGCAATTAGTTGGGTTGTCTGGCAAGTCAGATGCACCAGAAGTATACAAGCTCATGAAGCCAGGTGAGTGCCCCTTTAAATAGCGTTGCAAAGTACAGCCAATAACTTACGATCATTTGCAGATGGGGGTTTGGATACATATTTTCATGACCTCATGCAGTCGCAGCTTATGGCTTTCTTAAGGATCAAGATAGATGTGATTCTGAGCCGTTCCAGGTTAACGCAAGATGACAGGCTGGTTGTTAAGTTTCAGCTGCAGCAGCTATACATTACGCTTCCTGCACAGCGTGTCTGGCTTTACGTGAAAATTATGCGAAATCTACCGAACTTCGACAGACGAGACTTTACGAAGCAGATCCGTGAGCTAGAGATCAACGGGCCTGAGGATGATGTTGCGAAATGTGAGTATGCAACACCCAGGTTTCTATGAATGAATGTTTATTTAGCTCGATCACAGTGATTGCTCTATATCCATCGCGGACCGGTCAGCTCACAATGTTGATGTTTGGGGAAAGCCCAAATGACGGCTTCAGCCCTTATGTAACTGGTTGAGGCAGTGTTTATCCCCGGAAAGCCTCTCCCGTGGGGAGATCCATGAACCCATACATATTCATCTTGAGTGCGTCTTCCTGAACTTGCTGGGCCCATTCCCCCAGGTGCTTCATGAAGACCGCCAGGTTCTTTTCGTCACTTAGATCAATTGGCTGCTCGTCCTTGCCCACTTGCTTCATTTGTGTACCCGCGGCGGCGCTCGTCAGGCCAAAGTTCTGTTGATCGACCTTCTGCTCAATCACACCAGCCACTCGGCCTTCAAGGATATCGCGGGGAAGGCTAAATTCTTGGCAAGCAGGTCGAGCCAAACCGACACCATCCACCGTCTCCAGTGCAGCCACCATTCCCGAAGCCGTCCGGAGACCGCCGGTAACGTAGCTCTTGGTTTTGCTCAGCACAGGGGTAATCATGGATGCAAACTCCAGGAAGAACGCCTCCCGGTTCCTGGTGGAATCCCGGTCGCGCGAGAACGCAGGTGCCTCATACGTTCCACCAGAGAGTTCCACAAAATCGAACTCATTTTGTTCCAGAATCTTACACAGTTGCTGGGCTTCGGCCGGGGTGAATCCGTCGGCCTGGAACTCGACCGAGTTGATCTTAATACCCAGAATAAACCCTGACGATGACGGCAGCTCCTGTCGAATAGACCGGGCAACCTCCACAATCAGACGTGCCCGGTTCTCCAAACTTCCACCATACTCATCGGTCCTCTTGTTCGTGGTCTGCGACAGGAACTGGGCCAGCAGATACCCGTGCGCGCCATGCAGCTGGATACCATCAAATCCCGCCTTGTGGAGATAGACTGCGGCATGAGTCCATCTTTTAATGATATCCTGGATCTCGTCCTTCGAGGCCGCATGTGGCTTCGCAAACTTCATCTTGAGCGCCTCCGCCTGCAGCTGCACATCACTCGCCGAGACGGGATCGGCCTGTACCCGCTCTTCCACCTGGCGACCGGGATGACTGACCTGCGCGACGATCAAACTGCCATGTTTCTTCGACTCCGACGCCAGGCGAGAGAACGCCTCAAAACGTTCTCCATGGAAGGGGTTCTCCAGATCAATAATGGGGTTTCCCGGGGCTTCTAGGTGATCGTATGCGATCATGATATTTCCGGTGGAGAGCATGCCATAGCCACTCTCACCCCAGCGCTTGTACAGGTTGATCAACTCATTGCTGGGAATTCCACGCGCTTTCAGATCTGTCGGGGACCAAGACGATAACCGCTCCGTCATGGCACCCTTGTAGAAACGATTGGGCGCGGTTCGCTGGCTGAAGGCGAAGTGGAGCGGCTCCCCCAGCGGGGTTACATCTACCGAGTCAGAGTGGTATCTCGCCGACATCTTGTTTCTGAAGTCGTATGGCACTCTTCAGAACGGTACGGATATGAGATTAGTGCTGTAAGAGAGTCGTGAAAACGCAAAATTGCACTTAAATTGGAACGTGTTGGCGCCATTTTACCACCACCAGCTATACTAATCAAAAAAAAAATACGATTGATTTCAAAGCATGATGGGTCGCCAATGTTCCCATTCTTGGCCGGGGAACGAATTATGTTTGGCGATTCGATCCCACAATTCGACTCTTGTGCCGAAGTGCCTGCATTGGGACAACATTCATTACTAAGCGTAAGCAACCCCTTCTGCACAAGAGTTATGCAGCAAGGTGTTAGGCCTAATCCAGTCGACATTGTCTTACTAATGTCTTACTAAACCAAAAAATACAGTCACGTGAATTGTCAATATTAAGGGAGTATGTGTGAAAAGACCGTTGAATCGAGGGGTCGATTCCAAGCGTAGAAAAACTACAGACTCATCCCTGATTTCTTTAGTTCTACATAGCTGCTTAAGACCGCATTTTCTTGAATCTTGATGATGTGTATTATTGTTCGGTGGTATCTCTATTCTGTGTAGTACTAGCCCTTGGATCCAATACAAGAGCATCCCCCCTCCAAAAAGAAAGGAAAAGAAACGAAAGAAACGAGAAGAAAAAGAAAAAAATACAAAATGTAAGAACAGGAAGACAACTTACTCCTCGGCTCTAAAGGTGCAGAAGTTCAGTGTATCCATAACAACGCCCTTTTTCTCCACGGCTTTCCTTCTTCTCCCCTCAAGCTGATACCCCGCCTTCGCCAACACTTTTTGACTGGCTTCATTCCCATCATATACCTCCGCCTCCAGCCTCAAAACATGTGGGAAACTCTCAAAGACCCAAGCAGTCATTGCAGATAATGCTTCCGTAGCAATCCCCTTTCCCCAGTGGTCTTGACCCACCCAGTACCCGATCTCCATCGTCCGATAATATACATCATCTCTGGCTTTTAACCCGATGCTTCCAATGGCGATATTATCCTCCCGCCGGCTAATGACGAAGTCGAGGACCGGTGAGGCAGAGTTCGCGGTTGAAATCCAGGACTTGGCGTCTTCGATGGTGTAGGGCTCAGGAAATCGACTGCGTAGCCAACGGGCGATTTCGGGGTTGTTACCTTCTTTGGCGATGGCTTCTACGTCCCCAGCGTAGTAGGGGCGGATGAGGTGGTTAGACAGTTGGAGGATGGGGGTTGGTGCCTCCATTCTGTATTGATTGGTTTTTTTTCCCTGTATGTCTAATATGAGTGCTAGACGTGAATGTATTGCTGAGTACTTTCATCAGTAGTTATCTTTCCAGTTGGGTCAATTAGGGTTTCTGCCTACCTAAGAGGCACGCTCTAAGGCCTTGGATTTCATGACCCTTTGGTAAATTCTGCTGTCTTAGAGTGCAATATTTGGAGGTCGCATGAGCAGTGGAGAATCTTGAGCAAGAGAATGTCGTCCACCGATTGGGATCATGATGCCTGTATATATATATATATATGAGTCAGACTGACTCATTGTCTCGCAGAGAGCTCGTGATTGTTCAACTAGCCATGTTCTCCCGTGTCAGGCCTATAATCCTCACTGATATTGGGAATAGCCCCGGTGCAAGTAAGCGCTAAGAAGATATGGCGATGATGTCTCAGACCAACAAAGGTTCATTGAGTGGATTTACATTTATTCCGAGATAAAATACCTGGTGCTTCGATGTAGTACATGCTTGGATAATTACAATTCATATTGACAATGGATTTATCTGCACTAGGATCGTGTGACAATATCTAGCGAAATACGGTGGCTTTCAAATAGTGTGGTGCTTGAAGCTTTTTGTTGGATCCATTCTAGACTCGATTTGACAAGACGATCCCCACATTTCCGCAATGAGTGGAGATCTGGGGAGGGTAACAAAAAAAGACCGCACCCGAAGAATGTAATTATGTCATAGTCGATCGAGTCCAGGAGGCTAGAAGAGTTCGTTTGAAGCTTTTTTTCTTGCCAATACACAGGACCGCTGCAGCAGGCCCACCAGGGTGGTAGTGTGCGTCGCCAATGTAACTTGTCCAGTTGACGAACCGGGAATTGCTATAATTAACTGGAAGCATCGGGACGCATCATCCAGTGGTGAGAGTGGAGAGAGGACGGGGCTACCAGCGTATCACAGTCCGCATTTGGGGAGCACGGATCCAATTTTTCGGTGCATGGGTCGTTGGATAAGCAATCAGTCCCCTCCAAAGACCCCTGACTCCACGATCGACAGGGAGACAGGGTCCTCAGGGCGTTTTCCTTCAGTCCAGCTCTCTCTTTTTTTTCCATTCTGTTTGGCCCGTATGTAACCTCAACCCTAGTCAGGTGACATCCGGGCAAGAGGGAACCACGCAACAAGCGCCCCGAAGCAGAGAAAAGCCGGAGGGCAAGAAGACGAAGAAGACGGGGGAACGTTAAGACTGGTCTTGGATGACGTACCCGAGGGAATGATTGGACTCGTTTCACCAGGGCCGATCTTGCCAAGGTAGCGTGGACTGCAGTGGACTCCATCATGATAGGGACTTAGTCAGGTCAAGATGGGGCCATGACTGCGCTTGGCACGGGTCTTCTTAAATTAAGCCTTGCGGGATGCACTTTTTCCCTCTCGCAATTCTCTCCCAAGCTTTTTTCGATGTCTCCGGTCGCTGCGGTGTTGCTTCCTGACTCAATTCTCCCCCCAATATATTAATCTATCGGAGAGGATGCACTACCTCACCAGTCGACAGCTATGTGCCACTCTGTTGTTCCTCTTTCTCCACGTCCAGACCGCGTGGTCGGACTTGGGTATCGTCGTCAATAATGAGGGTATGTTTCTTTCCCCTCTTCACGGTCGCGAAATTGTCCGACATGCGCTCCAGATCGCCTAGGCCTCTAATGCGGGAATTTTAGATTCACTAAAAAAGGGCGCCCAGGAAATTATCCCGCCCATGATGGAGTTCTACAAGCAGAACCAGACGGAGGGGATTCCCGGAAAACTGACCGATACCTGGTATATCGCCGGAAGTATGTTCATGACGTTAATTCAATACTGGCAAGCATCGGGCGACGACAGCCAGAATGCGGTGGTGTCGCATGATCTCATGTTCCAGGCGGGCGAAAATTATGACTTTTTCTCTCAAAACTACAGTCAGTGGCTGGTACGTCGTCCTCGTCGTCCTCAGGGCGCCTTACTCTGCTTCGGGCGCAAAATCACTGACCGTCACGTGCGCAGGGTAACGACGATCAAATGTTCTGGGGTCTGGCCGCTATCACTGCGTCCGAGGCCGGATTCCCCGAGCGCGATGGAAAACCTTCGTGGACCTCGCTCGCGCGTGCGGTCTTCAACGAGCAGGTCGAGCGCTGGGACGGTCAAACCTGTGGGGGTGGTATGCGCTGGCAGGTCTGGCCCTATCAAGCTGGATATCAGTTAAAGAACGCCATCTCCAACGGCGGTCTGTTCGAATTAGCTGCGCGGTTGGCTCGGTTTACCAAAAACGAAACCTATACCGAATGGGCCGAGAAGATCTGGGACTGGTCGGCCAAGTCGGGGCTGATGGACGTCAATAAGTGGGTAATCTATGATTCGGTCAACAACGACGACCAGTGTAAAAGTCCCGACAATCTCCAGTGGACCTACAACTATGGGACCTATTTGTCGGGGGCGGCCTTCCTGTACAATTACGTAAGTCCTTCTTCTTGTAATACTCCCCTAATGCATGTCATCTCGCTAACGATCCATACAGACCAACGGGGATGATAAATGGCTGCAGCGGGTCAACGGTCTGCTGGGTACGACTCTCAAGGTCTTCTTCCCGGACAAGTACGGCGGCAATGTCATGTCTGAAGTCGCATGCGAGCCCATCATGTCCTGCGACCGAAACCAGATCGGTTTCAAGGGCTACCTCTCTATGTGGCTGGCTTTCACCTCCATCCTTGTGCCATCGACCAAGGATCAGATCGCCCCGAAGCTGCAAGGGTCGGTTGAAGCCATATCCAAGATGTGCAACGGCCAATCCGACGGCCAAAGCAATCTGTGCGGTCTCACCTGGGGCGCCAACAAGTTCGACGGGGTCAAGGGCCTCGAAGCCCAAATGTCGGCCCTGGGCGGTGTCACGGCCAATCTGATGCTGATGGCAACCGAATCACCCAACACGATTGATACGAACCCGGACGCGAAGGAACACAACGTGCCTTCCACGGGAGGGGATAAGAACCCCTCTAAGCCGAAGCCGATTACCACGGCGGATAAAGCGGGCGCTTATATCCTGATGGTGATGATGATTGCCGCAATAGCGGGCTCGGTCGGCTGGCTCGTCAAACCTTGAGTTCGAGCAAGTCTGGATTTGTCGGTCAAATTCGGGGTTGCAGGCTTCAGTTGATATCGTGGTTGATTGTATGTATATAATTATTTTCATTTCCATGGCGTTGCTTCGGAGAGGGTTGGGATCTGTACATGTGGGTATTGATTGCCTTGTCCCCCTTTTTTTTTCGTTTTTTCTTTTCTCTGTTCTTTAGGGGGCTGATTGCCATACTACTTATACTACACACTGGCCTCTTGGTGCCTGCGGCACGTGGAACGAACTAGATGTCGGACAGAAAGCCCAGATTCTATCTTAAATCTCTAATAACGAAGAGTTTATGAACCTGAGATATATACATATTTGATCATTACGGGTCATACTAGTGCCGTATCTCAACGGCGGAATCTATACTCCACTGCCAATCCCCCCAGCTTTTCTCCTCTTCAGATAATACTGCACCCCCAGTGCCGCCGCCAATACCCATGACGCCCCGGCCAAGACACAAATAGCCGTCAAGCCATGCAGATACCTCGGTTTATCTGATGTGCGGAAGATCTGCGATCCGGAGATACCGGCGCAGTTGGCCGCCATTACGATCAACCTGTTATAGTCATTAGCTAGTGTCAAGCGGAAGAAGAAATCCAGGCGTGGAAAGGTAAACATACGCCATGGAGACACTTCGCTCTTGGGGTGTTTTGCAATAGACGGAAAGCCAGCCGATGTTTAGGACACTGTTGGCTCTGTGAGTATTTAGGACATGGGAACGGGGAGGGGAAATCAACGCACTGCATGCTGGCATAGGATACGTTAGCCACGGCGACGACACCATACTTATGCCAACTCGACGAGGAGTAAGGCGTTGTCCGCAGACAGGCGTACGAGATTACGTTCCACGTGATGGCGAGGAGAACGAAGGGACCTCGATGTCCGGAGCGATCTCTGCTCAAACGATTAGCCCCATTTCAGAAATCCACTGATGTTTAAAGAGAGAAGCTTACGCGAAATAAGACAACCCCAGACACCAAACCATGCTGCAATAAATCGGCACCGACGCCAACGCATTGGCCCGGACGGCACTGAACCCAAACGACTTGATCATGCTCGGCGTATACTGCGTCAGACCCTGGAACCCTGACATGGCCACGAGGGTAATGAAGAAGTGCTGGATGGTGTTCGGCTGGCGCACGGTGTTCCAGATATCCTTGGCCGTGATCTTGATATGGCCACGGGCTTTGCGTGGGTCGTCAAGAAGGACTCTGTTGCGGATGATGTGGGACTCGCGTGGGGTGAAGTAGCTCCAGCGCTTGAGGCCGATCAGGGCGTACCCATTGCCTGCCTTGGGTGGGACCAGGAGAGTGAAGATGATGCCGGCGAAGATAGTTATTAGGCCTTCGACTATACGATTGTTAAAAAGGTGGTTCTGCCGAGGTTGGCCCTGATTGACGTACTGAGAAAGATCCATTGCCAGCCGGAGAGCCCGCATTTACCGTCTAGTGTCAGTAGGCCGGCGGATATAAGGCTTGAGGTCGCTGCTGCGAACATCTGTCCGAAGAAGAAGAGGGTGGTGCGGAAGCTTGTCTCGCCTTTCTTGTACCATGTAGAAAGGTAGTACAATGCGCCTACTCCATCCATTAGTGCTCTATTGCTTGTAATCAGGTCTTGGGTAAGCGTCTGTACCAGGGATGAACCCGCCCTCCAACAGTCCTAGCAACAGCCGAGTTACTAAATAAGCGGGATAGCTCTGCACAAACGCCTGAAAGGTCGCGACAAGACCCCAGGCGAACAGCTGTACCGAGAGCCATATCTGCGGGCCGATCCGCTGAAGGATGATATTCGACGGGATTTCTGTGATGACAATACCAGCCGAGAGCAATTGCGTACCGATATTAATCTGGTTGGTTGTTATCCCCAGGTCGTCTGTGATGGTGGACGTGAGCGCAGCGCTGATGTTTCCACGGTCGACCTGGAGAGCAAAAAAGGCGAGGCCAAGAATGGGAAGAAGGATAAAGTCAATTCTGCATAGAAGATCAAAGTATGGTGGTTAGTCATTTGACTATCTGCAAGTATATGCGGCTGCTCACTTTCGACGAAGCGCGCTCTCCTCCTTATCATCCCAATCTTTGATGATTTCTTCATCCGACGACTCCTGATCTGTGGAGACTTCGGCTATGATCTTTTTCTCCGATGGTAGATCATTCTCGAGTGGTGAATGTTGATCAGGTACAGGCATCATAGCAGTAAGCCGGGGAGAAGTTAGGGTAATATTGTGATTTTACTACTTCGAGAACCCCCCTGTAAGCAATTATTTCTTTCTTGATCTGATACCATTTTCATAGCAAATTTTCCGATCGGAAACATGATATTTATAATATTTCCACATTATCATGGACAGGAATATTGTGTCTGGGCTAGTTTTTATCCACGATATGCTGCGAGACTGGGGCTTGATGGCGCAATCAAGCTATCGACGCGTCCATGCCGGCCGACGTCAGTCTCTGGACAGTCTAATCCCCCTAACGCCAGGCAAGCGAACAAGTAAGTTCTGATAGTCGATATAACGGACAACTTGATTGCCGAAATTATTTCGTTATGGCGCCATCTATATTGTGATTGGACATTCTGATCAGAATAGATTAAACATGGGCATTGTGGTCCCTTCCGTCGGCAGTTAAAATCACATTATGATGACAATCGTCGCTCTAGGCGAGGGTATATCATAATGTTAGAAGCCGAAAGGAATGCAAAGCAATAATAGAAGCTATACGCAATATTTAGTTGAGATTTAGTACATTTATTAGCGTACACGTAACACGAATCAACAAAGCATGAACAGTACACAAAAGCTGCAATAGATCTGTTGCCAAAGTTATCAAACTAGTGAAGGTCACGTGTCAACTGCCCAAGAATGATCACTGATATCCTCACATGGCACACTTGATTGGTCGTGCATCACGTGATACGGTACCTTAATCGAATCTGTCAAGGTTCATGATCTTAGCCCAAGCAGCAACAAAGTCTTTCACAAACTTCTCCGTTCCATCGCTGCTACCATACACCTCGGCAATGGCACGCAGCTCGGCGTGAGATCCGAAGACCAGATCGGCCCTGGTAGCGGTCCATTTCTTAGCGCCAGTTCTACGGTCGGTGCCTTCGTAAATGTCACTGCCAGGGGCTGATGCCTTCCACGAGGTGTTCATGTCGAGGAGATTGACAAAGAAATCGTTTGTCAGATGGCCCGGCTGGGTAGTAAACACACCGTGGGCGGAACCATCGTAGTTGGCATTCAGCGCCCGCAGTCCACCAACAAGCACCGTCATTTCAGGCGCAGATAGAGTGAGCAACTGCGCCTTGTCAACCAGATAGTGCTCAGCTCGCACCCGAGCAGTAGATGAGCCATAGTTCCGGAATCCATCCGCCACAGGCTCCATCTGACTGAATGATTCGACATCCGTCTGGTCTTGCGAAGCATCCATGCGTCCCGGCGTGAAAGGCACGGTGATATGATGGCCGGCATCGCCGGCAGCTTTCTCGACAGCTGCACAGCCAGCGAGCACAATGAGATCCGCCAGGGATACTCGCTTGCCATCGTTCTGGGCGCTGTTGAATCTGTTTTGGACGTCATCCAGGGCCTCAAGGTCGCCTCAAGCCATGGCTGGTTATTGACTTCCCAGTCGCGCTGAGGGGCGAGGCGAATACGCGCACCATTGGCACCGCCACGCTTGTCACTGCCCCGGAAAGTCGATGCGGATGCCCAAGCAGTCGAGATGAACTTCGAAGGGTCGACACCCGTGGCGAGAATCTCTCTCTTGAGTGCGGCAATATCGGTGTCATTAATCACCGGATGGTTCACTGCTGGGATGGGATCCTGCCAGGACAGCTCTTCGGCGGGGACCTCAGGACCGATATAGCAAGCACGCGGTCCCATGTCCCGATGTGTCAGCTTGAACCAGGCCCGCGCGAAAGCGTCTGCAAACTGATCCGGATTCTCCAGAAAACGCGCGAGATCTTCTCGTACGCAGGATCGAATCGCAGAGACAGGTCTGTGGTGAGCATCTGTGGTCGGTGCTTCTTGGATGGATCGTATGCATCCGGGATAAAGGCATCGGCGTCTTTCGCTACCCACTGGTTCGCGCCCGCAGGACTCTTGGTCAGCACCCATTCGAAGCGGAACAGGTACTCGAGAAAGTTCAAGCTCCATCGGGTCGGAGTCTTGGTCCAGGTTACCTCCAGGCCACTGGTAATGGTATGCGCGCCTTTTCCGGAGCCGTAGCTGTTCTGCCAACCAAAGCCCTGTGCCTCTAGGCCAGCAGCCTCCGGCTCAGCACCAACGTGGTTCGAGGGAGCCGCGCCGTGTGTCTTTCCGAAAGTATGGCCACCAGCAATTAACGCAACGGTTTCCTCATCATTCATGGCCATGCGACCGAACGTCGTGCGAATGTCCCGAGCGGCAGCGACTGGGTCGGGGTTTCCATCGGGTCCTTCCGGATTCACGTATATCAAGCCCATATGAGCAGCTGCGAGCGGCTTTTCCAGATCGCGAGAATGTATATCGCGATGGGGTTCTTCATCGGCAATCACAGTCCCGTGCTTGGAAGATCCGGCAGAGCGTGGGAATACCGCACGTCATTCCCGAGCCAAGTGGTCTCACCACCCCAGTAGGCCGATTCGTCTGCTTCCCAAGTATCCTTACGGCCACCGGCAAATCCGAATGTCTGGAAACCCATCGACTCTAGGGCCACGTTGCCCGTCAAGATCATCAGGTCCGCCCAGGAGATCTTGTTGCCATACTTCTGCTTAATCGGCCACAGCAGGCGTCGAGCTTTGTCGAGACTCACGTTGTCCGGCCAGCTGTTGAGAGGCGCGAACCGTTGTTGACCTTGCCCACCACCACCACGACCATCAAAGGTGCGATAGGTACCCGCACTATGCCAGGCCATGCGGATGAAGAGGCCACCGTAATGACCAAAGTCTGCTGGCCACCAGTCCTGGGAATCGGTCATCAGATCTTGCAGGTCCTTCTTCAAGGCATAGTAATCCAGACTGTTGAAAGCCGCCGCGTAGTCAAAATCGGGATCCAGTGGGTTTGAGGCTGCTGTGTGCTGACGGAGGATGTTCAGCTTCAGCTGGTCTGGCCACCAGTCGCGGTTCCGGGTGCCACTGCCGGCCACGTTGGCTTGATTGTGGAAGGGACACTTCTCTGCCATGATGGAGGCGCAGTTGTAGCGTGTTAAGATTGAACTTGGTTGTTGTTGTATAAGAAAGAAATTGGGATGAATTCAATGGTCTCATGATATTGCCGCAGATGGAGGTGAACAACCATGGCCTTTTATATTGTTTCTTCATCCTCATGAGTATGAATCCATTAGTAATGTGCTCTAGGGACTCACCACCCAAGTGCAAAGCGGGGTAAAGGCACTAGATTGAAGTCGCCGTTCTGGCTTTCAACCCTTCCTAGCCGTAGATGACCAATTCCTCGGTACATGCTCGAGCATTCTGGCGGCCTCATTCGCTGTTCCACCCGAAGGTTCAACTGTGTTGCCAGCCAGTCTGGTGGATCAGCCCTCTCATCGTGGGTGTTGAGGATGGCTACAAACTATGAACGAATAGGGCCGCGGAGTCCCCCGATGCCAGAAATGCGACCAATAAGCTAGGGCTTGTTGACATCACCAGACACTGGATTACTCGAATAGGTGATCTGCAAGTGACTGATTGGCAGTAATCCCCACAAACGATCTAGATGGCTGAGATCAGGAATATTTGGCATCAAGTGCCGGTTTTCGGCATGGACCCTAGCGGTGGGAGGAGCTTAAGTGAACGTTAGCAAGCATCTTGGTCTCGAATCGATATTGAATAAGCAGGCCCCCATTTGCCTTCGACGCGGGTGGGGAAAGTCTAACTCGATTAGGTCAAGGGCGATATGGTCTTGGCAGCATCCAGCTCTCGAAGATGCGATCCGAGAGTCTTCTGTCTACATAGGAACTTCAGAACCAAGGCCTACCGAGGGAACACCAAGTCCAAAAACGAATCGAAATGAGTAGATCTGGAGTCTTCCGCCAATACCTCTACAGTGATTCAATATGCCTTGTTTCTGAGCTGCCATCCTCGGTAACGGTCCAGACCCTCGGTAACAGATGTGCTAGTTTACTGTCTCTTAGAATACTACCATTGCCATCATAGGTGGGGTTCAGCCGGGATGTCTAGAACACGCTCAATGAGAGGAACTAAATGGGTCGTCGTTTAGATGAGGAATCCGATTTGTAAACAACTCCCATCTCGAATGGAATGGCATGGATCCCAACGGTCTGGTGTATCATCAGGAAAACTGCTGACCTGAAGGAGCTGGATTACTAGACTAAAATCTTCGGGCACTTCGGGGCCCGAGCATTCCATGTCCCGAGAAAGTGGACTGATCGAGTTGGTATGATGCTGGCCTTGTGGTGCCTGGATCTTGTTTGGCGCGGAGTGGGTAGGTCGATATTCCACATCTGGATATGACGAATATTCAAAATCTAGAACGATTTTGGAGAATGTCCCTTAGAAATTGGAACATTAGGATTCTGCGCTTTGACTAATCCATCTACATACAGTGTAGTAGCTATGGTAATGCTTTGATGTGTCGAAATGGGTCGTTCTAGCTATGTGTTCAATGATGCATTGAAGTTGGATCTTCTCTGAACAGCACCTTCGGCACCCGCCGTTCTGATGCTATGCGGCTTTGCGATACTTGTGATCTTATTTATTGCGACTATAGCTCCCTTCGCCCCTCAAATCTACAACTCGATTATATGTCTCTCGGTTCAAAGCCCACGTATGTACCTTGCACCGCGTTCCCGCCTATCAAATCAGGACCAAGTAGGAATGTTTTCAACGGAGTTGTTAGCTCAAGAAAACGCGGATTCAAAGCCGTAACGATATTGAAGCTAAATGGGGCCACTGGATCTACTTGGAGGGGAACTCGGAGTGCTTGCAGCTGATTACAGGAATCCCTTCGATCTCTCCCAGTTTCGCACTGCATGAATGAGTCAAATTGAAAGTGGCATCTGTGATCTCTAAAGTTTCTCGACTCTGGTTATCCCTAAGCATTAATTGAAGACCCGACGCATATCGACGCCGCCTTTGCTCCCCAATCGTGTAGCGGTGACATGAACCACCCATGCAGGCCATCTTAGAAATTGAACGTTAGTTGTGCTACAAGGTTCCCCTACTCGTAGACCATAATGTGCACCGGGTTGTCCGGACTGGTCTTCACGGGAAAATCATCACTTATACTCTTGACACATGCTGCAAGCAAATCTTCTGGGTTGTTGTAAGCGAGCATCTAGCGACGCTGGCAAGAGCCTCGCTGTCATGGATGAGATCTGTTACTCGTCCTTTCTCGTACATTAGCTGTCTACTCGAAGGTAAAGGATCCCTATCAGCCATGATACTAATATTAATTCCTGACTTGGATCGGCAATTGGACTCAGCACAGTGAAGACATCTTAGATAAACGGACCATTCCTGCCCTCCGTAGAAAAAAGCCAAGAATGAACTATATAATGGATTTAGTTAAAAAGAAACCCAAATTGTGTGGTATTGCTGAAAAATATAGGTACTCAATCTGGTATTCTGATATCTAAGATACAGTGTGCCTTTTGAAGGATATTAGCCCATCCGGAAGGTAATACTGCAGTTTTATTTTTCTTTTGTTTTCTTGTTTCTTTTAGTATACCAAGGGTAGACAATGAAAGTCACCCGGATAACGTGTATGTAGCTATATTACGCTGCATTTGATACCAGGTCGTAAAACAGTAGGCGGAGCTGTCTTTCGGAACATTTCCGGGACAATAACGTATGATATATCGGGAAAGTTCCGAGCCAGCAAAATACAGTCCGCGGAGTACTCCGAACTCATTTGCCAATCCGGGACATGAGAAGCTTGATTTGTCTTCAATGGATAATATACGGAGTACAATAGCGAAACAGGATGATGCAAGGGGAAGACGTGACTATACTTATTCTCTCGGATGAGCTGTGCAAGGGACTGGAAGCGGTGATATCCATATGATCCTCGTCTCCCTTGTGTAGGGCTCGGTGAAATGGGCCGCTTCGTTGCTTATAAAGGATCAAAACTTTTGCAAACAGCCTATTACAGTATCACGGCTGTTCAAGAACCGGACTTCATTGTGATATACCCTCTCTTTTGACGATGGTTGTCTACCGGGCACTATTCTTTCTTTCTTCCTGCTTAATGGTATCTCATCCACCGTAGTGTGGGTTATCTTTTGGACTACGTAGTGGTATTAGGCGCAGTCATCGTCGTAAATACTCTCCTCCCTGCTTGACATGTCTATCTTTCAACGTAGGATCAGACAGCCGCCGCAGCAACCAGCTTATTTATCGAAGCTTCGAAGATTTTTGGGCGGTGACAATCGCAGCAAGCATTTTCAACAAGCAAATCGAAACACATTCATTCCTATGGAGTATCAGAGGCGGGAACGGCAAGTTCATTCGGGGCCACAGAAGTAAACATCGTAAAGGGTTAGACTATCTTGTCTGTGTGGCATCATGGCATGTGCGTCTGTGTAATTTTGAGAGGATGCCCAGGTGTAACTCTTGAGCTTTAATGGCGGCTATGGTGGACCAGTATCTGTCTTCTGAAAAGATTTGCTAAAAATTTACTGCAGGAGATATATTTGACTATATACTAGAAAATTTCCCTCGGCCTAGTAAGGTGTCATCGCGTATTCACACAATGTAATAGGCCAATAGTACCTTTTGTGAATGCCCTCTTCGTTTAAACGATCATTAAA